TTGGTTCAAGTCTTGTTGCTGCTTGGATACTGATGTCCAAGTCTGATGCTGACTATTGATCCTCTCTTGATCTAATAGTCCTTAGTCCCCAAAGCTGTGAGACTATCCTGTTACTGACCAGTAATCTAACCTGTCCAACTATGTCCAGTGATATCCTCTTGATGATCCTGATAGTTGAGGTTGTTGCTTTGTGAGCTAAGTCTAAGTGTAGATTAGGCCACAACTACTGGGCTCATAACCTGTTGTGAAGTAACAACTAGATCCACCAAGGTTGGTTACTTGATGTACCTAGGCAATAGTAATGGTGTGTTACTAGTGCTGATCTTGTCTTGTTGTGAAGATGGATCAATGTTGCTTGCATAAAAGTAAAGTAGTACATGAGAGGGGAAAGAGAAATCAGACCCAAATGGTCTGCTATATATGCTATTCTGATGAGCATGTTCCCTAGTGAACTTGCGACTAGAGCAGACGCATAATTGCGACTCTGGTCGCATATTGCGTCTCCAGTCACATATTTGCGACTCCAGTCACAAATGACATCACCAATATGCAACTCCAGTCGCATATGTGTGTCTCTGGTCGCATAAGTGTGACTCCAGTCACATAAGTGCGTCTCCAGTCACGACATGTGATCCTGGTCACATGTTGACCCTTTGTGCTTGAGATTGCACCTTTGAGCATCATCAATGATGTCATAGCATGCCAATCTTCAACAAATTAGACCCTATTTACTTCAAAGGGAAGACTCCTGGTGGGGAATTGAGCGTCAACACCGATGCGTGCAGGGAGTACGGTCAATATGACCCTATTCTGGCCGAGATTGAGTTGGAAATGGATGAGGAATGATCACTTTTACCTTAGTTTGACTTGTCATTTTTGCCCAAAAATACAAAAACCCAAAAACATGTCTTTTACCTTAGCTATTTTATCTTACTTGCTTGTAACCTACCTTAATCTCATCAATTCCTGTAGACACAGCGGGACGCTGCGTTATTTCAGGGGGGGAGTGATGTAAAGGATCAGGGAACAACTTGTACCTTCTACATAGTTTCACATTCCGTACTTTGTACTTTGTACTTTGTACATTCCGTACTTTGTACTTTGCACATTGTACATTGTACTTTGTACATTGTACAATGTACAACCACCTCTTATCTTTGTACTCCTAGTCTACTCATGAGTATATATAGGAGGCAGGAGGAAGGGGATCAGGGTACAACACTCTACCTCTTTACTCTTCACTCATCTTACTACCTAGTCACAAGACCCTACCTTAGTGTCTTCCTGCACAACAAAGTCACCTTCACACACAACAACCTTCGCCAATCCCTTCAAGGCTTAGCTACCCTTGTTGCTTCTTCCACTGGGTGTTAGAGAGAGTAAGATAATTGTTTGTTAAAGGAGAAGTGTTGAGACAACTGCGAGAACCGGATAAATTAGTTGTGAGAAACCTAACTTTCCCTTAAAAGAAAGCTTGGTCCATCACACTAGAAGGTTGAGTTTGAGTGTTGGACTTGGAGAATGACTTCTAGATACAATCAATCTCCCTGGAGTTGAAATGATGATGCCAAAGCAGGTCTTGGGCGAGATACTGCAAGTAAGCTCTAAAACCTGGATCTCAACCCTAGTCTTGCTCCTCCAACTAATTAACAAAGTCTCACGCCAAAACACCCCATGGCAAGATTTACCCAACATACGAGAAGGTTGAGGTCAGCACCTGAGTTGAGGATCATAACGGCCAACTGGCATTGCTCTTCCTGAAGGGCGGGCTAAATATGCCATGGAAAAGGAACAACAACAAGATTGATGGTCGCCATGATTGGATTAGATACTTGTTTAGGTGGGTTTTCTGCCAGCTTGACCAACTCAGAAACATCCTCTTCTATTCCCAGCCAAACTGGCACAACCAGGTTTCCATTTGCTGCACAAGCTCAAGGCCATGATACTTGTCTCGACTACAGTGTATGCCCCAACAAAGCACAAGGACCGCAACATTTGACACCTGACAAATCTGAAAGAGTAAACTAACACTTGCACATCAGAAGACAAGCAGACACCTTGACATTTTACCGCTAATGGTAGCTGTGCTGTTCATATCTGTTACGGAATCATCACGTGAGTTGACTACCGACAAACAGGCTCATTCCACAGACGTCAGCATACACCTAAAGTCCGGCTCAACAAGGCAAACCTGTTTCCCTTGGAGCAGATTTGGTTGCCCTCACCATTCACCGAAACAACAATACCTTCCCGACACATATCATAAACAGGTACAAGGACCTCAAGGTACCCAACAATCTTACTCAGGATCTTGACAACTTTACTCGACGTACCTAGGGACAAATGCAAACTCAAACTTGCCTCCTCTACCAAATCCGGTCGCTCTCGACAGGATCCATCTGTTTGCCATCTTGTTCTTCCAATTTCTCCATCTCTCGCATATCACATTCAATACACGCCTATCTGACTTGTTACAACATCTTGTAGACGTATTGCGGAGATGTTACAACTCAGGGACGTTGCTAAGTAGATACACTTCATAGTTTTACCTTAGAACGGATCCGGTACCTCATACCAAGTGATCATCCTTCCTTATCCATAAATCCCTGGATTCGTACCCCTTACCCAAAATTGCTTCATCTAAGCAAACTTGCGACATTCACCCGACTACCTGCAATACGCCTTAAGCACCCTACGCCGTACGACTAGGGTCTATTGCCCATTAGGGACTTTGGCCGTCACAGTATCAAGGGGATCTATTACATCACAATTTCGGTGCCCCTTGGATATGAGGTCAAGGATAATACCACACAGGGTGGGGTTTCAGTCAGTGACTAATCTAATGGTTCTCATCAACACAACGCTGCCAGCAACTTCTTTTGGGAGCTGGTACCCCTCTTTCAAATGATGGGCACACTCCAGAGAGCCTTTGTTACAACAATACTCCCCACAACAGTCACTCCTTTGGGGCATAATAACCGGCTTTTAAGCTGCTGAGGATGTCTTAATGGGCTGCTTTCACGGAAGTTGCCGTTGTCAGGGATCATTCTTGCACCACTCAGTTCAACAACTTCAACAGTGGGAACACATTCTGCTGCATAATACCTCTAGAGGACTTTAATGGGGCCAAGCTTGTTCTGTCAGGCCTTGGCTTACGAATCCAATGCCAACCAGGTGTCATGATTGTTTTCAGCAGTAGGAAATCAAGCACTATGTGGCTTCTTCTGAAGGCACCAGGAGTACTCTACAACCACAACAGGCAATTTCATTCAGCAGGAAGCTCTATAAATTGAGAAATATGCTGTCCTCAATGTTGCAAATCAGCATGTGATGGTTAGTCATCAACATGTGGAAGCAATCTCAAGGACAAAGCAGGAAGCAAAAAGGAAGCAAAAGGTACTGGACATTCTAGCAAGTGCTGGAAGGATTGGACTTGAAATGAATCACCGAACTTGTTTGGCCACCAAACAACCGAACTTGTTCGACTACTAAACACCGATATTGTTTGACTTTGCCACCATTTGCCCCTTCCCAGAAAAGTATGTATAACAGGCCATTTGGGTCCAAAATTTCTTTCCCCTCCCATGTACTACTTTATTCTTATGCAAGCAACCAGATACATAGTCATTTCACACAAGAGATAGCATCAGTCAATACCATCAAAGGAACAACTACACCATCAGCTTAGGCTGATATCACAACACTCAATCAGGGATTTGATAAATTGTCTACCGAAGAAGCGCGATGCATGCGTGTAAATGCTTGTGCCTTGGGATGATGATCGGCTGATCGAGCTGATCAGGCACTGGAACCAGCTACACACCAATGCAAGCACGCTGACACCACCCAGAATATATATACTCACATAGTAAGGTCATTGCATTGAAATCATCTAATTACTTGCAAACCATCTTTTCTTCACTTGTCCTCCCCTTTGTTCCCCAAATCAAGAAAGGAGACGTTGTTCAGTAGCTGCCCATTACGTCTCTGTACTTGACTTTCCATTTGGCAATAAACCTCATTGAAAGGCGCTCATCTGTGAATTTATCCATCCTTGCCTTTCAGCAAGGCCTGGTGTCCCTATCTTGCCTTTTCATGCTATCAATTTATGTCACCAATTCTCCTTGAACTTGGCTTTGGCTTGAGCCTTGGGAAGTTGAAATATAGACTATGCAAAGTGGATGCAAAGCGTTGACTGTTCTATCACATGCTAGATAGAAAAGATTGCCAACAAATCACAAATCTGCCTGACTTGAACATTGGAATGTGACGACTAGATCAACCAAGGTTGGCTACTTGTTGTGCCCAGGCACTAGTGATGGTGTGTTATCAGTGCTAATCTTGTCTTTTTGTGAAGATGTTAATGTTGCTTGCATAAAAGTAAGATAGTAAATGAGAGGGGAAAGAGAATCCAGACCCAAATGGTCTGCAATATATACTCTTCCGGGAAAGGGCACACAGTGGCAAAGTCAAACAGTCGCAGCGCTTGATGTTCAAGAATGATTGGTGGTTGGTGTTTGATTAATCATGATTTGTGGGACTTCCATAGTCAAAATCGATTGGTGTTTGACAGCTGTTGGAGTTTGGTAGTTTATTTCAGATCCATGCCTTCTAGCATGTTCTGTGCTTACTGCTTCCATTTCGCGTCCACTTTGCATCCTGTTTGGATCCACTTTGCTTCCTGGTTGCTTCCTGCTTCCTATTGTTTACTTTGCGGTTGAGATTGCTTCCATGTGCTGATGACTAACCATCACATGCCTGTATCCAACATGTTTCCCTCAACCTGTACCAATATTGTTTGTTGTATTGTTTTGAGGTTTGCCACCATTTGCCTCTTCCTATATATTGGTCACTGGGGCCAGATACCTCTTTTCCCTACCCAATATTAGTAAACTCTGATGCACGGCAACCAGATGAAGAGTCAATTCAGAGGGGAGATGTCATCAATAAACTATAAGGGAGGAGGACTGACAGTCTATGCAGGGCTAGGTCTAAGGTGATGGTGTAATAATGGATGAAGTATATACACACAATGGGCTTATTATAAGAAACACCCTATGGGAGAAGTAAAAGAAGACCCTAGCAAGGACGGGTCTCTTGCGGAGGCAGCGACGCGTCACGTGATGGCTACAACATGACAGTACTCAGGGATCAGCTATGCGTGTGCTAATTTGTGTGCCACACAATTCTGCAAGGAATCTAAATACTGTAGGTCACTTGCAGCCACGGACCTAATTTCAGGTGAGGCGTCTCATATGATTGGTTGGTAACAGCTGACCGTCATTACATGTATGAATGTAGTAAGTTCGGTCAATCAGTTAAGATACTCCGCCGGTACCACGGCGCCCTCGTGCCTCTTCGTCTTCAGGTGTCTCTGCATGGCGTCCTTCCTGTAATGAAACAACCGGATGTAAAGGTGGCGTGAGCCCGTGCGGACAGGTTTCCTCTCGTTGCAAAGCTCACCTAGAGAAGATCTGTCCACAAGAGGGTACAGGACATGGCCAGCTACACTGCGGTCTACCGTACTCGACCCAGAGTTTGGCGGCCTTCTCGTCCAGCTGCCCAGCCTCTACCGCCCTTCCTTCATTCCGGGCATGGATCGTTTCCAGATGGCGGGCCAAATCATACGTTCGATGAAAGTGGGACGTGCACCGCTCATACGGCTATGACGAGAAAACGAGCCATTCGTCAGCTCTCGGTCAAAACAGCATCATGTGCCGTGTGAACGTACGGGTAGTGGTTCGACATAGTCGCAGTGAACGTCCCCCTCTTCTGCCGGACCAGCTTTTCGGCGCTTTGCTTTGCTTGGCATGAAATCAGGTCGACTATTGGACGAGGTCTCGCTTTTTGAATCAGCCCCGACGCTTGTGGCCTCGACCCGCAAAGCCTTGCGCTTTCGAGGCCTCTGTCGAGAGTTGGACGATTGTCCTTCGTAATCGGAACCGGATTCCGCCTCGCTGTCTGTGGTGTCCTGTAGAGTAGTGTTCGTCCGATTGTCCTCGTCCTCCGACGCTGCTTCCATCGGACGAGAGGGGCCCTCCTCGTCATCCTTCAACGACCCATCAGCTCCACGGGCTTGTCCCCTCTCATCCGCCCGGATGGCACGTAGCAGGCGGGCAGCAGGTGCTTCCAACTTCTTATCGACGCGTTTCTGTCGCGGTCTATCGTCCTCGTCGCTGCTATCCTCGTCTCCGTGTCGATCAGGGACGTTCATGTTCGCAGCCGAAGAGCCATCGCCATAACCCTTTCCTCCCACTATGATACTGCCCGAGCGATGTCCATCTCGACCCTCGCTCGCTGTGTAGCCCTTGCCACCTCCATAGCCATGCCCGTAATCACCGCCGTCTTCCGCTGCAGAATCGTTTCGGGTTTGAGACCTCTTCGGACTGACCGGTCCAGAAAAGCGAACCGTACCAGGTCCTCTAGTGTTCGCATCGTCGTCACTGTCCAGGGACGAAGAGCTACTAGGGCTCATAGGCGGAAATGTCGGGGCGTCTGTCCCAGCCCGGAATGTGAATTTGGCATTCGTAATGGGCATTGTCGGATACGTTGTGGAACTAGCGCCAAAGGCGAACGGATTGTTGGCCATCTTGTCGAACCTTTGTACATCGCTCCATGCGGGAAAGAGTCCCTTCGACCCCTTGTCCGAGGTGATTCCTGTCTCCAGGTTACCGGAAAAGGCTGATCGCGGAGAGTTCGTCCCACGGTCCGAAGCTCTGAGAGAAGTATCAGGAAGGACCATCGGCGAGCTGATATCTTCCTCTTCTGAGCTAGTCGAAGCGAAACTATCGGTCGTTTCCTGGCGTAGCCGGGGTCTGCTCTTGCTCGAACTTTCGCCTCTGTCACCCAGTTGAGAAGGCGACGGAGGCACTCTGCCACTCCCCAGCTGGCCGCCGGTACCACCGAATCCGAGGGCGATGGCTCTCACTCCTGGACTCCCCTTGACAGCGCTGGCTGGTGAGTTGGACGGTCCAGAGATGTGCGGGGACGGCGGAAGAGGAATCTGATGGGGTTGGACTGACGTACCGCCAGATCCGAGCCTGGAATGGCCGATACGGCGGTTGCCTGCGCTCGAAGGCAATCCTGGAAACAATCTCTGGTCTTTTCCATCAGGGTTTGGATCGTCACCCAGCATGAGGGCTTCATCGCTGGCCATACTGAGCGTGGGACTCTCCTTTTCACCTCGATTTCGCAAAGCAGGACTCGTATTGAAACCAGGTATAACCGGTGCCGTTGGAGTGGTCGACGCCGAAACGCTGGGAAACGAGATTGACCCTTGCGGCCTTTTCGAGATGTGTTGCGGATCCGAGGACGAAAGGTAGTAACGTCCCAAAGGAGACGGTTCATGCGATCGGTTAGATGAGGGCTGAAGTGGCGTCTTGTTCTGCTCTTTGATCATTGTGTTCGCGGTCCCCGCGAGCAGCATGGCTCTCGGCGACATCGCCAGCGCCGCATTGGGTTCCCCGGAAGGGTTGCCGGGCACACCCGTGTAGAAGTATGGGGCAGAATTGTCATCGTTTCTATTTGATGAGCCGAGATTGTTTAGGTTTTCCTGAGTTGGCATTGTAGCTGGCGGGCGAAATGACAGGGATGAGGCTGTCTCGGTCGACTGACGATTCGCGGGAATGTTGCCCGGCTGGTTACGGCCGAATAAACTATCTCGTGGGGATCCTTGTGAGACGCCCAAAGAAGGCAGTAGGTGATGCAGTCCGGGATTTGTACCCGGAGAGGTGCCAAAGTCCTCTTGTATACGAATTGCTGGCGACTCTTCCTCGAGCGGCAGTGGAGCGTGGGAAGCATTGGGCGAATGTTGAGGTGATGTACGTTCACTAGAGGTATTCGATCAGTACCGATCAACCTCCTTACTCGTCTTCTCTTTTTAGCAGCTTACCCTCCTCTCCAATTATGTGTGATGACCGACTGCGAGTCACCGGCGTGAATCGTTTGTGATTGTGGAATGTTCGTGTCGTCAATCGTGTTCCGCGTTTCGGGAGTGAGATCCATCTCGTCAGGGCCATCTTCGAACAGCTGATCGGACCAGAAAGATGGATCTATCTGGCTCGTATTGGTCGTCATGGTGGCAGTAGTACCAGGACAAGGCCTTTGTGAACCTTGCGCTTTTCGAGCTCGCTGTCTTATCGACCAGGATTTCGGCCCGTTCTTCCCCCGCTTTTGCCCGAGAGTGGAATGTCCGTTGCTGCAGCCACCTTCTGCCCTCTTGATGATCCGTCTATGTTCAATCGGAGCGAGGCCAACACTGACACGAAGGAGTCTGAGAGCTGATCGGACCGGGTTCTTGTCGATCTTTCCACCCGCAAAGTGATCGGGCGAGCACAAACCGAGAGTCAAGCTTGTCGACCGACCGTATCCACGCGCCTTGCGGTAAGGGGTTGGATAATGGTTGAGATCCGCCAGCTTGAATCTATATTGCCCGATCGAATCTACTGCATGTGTTAGGCGACAACACGGGATCCTGGGAGATATGATCAAAAGGATCCAAGATAACTGAAGACCTAGTGATGAAGATATCGAGCGATCCAGGGATTTGGGCTTCAAAATCAGGCGGAGAGACGATGTTAAAAGGAAGATGTGACTCACGATGAGAGCGAGCTCGGAGCGGTCTGTCCGCTAGCTATCTATTGATACCCGGTGAAGATCGACACCCAAGGGATTGTTCAGCGCTAGATGATGAGGCCCTGTTGCAAGATGAATACGTTGGACGAGTCGGTGCGGGAGCCAGGAAGCTTGGAAGATATCGACGAGACGAGCCATATAAGTGCCAGCATAGTCGATACGACATCCGTGCTCTCGATCCGGAACGACGACTGAGGGAAAGAGAGTGTGCGTTGACGGGGAGTGTCATGAGCTCGGACTCGACGTCGACCGTGGGATCGCGCATATTCGTCAGATTCCGAAGGAGATGACGTGGGATCGAGAGGCACCCGAGGGAGTGTGATCGAGAGATCGAGGGGACGTTTCACGTTTCTCAAATGCCATGCAATAATCAAGCGATCACGACCAATCCTGACCTGCTCGACTGGCAAAACCTGCTCGACCGATACATGATCTCTCGAGGCTCGTGCGTAGCCGTACAACGGGATATGAAAAGCTCTCCTCTAGACGCCCGATGTGACACGACTAGGACGCAGCGCAGCAGTGTCTTCCAGGCCAAGAAAGCCTTGCCGAAATGATATGGCTGAAATCTTCCTTGAGGGGCGATCGGGAAGTCGAAGATGTGATCCGTGCGGTCTGCCTCGACCAGGCCGATGATTATTGCTTTCAAGGACAGCATTATCTCCTCAAAGTTTGAGGCATCTGTTCGCAAGGTATAGAGATTCGGCCGCGACCTCGCTGGCGATCGATCAAGCAGCTCTTTCTTGTTCACGAGTACATTCCTGTAAACTCTTCCCTTTCCTCGCCACGCCTGTTTGGAGGGCCCGAGTCGTCGATTCGCGACCCATGGCCGGATTGGTGTACAGCTGAGAAGAGCCTTTGGAAGAGCTCCAGCATGGGATCCGGATTTCCATCAGTGTCATCTTCTGCATTGCTGGCCACTGCAATCGACGGGTCCATGACGCTCCGACACATGGGGCATGTATTTTGCTGTGATGAGTCGCATGAATAGTCAAGCGAGCCAGGCACAATCAAAAATTTGGCGCCGCATCAGTATATGATAGAGTCGATGAGTGCTTCACAATCCTCCGTGAACTTACCAGTCGCAACCATTTCCTAGCGCACCGCCCACACATGATATGACCGCCGAGGGACGCCTCCTGGTCTCCGGTGTCTTTTTGGCACGGCAACCGTCGCAATCCGAGATCGGCGTTCGCCCCGCCTATATAGTGATCCGTGGACTCGGCATACTCTTGCTCCGTCAGGATTTCAGCATAAGATAACTGACATACAGGACAGCTCTGCGCGTCTATCGACTTGAAGGAGGTCAGCATGCGTATTCGATACACTCCCGACCGATGCTCACAGAGGTCCTGATCTTGCCGTATCAATTCCTGCTCGGTAACGTGTTTTAAAGACCGGACGAAATCTTCCGAAGCTCCATTGCGTCTGAAACCGAGTCGCATTTGGTCAGACCCAATATGATGCAGCCGGTCATAGGTGACCTGCTTACGATGTCGTGCCGTCCCCGAAGACTTCCTCCAAGAGATCGGCATCAACCATGACGGGATTCTCGGGATCTTGCGCTCGAACGAGGTTCATGAACTCGGTAAAATCAGGAAGGTCGCGAAGCTCAGGGTTGGCAGAGCTGGTCGACATGATGGTTTCTGACGTATGAGAGCGATGTCCGTAAGGTCGGCTACCTACCAAGGGATAGTTGTATGACCCGACTGATCAGGCTGGTCTGTTTTCTGTTTATCGCGAGATTGCGGTGCAACCCTGGACCACAGGTGAACTTGGTGATGACAAGTGAGACTCCAGTTGACCAGCGATCAGCGGCGATATCATCGTTGATGTTGGAAGTCGCAGGTCGATCGCCCAAACGCACACGATATCGTCGCCTATCGCCCATCAACAATCAACACGTCACCTTTCGGCAAAATCCGTGGCCCGGAACCGAACGTCTCCCCCTCTCGGCATTCAAGCCGGGCGCTCTCGTAACGGATGAGAAAAGCCACCAATCACTAGTCTCGTATATACACGTCGCCTGCCTCGACCTCGGCTTATTCTTTCACAGGACAGGATGGGAGTCTTGTCGTTTGTTAGGGCAGTCATCTGGCATCTGGGCATCTGGAGAACGCAAAAGAGAGAGTACAAAGGAGCGAGAGCCGAAGTCGTATCTTTGTGCGAAGAGGCAGCCGTGAGAGCTGTTTGATGGTGGCCGGCGAGAGAGAGATCGCCCAAGGTCGACGCATCCGACGAGATTCCATGTGTCCGCCACTTCGGTTCTGCCTCCCGTTTGTTCGTGTGCGTGGGTGGTGTGTGTGTGTATTGCGGGCAGAGAGGCTTTCTCATGGAGTTAGAGTCGCCGAGACCAGACCTGGGGTACAGAGTAGAGCCAGCAGCAGCTGAGAGCCGACAACAGACAGCCAAGAGCGAGGTGGTGGAAGCCGAGTGATCGCTCATCACCCATCGCTCATCTACCCCGCAACCCGCGGCGACACAGCACCGAAGGGACGAGGGTTCTCGCTCGAGTTCGAGGGTCCTAGCTAGCCCTCCCGTAATAATAAGCAACCCTGCCTCGCATCTACTCTACCCCCTCGTTTCGACAAGTGCTCTACGATCGCTTGCAAGCTTGCAAAGTCATACCATCTCATCAACAGTCGTAAAAGTAGCATACGTACGAGCCGCATCCCATCGAGCCCTTCCATCGACAAGTAGCACCTCGAAGCTCCCTGTCATACCGTACGCTCGGGAAGGCACATAGGCTCGACTGCTATCTCCCCTCTGCCAATCTCACCCATACCCTAAGCTAGGCGGAGCGATCGCACCACTATACCTTCACGAAACCAGCATCCCTTATATCTAGCCTCCCCTTCTGCAGCCATATAGACAGCTTAACCGGCCCGTTTATATCCTCGTGGCGGATTCGATCACAAGCCGGCGAACAACTACAGGGATCCAACTGCTGCAGTCCTCGGTGCCAAACGGCTGGCGATAGTTTCGAGCGATGGATTGAGGTCGAGTCATTGCCTACCCTCAGAATTAGCCCTCGCCTCTGCTCGATCCGAGTACAGCAGCCATCGGGACTTAGACGTCGAGATCCATATCAAAAGTCGATGAGTTCTACACCGGCCGCTGTGCCACATGCACAGCCTGTCAGGAGCACCGGACTGCCCAACAGCGGAGCTCGAAGCAGCTTCAGGGTGCTTTCTCGCCCAACACCGGCAATAGACACTAGGGATCTACATCAACGTATCGATCCTGGACGAGAGAAGAATCTCAATGGTCCCCTTATCCAGCCAAGCGGATTTGATATGCCAAAGCTGCATGGCGGAGACCTCGTGACGTCGCCTTCCTCCGACCAAATCCAAAACGCCGCCAGCTTCGGGATCTTGTCCCCCACAGGCTCGCAACGCAGTTCGGGCGTTCCAGGTCTCAGCGACAGTAGAGGCACGACGATCGATTCCGTTTCGCCCACGCCGATATCGGCGCATGGTCAGGATTTGAGAGCGCTTGATACCGCTCTGGGTCTCAATTATAAGCGAGAGCCAGTTGAAGTAGAAGAAGACGAGTCTGGCGACGAGAACGATGAGAGCACGGGCAGTCAGACGCCGAGAAGGCGGGGTAGCGGACCGTTTGGGTTCGGTTTCAGCCTTACTCGCAGACCTTCGGACAAAGTCGGTAAGTCCAATGACTGCGGCCGGTTCGAGCACATTCGGGAATGCAAAGCCGCTCATATGGGTACTATCTCACTATCAGATACGCCAAGGCCGGTCGATGCAACGGCCTTGCACGTCATGAACAATCAAAAGCTGGGAACACCGCGTCGACCCAGCCTCTTGACCCAGCAGATACTCTCTTCTCCAGCTGTTCCTTTGGCGACCAATACCACCGCGGCTTCATCAGGTCGAGGCGATGTCAGTCTTTCCAAACGGCCGAGCTTGAAAGACCGTGTCAAAGGCAGTCTGCTTGGGTCGGTCTCGGCATCTAGGGAATTCGCAAGTGCTCTAGCTACAGGTGAAAGCCATCAACAGGTCTCGGGCACATCAACGAGTCTCGAAGCACGGCGCGGTACGAGTCGCGTCCGCAAAGGCTCGTCAGGTACATACATGTCATCCCGCCCGAGCTTTGACACGGATGATCATCTGGAAGAGCTAGTCGAGGATGGCCAACCAAGAGGATCTCGGGGCAGACCCGGCCACGCCGCGAGGCGCAAGACATACAATGAGGGCAGCAGTCAAGATGACATGCGGTCTAACTATACCTACGGAACCAGTGCCAGTGGTTGGGACCGCAGTATGACCGGGCTGACCACCGATGATGACGAGGGAGTGTAAGCGAACCACATGCGGTTACAGCGTGGGAGACCGGATCGCTCACATTGTCCGGTGGTCTCTTCTTAGAATCGAAACACAGGATATCAATTTTACCAAGGATGTTAGGACCGGGAGGAAAATGATCAACCAATATGTTGTGCGTGAGAGCGACGGCAAGCAACGAGAATCGAAGGCGGAAATTGACGCTATTTTGCGTTGTGAGCAGATTTTGCGTGAGATCGGTCGTGGTCAACATGGCCAAGTCCGTCTCGGCCAAGATGTCACAGTGCTGGAGAAGTTGGAAAAGTCACGCAACGCTTCCAACGCGGCTGCAATTGATTCGCTCAATCAAGTCGACCAGACCGGTCATGCTCGTACTCTATCTTGGGCCGAGAGTATATCGCCTGTTGCTGAGCCGGAAGGCAGTTCGGGACCAGGGACTACGCCGACGACCGGATCAAGTGGTTACTGGGCCATAAAGATCATGGATCGCCAGCCGCGAAAGAAGCTGCCCGGCATCAGGAAGTCGAGTGGGGCCTATTCTAATGGCCCGAACGATGCCAAGCAGATCACGGCCACAAATGAAAAGTATACTTCGCTTTCGATTGGACGATGTTCCAGTGAAGGAGACTGACTCTATGAAACCATCCACATCATAGGCTTCGAAGGGAGATCGCGATATTAAAGAAATGCCGTCACCCTAATGTGGTCAGACTTCGCGAGGTCATCGACGCTCCGGCGTCGAAAAAGATTTATCTAGGTAAGCACACTAATCCCATGACGCCTTGAAGCGACTCGAACTCACGGCGCCCCATGTCAGTCTTGGAATACTGCGAGGGAGGAGAGGTGCGATGGAAGACTGATGAAGGTCAACCGCTTCTCACCCTTGATCAAGCCCGAAGAACGATACGAGACATCGTATTGGGCTTGGAGTATCGTGAGTTTTCTGGTCGTGTAATCGCAGGCGTGTCATCCGACTGACCTTGCCGCCGTCCGTCTGTAGTCCACCACCAGGGTATCATACACAGAGATATTAAGCCGGCTAATCTGCTTTACTCTGCAGACGGCGTCGTGAAAATCTCCGATTTCGGCGTGTCGCACTATTCGCATGTTCTGCGTGGTCAACAAGCCGGAGATGATGATATGTCGCCCGAGGAGGATGACGAACTCGGTTTCGCCAACGAGCATGACCTAGCGAAGACGGCAGGATCGCCTGCGTTCTTCGCTCCCGAGCTTTGTTTCAGCGATCTCGGACCTCCTAGTGGCGGAAACTCTCCCATCCGCGAGGTCCCTACATACAACTTTGGTCGCACGGGATCGATACCGGACGATGGTCATGGCAACAACAGGACATCTACCATTTCGGCGCATTCTACAAGTAGTACCTTGCGACCTGACTCTCCAGCTATCAGACGCGAGAGACCGCCTATCACCGAGGCTATCGATATATGGGCCCTGGGAGTAACGCTATATTGCTTCCTCTTCGGAAGAGTCCCGTTCGATTCGACCAGCGAGTTCCACTTGCTATCGATCATTCCGGTCGAGGACTTCCCAGTGCCAGCCAAAATGGGGGCTGATCAGATCGTCACAGGCGGACGTACCGGTTATCTCAAGGGTCCCGGTCATGGCATCACGCAAGAGGCCTGCGAAGCGATCGACCTGTTGTCGAAATTGCTAGAGAAAGATCCCGTCAAGCGGATCACATTGGCAGACGTGAAGGTAAGTAAATTTGGGAAAAAGACGGAAAAGCTTCACAGGCTGAGCTTATCGGTTTATTATCGCAGAAACACCCATTCACCCTACGCGGCCTGTCCGATACCTCGGCATGGCTAGCTAGTACCGATCCCACGGCGGAAAAATTCGTCACGGTATCCAACGCGGAAGTGGCCGCTGCCGTGACAAATTCGGGATCTTTCCGTGACAAGTTTCGTAAAGGCATGAAGAGCCTCTCGAACCGTCTCTTCGGAACTAGCGGGTCTGAGACAAAGAGGCGACCCCGAAGTCAAAGCATCGTGCATCTTGCTGACGTCGACGCGTCAACAATGAAGGCAGATGGCAGCAATGCGAACGGCAATGCATATCTGAGCATCGGGTCTTTGAATAGATCGCAATCCCGCTTTGCTTCGGGTTGGTCTCACCGTTTACCCTCGCCCTACTCAGATGGGCAGGAGAAGCGTTCCCCGTCTCCGCTTCCTAACGGTTTGGCGAGGAGGTTCTCGGTGCTGGGTAGTAAATCCAACCGCTCGCTCTCGCCACTACCGGGCTCGACGGAAATACTCAACCTCAACGGGCTTTCTACAAGCATCGTCGGTCCATCGCGCGGCGATACCGATTCCTTGGGCCGGAGTGTTTCGGATCGATCTACAACCTCGTCGACAGGATATCTCCCTATGGGGCGAATGGGCCCTCTACGTCGGCAATCGACGCACTTGGTGCCTCCGGTTGTGGGTAGTTTCGAACTTCAAGCTCAGCCCTCGCGCAAGGTGCTTTCGACATCGAATTCCGTCGAACGCTTGGACTCTATCAACAACAAGCTGACAGCAGGTGATGACGATGTGTCGGCGACGAATCCGGTTCACCGTCGAACAAGAGCTCTCAGCAACGCCAGCTCAGCAGCAGGGAATGCCAGCACGAGCGGTCTGCACAACAAGCTCGCCAAGCTTCTGTCCCGTGGAACGAACGAGAAGAGCTCCATGCCAGACCTTGTGCCTGCTGATGCTCACGCATCGGAGCAAGCGCTGCACCGACGAAACAGCGAGGTCGGAACACTGCAATTTTCCAACAATGTCGCCCGGCGCGAGATACAGGCCGATCCAGTCATCCGATCGCATGCTAGCAGGGACACTCTAGCATCGCATACCGCTTTCCAGTCGAGGCCCTCTAGCCCTCTGCCTAGAGATTCCCCGGGACGGCAGGCTCTATCGAATGGGCTAGACACGGCAGATCAGCCTCCACCCGTTGACACCAAGCGCCAGCCTGCGGACATGGATTTCGATAAAGCGGATTGGGAAGGTGATCTCTCCGATGACGAGGACGACTACGGCGAGCCGGTGAGCTCAGTATATGGTCGGCCGGGTTTGCATGGGTCCGTAGACGGTGTGCCCGGGCATCCGGACGACTTGAACAGAGGGACTTGGGTGATGAACGGAAGAGGTTGGCAACATCGTGAGACAACGGGAACACTACTGCCGAGTGTCATTCCTCGTGATTCGAACATGGAGACAAACGGGGACCTACAGATGGACATTGGGGCGATCATGCCTGATTCTGGTTTCTCGCCTTCAGACGTACCCGCGACGATAGCAGAGACCGATGCCGAAGCAGATGCGGAAAATGCCGTCAGCGATAAGACCAGGCTTTCAATCAATACCAACCATAACACATTGGCGATCGGTAGTCGTTCACCCATGTCGTCACCTAGACAAGCTTCCCACCCTGATCACGAGCGGACGGTGAGGCATTCGCCCGGATCAGCCAATCGCGCTCCCTCGCAGCAGCGATGGCCCGATCGACCACGCCTACCTTCAACGAACGAAATGTTTGACGATGCAGAAGAAGATGACGACGAGGATGACGGGTTGGAGATCGATGTTGGACTCAAAAGGGGAAGACGGTCCTCCAAACCGTTGACGCCAGCGATGGATCGTCGACCTTCATTGCCACCTATTTGAATGGCGAATCATCGCTCATCACTTAACATCTGTAATATATGACGAGCATAACGAACATAGGATGACCTTCCGAATAGCATGAGTCAAGAGTCCTGCGTGAAATGACTGGTGTGCGCGTGAATTATAACTGGGATACAAGACATTCCTCCTAATTTCGATACCGACTACCGGGCTCGCGTTCCTCTCCATGTTCAGTCGGTGGATAAGCGTTACTATCTCGCAAGGCCGCCAGACCACCTCCATCGGCGATCTGTCCTTCAATATCTAGGCCGGTAGTAGAACACAATTGTGACCGTTCTTCCCCAAGATCCGGACGACCTGGAATACCGGTTGCTGATGATGCTAGCAGGTTTGGGTCTATTGACATCCGTTCAGACGGGGCGTGTCCGCGGTAATAGCTCTTTCGGCCTCGCTTGGTATAATCAAAGACAGTGAAGCTGTCGCGAGGTAGCCGTCAATAATAGCTATGGGAACGTGAAAATCAAGCACGATCGCTTCGCTTACTGTTCCTCCATCAATCGCATCTCCTTACTGAGGTTGTCGAGATTGGCGTTAGGATTGCGTTTCCGGGCTTTGAGAGGATTCTCTTCCAACAACAACTCTTCCAGCTCATGAGTGGCGTCAAAGTTCGCTTTCTTCGACTAGAATGGGCCGAACGCATAGCAATGTCAGTAAACGATCATGCGGGGTTTCGATGTGACGGGGCCGACTTGCGTCCGGTTCGAATGGCGGTACCGCTGCCTTGTTTCCTACGACCTCCCAATCGAGGCCGGCAAACCACGGCTGCGCTTTTAGGTTAGCGAGAGCGCTTCCGTCGGCCCGGTACCCTAGCCTTTTGTTGGGGTCTCGCTCGAGAAGCTTTGTGGGAGAGGTTCAGCTTCAGGTCCGAGTCTGATCTGTCTTCCCCCTTCGACTTACACTGCGCACAACTTGCATGCCTTCAGGAGATATTCGTGTCGAAGCGTCCGCCGGCCAGCTCAGCGGTTCTCTCAGGATGGCCTCTGTCAGATTCGTATTTGTTCTGCCCCGGAATGGCCTCTTGCCAAACATCAACTCGTATCTGACGTTGAAAAAACGGTGATAGGTCAGAGAGTCGGGCAACCCAACGCATTCAAACCAAGACCTACGCGCAAACACCGAGAGACCACCAGTCGACAGGAGCCGAATATCCTTTCTTTGTTAGAACCTCAGGCGCTGGGGAAGAAATCGATGCGGAAAAGGTCAGCGAATCGGTACCTATAGTCCTCGCTTCATTTGTACATACCCATATAGGCCAGGCTTCCGGCCACCCCCGTCAGTAGTCTCCTATCGGAAAAGTGTACGGCGATATTGAAATCCGTCAGGTGTACGTGACCCCTCTCGTCAAGGAGGATGTTATCGGGCTTGAGGTCCCTGTGGATCAAAAGGGCAGGACGTCAGCCGTCTGTCAAGCCGGGGAAGAACACGTGCTTGCGAGACCCACCGATGGACGATTTTCTTGCTATGGAGATAATCGATGGCCAATGCGATTTCACTTATATAGAAACGGACCACTTCTTCCGACAACAGCCCTTGTCGTTCGAGGTGGACTGACGGAACGCCACTTCAAGTCAGCTTCGGTCTGCGGCTGAGCGAGCTACGTGCAAGGCAAACGACGTACATCTCAGATCTCCTCCCAACATCAGATCCAGCACAAAGAAGCAATTCTCGTCGTCTTGAAAGGCGTATCTCAGGTTGACGACAAACGGGTGATCGATCTGCGTCCATGCATGTCGTGAGCCTTGTAAGCATGTTGAAGCAAGAGATCTGAAGCTTGGCGTACCTCTTCTAACAATCTCCGCTCTTGCACGATATTGGCGACTGCCTTCATCTTGACACATTTTTGCTTGTTGATGTATTTGAGTGCATATAGCGTCTTGGATTGTTTGTGTTGGACGACGCGAACCTGAACGACGGATCAAGAGTCAACACAACACCATTGGCGATCCTACGGATCATGCTATGAGACCTACCTTTCCGAATGCACCCTTCCCAACGCTCCGCAAGAGAAAGAAATGAAAGAGGTTGACTTCACCGTCAAAGTCGATGGCCTGCAGAGACATAGAAACTCCGCATCAGCCGCTGTATACGGTACGATCGTGATCGGACCAGGATCATACCTCTGGCCGGCAGCAGGCAGCACCCATAGCGACCCGCAGCAATCAATTCGGGACCGCCCGAAAACTTGCGTTGATGATAGATCGAGTAGTCGAGGGTGCGCAAGCTGGTTGCATGCCAGCCGACGTGTTCAAGCAAGCAAGCTTAAGCTTGTGTCTGTCCTTTTCCGAGCGATTGTGGGTCGTTGAGAGGTCGAATCAAGGAACGTGTGGCCGGAGTAGCGAGGATGTCTTCATGAATTGCGCAAAAAGGATGTTGAAAGGTTCGAGAGTCGATAAAAAGGTATCGGTTTAGACAGCGGTCTTGAAGAAACACATTGTTCCGGCCAGGAGCGATCAAGGTGCAGGCTCGGTGGTCGTCCTGGATCACGAGGCGATGCGAGTCGAAGCTCTATCGCAATTGACTGAATCAGCTGGTTGACCTCCGTAAGCGGACAGCGGTGAACTAAAAGTCGGTATCGTGCAAATGTCGTTGGACGCAAGTACAATCAACACGCTGTGATGGGGGAAGACAGACAGAGCTGATGGATCAGATAGATCGCCCTCGGCCTCGCACCTCCCTCGCGCTCTCGCCGCGTGGCCCGGTCACCCCGACCCACCCACGCAGCACAAACTCTCTTTTGTTCCTCGTCTAGTGAATGGGCGGCGAACAGTCGCCCCCACGGCATGACAAGTAGCAAGTAGATCACAGATCACAAACAACTCTGATATCATGTATATAGCCTCTGTCCATGCATGTACAGTTCCATGTATTCTGCGTGGACGCATTTCACGTTCCTAGCAACTTCGTGAGGTCGACACCCGAATCAGCGAGACGCTCCTCGGCGCCGTCCAACTCGCCGAGGACGTCCTCCAAGCTCGAGCACAGTTCCTCGGGACCGACCACATCTTTACACTATTGAAACAAACACGAGGATCAGCGACGATGAATCTCACAATGAGTCTCGGATCGCTCGCTCACTAGGAAAAGTAGCCTGCCCACGACCCAGCCTCGCATCGCCCCATCGGTTGGATCCGACTCATAACCACCCGACCGGAAGGTCAGCTCCGTGATGATCATGGGGAAAGCTAAAGACAAGGTGGGTCCTAGTTGAGCTCGTAACATAGCGGACCCCGCTGTCCCGGTTACAACGTTGAATGATGAGCGAGGGAACGGTACCAGAGCGACGTATATCGATGCTCACCGGACTCGGCCTCATCTGTGTGCTCCTCGCTATCCTCGGAGTCCTTCGACCAGAGGTCGACCAACCACGCCAAGATCCTCCATCCACCCGCTTCGATCTCGTATTCATCCTTAGACTTGGAAGAAGTCGGTGTGAGGACGAGCCCCCAGACCGACCCTCCGAACGGCTCAACACGTTCCGTCATGAACGCCTTGGCCCCCTCGAATACGGATCTCGGATCCACATCATAGTCGAGCAATTCCGATATACGTTGACCAGAAGGTATGGCGTCTGCCAAAGACGAAGCGTGGTTCACGTTCAGGCTGATCCTAGCTAGGGTGTAGATCGCCTCGGTCACCAGAGGTTCCGGTCTTCCTGATCGGGTGTCGTGTATGTCGGCAGCCAAGAGGTATTTAGCATGTCGCTCAAAGATGATGAAGAAGAGGACGTGTATGTGTTTGCTATTGATCCAGAGAAGATTTCAATGCCGGATCAGTTCCCGAAAGTATCGCCGAGTTGCCGTGAGTGCTACTGACGTGATCGGGCGGAACCCTTTGTCCAGGAACTGTGAGATTCCCCTGACTCCAGCTAGGACTGCGCAGAGATCACCAAGGGTCAGCGTGGAGATTATTATGGTAAGCTGGTGTATGGTTCACTTACGATCTCGCTCATCGAAACGGACGTCGATGAACTGGTGCCAATCCTGGGGGAACAGCGAGTCTTCGGGCATCATCGAGGTTGAAAGCCAGGTCGGTCGGGAACGCTATGTGATCTTGTTGGAACGGTCGAGATTGGACATGACCGTTCCTGCATTTGGCGATGGCGCGATGGTGCTGTTTTTCTTGTCTGTCGTCTGTCCCTAACCTTCTTCTTGGTGGACGATAATGAACTGATCGAACTGATGCGATGTTGATGAGCAGGACGAAGGGAGACACCTTCTATTCGATCACGTGATCGACCCCACTTCGATCGAACGAACCCCGTCCCTTCGTCCCCTCTTCGGCGTTGCCCGAGTCGCGGTTTGCCCGAGGTCCGAGAAGTCTTGCCTGCTTGTAGGTGGCATCACTCGCATGCATATTATTATTGCAAGCACGAATGTCACGACGAGACATCCAGAGGGTCTACACGTTGGGACAATGCCATCATATTCACACTCAGATTGCTCGTATTGACGATGTGTCTGTTGATCGGAAACAGATCATCACAAGAGTCGCCCGGTGAAAGTGTGCGGACAAACGTCGGGCAAATGGGCGACAATGACCGGCGAAATCGTGTTCACATCACACACATGATCTCGACCCTCTTCGGGGGTCATCTTCCATCTTGACAGCTATATAAGGGGGCAAGTATCACAGTACATACACACTCACTGACAGCTGATCAGGCGAACACCTTGTGATCAAGTCGTATCACACATCAAAAGCCTCGATCGACTCTGCTCCCATACCACAGAACAACCCACGAAATGGAGACCACGACTCCCATATCCGCCAACTGGTCTTATACCCAGCTCACACCTACCAGGGTACCGGACGGTGCCAAGCCGAGTACGGTCGCTCAACAGGAAAAGGAATGGCACTCGGTGCACAAGTTTCCTACTGGGGTTCACGTCGAGTTGATGCAGAGGAAAGAGATTCCTGATCACTGCAAGGGCTTGAACGAGTGGGACATCCAGGTGAGATCATCTCGAGAAGTTTGCGGTATGCGAGTCCTGATCGACTGTAATTTCGGATCTGCAGTGGATCGGAGAGTCCGACTGGCGCTTCAAGACAACGTTTGAGATCACGGAAGAGCAGAGCAAGCAAGACAATGTCGATATCGTATTCGAAGGTCTCGACACGTTCTGTCATGTCGAAATCGTGCGTATCCCGTTCTCATTTCCGGATTCGGCGTTGAACGAGAACTAACCAGCATTGTACAACTACAGGACGGCAAAGAGGTACTTTACGCTTCGAACATGTTCCAGACCTACCGTATCCCCGTCAAAGAGTTCGGCAAGGGAGAACACAGCCTGACGCTCACCTTCCCTTCGGCTTGGTACGAAGCCAAGAGGATCGAGGCCGCGGAGATGGAGAAGAACTTGCCTGAGAACAAGGATCCCTTGACGGGCGAACAGAAGAAGCTCTCGTTCTGGAACGGAAACTCTTCCAGGCTATACGTGCGAAAGGCGCAATATGGCTGGGGTTGGGATTGGGGTCCAGTGGTCATGACGGTCGGACCTTGGAGTGAGTGATCTCGCTCATTCACAGCTGCACCGGGGAGGGAGGTCACTGATATGAACGCGCACAGAGCCCATCTACATCCATGCCTACACTGCCAAGATCACAGGTAACCGTATCGATACCATCCTCGACTCTTCACACAAGACCGCCAAACTGCGTTCCAAGGTCCAGGTTTCTCACGCCTTGAAAGACTCGAGCGTCACCTTGACTCTGTCGGATACTTCCGGCAAATCTATCAAGACCCAAACGATAAAGCTGAACGATAATGGCGAGGCTGAGGTCGAGTGGGATTTTACTGTCGGTGAAGACGTCCAGCTCTGGTGGCCCGTTGGACAAGGCAAACAGCCGCTCTACAATGTCTCTGCGGAATTGATACTTCAGGTATGTCAGCAAGAACAGGCTGTATCGCTTTCAAGATGATTGAAGCTTTCGCTTTTTATTGCAGGACGGAACGTCGATCTCCAAGAGAGAAGACAGGATCGGTTTCAGGACGATCAAGGTCGTCCAGGAGAGTCTCATCGACGCTCCTGGAAGCAGCTTCCTTTTCGAGGTCAACGGTCGAAGGGTGTTCTGTGGAGGTGAGTCCCGTGACTCACGTTCAACCACATAGTCGCATGCTGAACCGAACCCACAATCTAGGATCCAACTGGATCCCAGCGGACAACCATCTCACCGAATGTACGGAGGAACGATACCGCGCGTGGCTGCAGCTCATGGTAGACGGCAACCAGAACATGGTCCGGGTCTGGGGAGGCGGAGTGTACGAGTTTGACTACTTTTACGACATTTGCGACGAACTCGGTCTGCTGGTCTGGCAGGATTTCATGTTCGGCTGTGGGCAGTATCCCGCCAACAAGCAGTTCTTGGAGTCAGTGCAGGTCGAAGCGGAGCAGGCTGTTCAAGCTTTGCGAAACCACGCGAGTCTTGCGATCTTCGTAAGTGGTCTGGCGATAATTTCGATATTGTCGATTCGCAAGTATTGAACAAAACAAATTGGTCATTCCAGGCTGGTAACAACGAAGACTATCAATTGCTCGAGTCGATCGGCGTCGTTGTCGATTATGACGACAAGACGTCAGACTTTACCAAGACCAACTTCCCTGCGTGAGCACGAGCGCAGCCTGATTTACCTCACATGGGCAACATGCTGATCCTCCAAATCGCAGTCGTCACATTTACGAGAAGCTCTTGCCAGACGTGGTCAGCTCTCTCTGCGAGACCTATTATCACCCGTCTAGCCCGTTCGGTGGCCAAACCAGTGGCGACAAGACGGTCGGAGACCTCCACCAGTGGAGTGAGCAGACATCCCGTGAAGAACAAGGTCATTTGCGTTCCGGCTGACGGAATAATTTCCCTTTCATCGCAGATGTCTGGCACGGCTCGCAAGAACCTTGGCACAACTGGGACATTCTCGCCGGTCGTTTCGTCTCAGAATTCGGTATGGAAGGATACCCGGACATCAGGACTGTCGATTACTGGTTAGACGGCAATGAGAAGGAGCGCTTCCCTCAGTCACGAACCAACTGCTCGCACAACAAGGCTGTTAGTATTTGCTCCAGTCGTCAGTTTGACGAGCCTCGCTAACGACGTGGTTAACCCTGTTTGTAAATTTGATAGGATGGTTTCGAGCGCCGGTAAGCCAGATGTCATCGCCCACAGTCTGTTATAACGCTAACATGTTGATCCTTAGATTGGAGCTATATTTGATGGAGAACTTCCGTCATGCCTTTGACATGGAGAGTTATGTGTACTATACTCAGGTAATGCAAGCCGAAACATTGGCAGCCGCTTACAGGTAAGCCTCACCCGCGCGTGGCTGTGGCGATCGAGCTCATTTGAAGTCGACGAGCAGGCTCTGGCGACGAAACTGGAAGGGCAAGGGCAAGGAGTTGACTTCCGGAGCGCTTGTTTGGCAGAGTGAGTCGTGCCGGGACTTGAGGAAGCTCTACGAAACGATGTTAATATGCAATATTGCTTTACAGTCAATGACTGTTGGCCGACGACGAGTTGGGCCATCGTCGACTACTTTATGCGACCGAAACCAGCTTTCTTTGCCATCGCAAGGGAACTTCGGCCGTTCACGGTCGGCATGGCTCGAAAAGATGTCAAGACGTTGGACAACCCGAGTTCGGACGCGTACTTTAAGATCGAGCAAAGCGTACGTAGAGCCATGGCTCAACAAATCCCTTGCACATGACTCACCTGTCCGTACCGCAGCTCGAGATCTGGGGAAACAACTCGTCGGTCGAGGAGAAAAAGGCCACGCTCGAGGTCGTCTCTTTCGACCTGGAAGAAGGCAAGGTCGTCGATTCCAAGTCAACCGAGGTCGTGCTCGCGCCCAACGCATCCACAGAGTTCTTCAAGGGCACTGTCGCGGGACAGCCTACCAGAACGCTGGCTTCGCAATTGCCCAAGATTATCGTCGTAGGCGCGAGGTTGATCGATCAAGACGGAACGGTACTCGCTCGATACGGTAAGACAGAAACATAGGTGTCAACCACATGCTCTTGCTGATATATTGCCTCCACAGCAAACTGGCCTGAGCCCTGGAAGTACATTCAATTCCCTGAAGTCGGGTTGAACATCAAGACTGGCGACGATGGCGAGACCTTGACGCTGTCTTGTAAACGACCCATCAAGGGAGTCATCCTGGACGTCGAAGACCGCAGCACCGATGCCAAAGACGGTGAGGTAAAGTGGTCCGACCAGGCCATCGATATGATGCCAGGGGACGACCAAGTGGTCATCGCAAAGGGCCTGAAGGGCAGAAAGGTCAAGGCTAGGGTGAGCGAATCCTCTCAAACTCTCTTTGCCTAGATCGATGCTTATCCAAGAACTTGCAGTATCTCGGAGATGGTTCCGCATGAAGGATCGGTATTCATCAAAAAGTGTTGTAGGAAATAGGCGTTTGCGGAATGGCGGAGTGAAAGCATGATTGTTATCGATTTGAGCATTACAACTGGATACGGGACACAACAATTCACGCTCTCGGATAGTCTGTGTGATTTGCGTACACGATGGTTTTGGAACGATTAAATTCCATAGATCGCCAACTGCTTCATTTCTCCTAGGGTGGATTCTACCTGGGCGTCGAGTTGACCGTTCGCGTACTCGTCTCGGATGTTTTCGGCAAAGTAACTGTCATCGTTCCGTTTACGACTGATTAGTATATTAACCAAAGAGGAAAGAGTGTGCGTGTGCACCTACCGTTGGACGCCTGCGAGCTTCGAGTATCCTTCCTCTGCGAACTTCAGCTGACACCGCACCATGGCTTCGAAAGATGGGTCAAGGTAGGCTGACACGGGTAGAATCGTGTAAGCTGCAGCCATGCACGACATCATGATCCGCAGGAGAATAGAGACTCACGTATTCGCAGTTCTACCAGCTGAGGCAGCTCTTCGATAAGCTGACCGTTCAAGACTTCAAAGATCTCCTTGGCTTCGTCGTGCTCTTGTTGGGCCTGTCAAACGTTTCCTGATCAGTATTCAAGTGGTGACTGTCGGGTCAGAGCACATGAATCACCCTGGGCAGCTTGGCAGTATCTTCAGCCGGCTTGTCTACGAGCTTCCTGACTTTAGACCTTGACGCGTCATAATCCAGCATCTATTAGGAAACAAGGCGGCAAGATCAGCTTGATTTGGTGTAAGAAAATACGTTTCAGCCGGCTCACCTTCTTGTTCCTCTTGGCGATGGCATCGTTGATAGCAGGGTAGTAACTGCACAGTTTGCCAACGGGCTCGAGGACGGTTGCCCTGAAAGGAGCGTCGAGGTCCCGTCCGACGCTGTTGTCCAACTCGTCTACAGCGGACTTGTAGGCGTGTCCAGCCATGGCGCCCTGAGGAAGCAATATAATCAGCTGGCATTCGACCTGAAAGATTCCTGGAAGGATGATTACGTCGGACGTCCTGTCGGCGGTGTAGAACATTTCGAGGGTTTCGGCGATCCGGCTTTGCGATGCAGACATTGCTGCGGAAGCCCGATGTCAGCGACGGTCAAGAAGAAGACTAGCAGTCTTGCCGACTCACATCGCATAGCATCGAGATAAGCCTTGGCCTCCTTCTGCAGCTCGGTAGTCTCCCTCTCCATCCTATTCTCCCATATGTGATTCGCAGTGATCAGGTCGAGTCCCTTGAGACGCAGTCTTCCTGCTGCGCGCGACTTACGTCCTGTATCTACCTTCCTCTTCTGCAAACTCCCGGTCGACAGTCCGTTCGATCTGACCGGTCTTTTGCATGATCTGCGTCCCAGCTCGGGACGCTGCCTTCTTGAAACTGGTGTTTGTACCCGGACGAGCATTTCATGCGGGATGGTTGGGAAGGTTCGGATGAATTCGAAAGAGGTCAAGCGAATGAGAAATGCACCGCATTAGAAGAGACACAGGTAGCATATGGTCTAGGGAGTCAGCAGCAGATTCTTCATCTAGAAAATATCGTCAAGGAAAAAGCTCACCCTCCCCTATTAGGACATTAACGACGATCGATCAAAGGTGGCAGGTCAGCCATAAGACGACGATGAGCGCAGTCGAAGGCCTACTCACCAGGACATGATGAGAGCCGCAACTTGGTTGTTCGAACTTTAAGGTCAAGATGCGAGGCTCTACAACGTTACAGAAACCATTTAAAAGCCATAGCCAGAGGAGGGATCGAGTTATCGTTGCTATCCGGCTCGAGATGGACATCCCGCCGGGTGACGAATCCCCAGGCAGCATGTCCCGCTCGGATCCGAAAGAGGCAGTAGCAAGCGCGGCTGTGACAACCTTGCGCTTCTTCGTGGCAGAGGCCAACAAGATGCCGTGCGCTAGTGATCACCGATCCTCGGGCTTGGCAGACCACGGTGTCGTCATTTATACCGGATCTGCTGCTCGTCATGCTCGTCATCGCTCGCATCGTCATCATCGTCATATCGAGTCGCGAGTTGCCCTCATGCTGCCCCCTTCACCCTCTCGGCCTCTCGCTCCCGCAGTCTGCATGCTGCAACTCGGGTCTCTCGCTCTCTCGTCGTGTCTACCTCCATGCCTCATGCCTCAAAGCGGGAGAGAGATCGCGCCGTTCAAGATGGTATATATACCTCCCTGACATCCGTTATCTCGCATTATCGCATTTCGCCCCCCGTACCCGTCTCGAATTTGTCTTTCATCCTTACCAAACTTCCAACACTAGACCTCCCCCGCGAGAAAGCTTCCATCCCCCACACATACGCAAACAATCGACTTCGTCACCCATGTCGTCGATCCTCTTCAAACGCCCTACCATGCTGGCACTGGCCGGCGTCGTCACCCTGATGTCGCTCATCCCGACCGCCGAGGCCCAGTACCGTCGACCGTATGGTTACTACAATCGACGACGTGGTGGATGGTGAGTCTCTTCGGGCCCCGTTGTCCTTCTCGTTTCGGATCGCTGATCTCGCCCGCCGCTCTCGTTCTCGTCGGTGTCAAATCTGAAACAGGCGAAACATCTACCTCCTCGCCATCATCTTGCCCATCGTCTTCTTCGCCCTGATCCTGCTCTTCTGGATGTTCGTCTTCCGAAAGCTGCTCGCTCGTCGACGTCAACGACATGCCGAGGTCTTGCCTTCGCACACTTCGAGCACCATGTACCCTCAGACTGGGGAATACTCCAACCCGTACACCGGGGGCAATGCTGGGTACGACAACAACACGTATAACTACGGGCAACAGCAGACCACCCAGTACCCGCAACAAGCGCACGTATCTACCGGTCACCAGCAATACGCTCCTCCTCCCGGAAAGCCTCCTCAGGGATATTAGACGCGATGAGACGCGATGGAGGATAGGGGACGAGAGAGATGAAGTGAAAGATGGAAACGATTATAATAACGGTCTGAACGAGTTCCCAAGTCCGTATCGCCTGAGATTGTCATAAAACTGTATCCACAAGCGTGTACCATCGATATTATCCTGTAGCTGTAGTCATGCCTCATATACGTCAACATGCCTAAGCCTATAGGCCTAAAGATTCGACTTTCGCTGGGTTTAGGGCTCGCGGGTCGTGCCAATTGATAGAGGTACGGCGCCCATCTAAAAACTGGAGCGTGCTCTCAGTTCGACGGAAATAGCTGGAAAGGACTGCACTAAGCAGGGTACACAAGATGTTATTGGCTTACGGACGGCTATTGGCTCTCTTTGATGTTTCTTTGAAGGCAGCGAGACCAAGGTCTCTTCGAGCTCATCGTCCTTCTTCCTCTTCCTCTTCCAATGAGCGGTGATCTTGGATGGACCGGGCATTGGGGCTTTGACATGTACGTGTCTGTGCAGTTCGAGCTGATGTTTACAATGGGTGTGTTATCATACTAGCACATCTAGATGCGCCCGCCTGGATCTCGAGTTTGCGCTGCAGCGCATCGACACAACCTTCTATCTACTGTACTCCGTGCTCAAATCTGTTGTGATTCAAGCGGCCAGAGCGGCCTGGAGTCGAGCGTTCTCAGCTTTGAGACCCTTGTTCTCAGCCTTAAGGCAGCCTGTGTGATACAAATCGGTCGCTGTCTAACTAGTGTCACAAGGGTCGCATATTCTGGTTTGCCCGAGTTTGGCTGCCTTCCTAGCCCGTTTGGACGACTTCGGCAACGCACAACTACTTCTAATCTGATGCGTGGTGCCAGATGCGATGTCCTGGTCATGCCCGCGACCAAGATCGTATCGCCTAGTATATGCTCATGATTGTAACTTGGCCTTTCCGTATCGTGTATGGTGATGTGCAGTGGGAATGCATCTATTGAGCTCAGGCGCTCTGGTCTCCCCTGAAACCCCGGAAGCGTAATTGCTCTGGACTGTTAGGAACAAGATAAGATCTCACGAGATGTGCACTCCATATTACAACGTTCATTTCTAATTGACGTTCACTCTGATCCAATCGTCGCGACGAGTCCAGTACATACACTTCTTCGAGAGCCCAAGTCCAATGTTTCCCTCACGCCCACCGAGACTTTTCCCACTGAGGATCTAATAAGATTCCGATGCGAGCACGACGACAATAAGTGTACGCGGTCGTATAGTCGTGTTGAATTACACCACTTACCTTGCAGGAACGCGCAGAGCACTTTCGATCCAGTCTGCAGCAGAGGGTGTCCCGCAACGATCTCCAGGAACCGCTGCAACGCAGCTTGTCGCTTATCAATCAGGTCCTCGGAGAATCGGTTCGTAAAGACCTGTTTCAGTGCGATGGCAGGACAGCAGTTCTGTCAACGAACCATGGTAGGCGAGACTGAACCAATGCTAGCGAATCACCTTGCCCGGGAGAGTCGGGATGTTGACCCTCGTGCTTTCCCGTTCTAGAATGTCCCTGAATGCTTCGAAATCGCTATAGCGACGCCTGACCACGGAGACCTCCAGCTTGAATGCGGGTATATTGGTCTGTCCGAAGGGAACGTTACAGCTTTGTCTGTGCAGTCAGGAGACTAGCGAACATGCTGTCGCTCACCCTCGTCATGATCTCGTAATCGGTATACATCTTCCTTCCGACTCCTGGAGAACATGGAGCCATGGCATCAGCAGCGGCAAGATAGGCGATATGAAAAACTTTGTCTCACCATGCGTTTGCGGGTTCCTGACCTCGATCTCCAGGAACGATTCAGGCGGAGCGTACATCTCGTCGAACTGTATGGCAATATTCAAGTGACATTTACAATGAGTCCGACGATATCCAACCTTTGGCTGATGGAGATGACTCACAGTTTGAGGTTTGGTGTAAGCCTTTCCAAAGTCCGAGAATGTTCGAGCGAACGGCGAATGGTGGACCTCGACTGTTGAACAAAGGACGTCAGTATTGCTCGAGGCGGGTAAGTGGCTAGAAGCACGCTTACTGGGAGGGGAGCCAGGTCCGGGCACATAGTACTCTGTCATAACAACGTAAGACCAGTGGCGGAGAAACGTTAGCTAGGATATACCGATCAAGCGACTTGATGTATGTCAGCTTACCTCCACGAGCTACTTGTTGCTGTTGCACGAGGTGAGACGATTGCCTCTGAGCAGGATTTGGTCGTTGCGCTTGTGCAGGAGAAGGCTGCTGCTGTTGATAACGCTGTTGAGGAGGTTGTTGTTGGGACTGTTGCTGTTGTGGCTGCGGAGATCGCTGTTCGTAGGGATTGGGCTGTGCGTATCCCCGAGGCGTCTGATCATAAGGCTGAGCTGCCTGGCCACGGACGGGAGAGGGGTATCCTCTCGCAGCGTCTTGTCCGTACGGATCGTAAGCTGCTACAGCAGGGTTCTTAGAGAGACCTGGCTGCTGAGGTTCTTGACCGAACGGCTGCTGTTGATAGCTGTCACGAGACTGATTGTCGTTACTGCTGTAATCATTCCAACCTGGTTGCGCGGCATGCGTGGGTGTCGATGCCCATGGTGACGGTTGAAAGGGCGAGTTGGCAGAGTTTGAAGATCCACCGGCAGAGTACATCTTGTATACAACGAGAACCGAGACAGTAGTGGTGATGATTCGATAGCTCGACGACCTTTGTTGCTTGCTGATGACGGGAATGAACTCTGATTGATGACGACGACCTACCCCGCCGGTCTGAGGGTTGATTTATGCGTTTTCACATGCTATGCATGCCGTCATCGGTCGGTATGCGTTATCAATGTTGCTGGCTAATGCGGGGAAGGTGATTTCGCTACAAATTGGTAAACTCGATTTCGGACGCCTGACGAGCTAAACGAGTCTTTCATTTTCACAGATCACATCTTGCATGTACCCTCTAAGGACTGCCGTGATGCCGAACCCGATTCGACGGGTTTCGAAAGTCGCCGTGACTTCCCACCTAGCCATATCACAAATCATTCGCAATCGTTTGCCAGTCACGTGATAACGCGTCTGCTGTGATCGCCGTATCCCAATTTACCTGTGTCACAGCGATACCGACCTCCGATAACTTGAAAGTCAGCAGCAATCATTGAGTGAGTGTACCTACTCAGCGAAGGTGTAGCGCGATAGGTCGTATTGTCTGATTCGGTTGGAGGTGAGAACCTTGTCAACTCATATAAAGTGGCACGGCTTTCGCAATCACGGTTCACCTCGAGTCTACGCTCCCAGAGGACAAGAAGTAGAACATGCGTCAACAATTCAACAAACAACATCGAAAGTGTAAACAAACGAACCATCTAACTTACTACCCTATCTTATCGACACCGCCTTGCCCGTCATCACATACACCTTTTGATTTCGTTACTTTGAGATAACTTGTAGAGTTCCAAGTGCTTTGATCATGCCCTACAATCCTGCGCTATTGCGCACCCCGCCGCCATTGGATGATACGGGTATTCGCGAAACACCTCGACCCGTCAAGGCCAGGATCACCGAGTTGGAGAAACAGAACAACATCCTGCTCAACCAGAAGCATGCTCTCGAGGTGAGTCGCTAACAGTGGTATAGGGCATGAAAAATTCCGTGCTGAAGATCGCTTCTACACGCAGCGGAAACAACAATCCGAGCTTTCCAAGCTGCAAAGCGAGATCCAGGCTCTGACATCTTCAACCTCGTCCTCGACTGCCGCCGCTCAACAAGCTCAGGCCGACATCAACAAGCTCCAAAAGCTTTGCGATCGATATGCTTCAGAACTCAAAGAGACGAAAGAGGCGTTGTCTGCGGCTCAGGCGGAAGTGCTGAAGGGCAAGACTTTCGGGGAAGGGATGTTCCGGGAGAAGATGAGGATCGTGGAAAATGAGAAGGCTGAGATGCAGTCCGAGGTGAGCCCGATGCGGTGGATCCGAGCGATGGAGAGAGCATGGACTGAAAGACCAGCGTTGTGGGTAGTTCAACCTCAAGGTCCAGTTGACCGAACAACGAACGGCCCTGAAGTTGGCCAAGCTGGAAACTCAGCTGATCGATACGGAGCGGAAGGTCCTGCAAGCCGATCAGGAGAAGTGTACGTTCAGATATGATTCCTCGATGATGCAAACCGGATTATCGATATGCTGACCGCGCTTCACTACTGTCAGTGCAACTGAAGAATCGGCTGTCAAAAGCTTCTGCTGATGCCGCTGACCTCAAGGACGAGATCGCGCACACTGCCAGTCTCGTGAGTTGCCAAGGCGTTTTTTTTTGTGTCTCGAAGCAGTTTTCTGACGAAAGTCGCATCATCCTAGTCAAAGGAAGTTGAGAAACTGCGGGAATCCCTCAGGAAAGCCGACGTCCGTTGCGAGTCTGCCGAAGGAGCTCTTGAAACCCTTAAGGAAGCCCGGTCGGCCAGCGATTCTGGCGCACAGGTCAAGCTCGCCGAACTCCAAGCGTCCATCTCTGAGCTGAAAGAAGAAGCTTCCGAAGCTCAACGACAGGCGACCTCAGACAAGAAGACGATCGCCAAGCTCGAACGTAACGTCAAATCTCTACAAGAACGCGAGACCCAGCTAGAAAAGGAGGTAGAGGAGCTCTCTTCCGAAGAAAAGGCCAAGGGAGGGGAGACCGACAAGCAGGTCAAGGCGATGAGACTCGAGCTGAAGGGCGTCAAGGGCGACTTGAAGAGCAAGGAAGAAGAGGTCAAGGAGCTCGAAGATGAGATGGAGCGGATCAGGAAGGAGTTCCGCGAAAAGGAGAAATCGACCAAGCGGGAGAACAGGGAGAACGTCGATCTCAAGGACAAGATCGCTAACCTCGAAGTGAGTCTATTCACGAAATGCGTAGGGACGTCTCGTCACATGCGTGCTGATCTATACCCCTGGACGGTCTGCTTATGTAGGAAGAAATCGACTCTCTCCGACGTAACAACGCTGCTTTGGTCGAGAAGGCCAAGAAGTACCGCAACGAGGCTCGAGCTGCTTCTTCCGCTCAACCTAAGGAGACGGAGAAGCCTGCTTCTCCAGAACCCGTCAAGAAGAAGGTAACTCGGCCGGTACCGGAAATCACGGTTACAAACGAAAGCGAAGAGGAGGCGCAGGCAGAGGTCGCCAAGGCTCCTAAGCGAGCTGTCAGTCAAAGCTCACGGGTGACGGATCCTTTGACCTTGTTGCTGATTTTCTAATCTCACTTCTGTAGGCCCGGGAGGCGGCCGTGACGAAGAAACCTAGCAAGGTAAGATTTGAAACGATTGCAAGCCCTTTCACGTCAATCATGCTGATTCGGAACAACGCCGCTATACAACAGTCCAGGTACACTGTGGCTTCGGATGATGACGAGGAGGAAGAAGAGGAAGTCTACGTTCCGAAACCAAGGGTGAGTAACGAACCCCGTAATGGTTCCAATAGCACGCTTACCGGATCGACCTTCTCACAGGCCGGACGGGCTGGTCGTGCGGCTTCCAAGACCACTTCCCTGGCAGAGGAGTCGGGACCAGAGCGAGACGACGCTCCCGTAAAGAAGGCTGCCAGAGCTTCGCCAGTCGAGTCGATCACCAAACCGGTCTCGCTCGCTCCGAAACCGAAGTCCCGACCAGCGCCCGGCTTTGGCAAGTCGCGCCTAGAGCCCACTATAATGGAGGAGGACGAAAACGACGAGAATGAACCGGAGGAACGGGATAGCGGGAAACGCAAGAGTAAAGACGTTCTGGCCCCGGTCGAAGTCGAAAAGAAGAAGAAGCGGAAGATCGGTGCGGTCGCTCCGCTTGCACCTGCTTTCGACTTTAACGGCTTCCTAGTGAGTCTGCCTTACGATGTCGTTGGGTTTCATACGGTCTTTCTGATATACCTTCCATTCCACGACAGACCGGAGCCAGTTCGGGTAACTCGTTGATCCCGTCAATATTATCGCCCATGAAGCCTACGAGTTCTAGTCTACCACGTAACTCGCTCAGCATGAGTCGAAGTTTCGGCAGTAGCATCTCGAGCTCCAGGAAGATGTTCGGGGCAGGTAGTGGGAGAATATGATACGAGAGGGCAGTGATGTGTATTTGTACGTATAGCCAGTTGTATGCCTGGCGGCAGTTTCGCCTTTATAATCCGTTTTACAAGTGTGAACGCCTCTCCATCCAACCCCTTGCGAATCATTCTTCCGAACCGGCATCCTCCTTTACTTCGCCTTCTTTCGCCTTCTTGCTCATCTTCAATAGGTCGGGTGGGAACAGCAGGCTCTTGACCTTGTTGTTCCAGTGGTTCTCTAACTAGAGTCATCGAGATAAGGTTTCAGCCAACATGAACTCTCGTCACGATACTGCTCGCCGAGTATGACATACCTGCTTCACCGTCAACTGAGGAAAGTGGTTCTTCTGAAGATCCGTCCAATTGTAATGCAGCTTAATCTCGGAGATGCTGAGGACGTGGCTGATCATGGTCTTGTCCATCTCCTCTGTCCAAGTGATCTTCGAAGACGCAGCAGCACCCGCACGCTGCTTCTTGGGCGACTCTTTTCCGTAAGGCTCGTTCTTGACTGGGGATGATGAACCGGGAGCTTTGGGCATGATGTTTCTTGATTTCTGCACATGGTTCGAGGAAGCAGGATGTGAGAGACGGGTCGCGGGTCGCTTGCACAAGGAGATTTATCTGCTTACCGGCACAAGTACGGATTTTGTGTACGGTTTGGCTGGGTAATATCCAGATATGATAGTAGGGTGTAGACTGCGATGAACTCGACTCAGAGGTCTTTTGGGTAAAAAGTAATATAGCTTCTCAGCTTTCCCAATCGCGAAGCCAAAGGACCCCTTCTCGGGTGGATCTACCCGATTTCCCTTTTTGTTCTTGTTCTTGTTCTCTTTTGTTTCGTCATGATGCCTCGAGCTCTTCACTTGAATCGGATCACAAGATCACAAGACGAGCAGAGATGACTAGAAGGTCTAGGCCAAAGTGGGCGATGGGCGACGAAACTGGGAACGCAGTATTCAGATAGAATTACTCGACGAGAAAGGAAGCTCAATGGTTCTCATTTTACAACATGATCGTAACGTCTCTTCAGTTCACCATACATATGTCTCGTCGATCTTCGACCTCTACTCGTCTCCTTCGGGTTCACCTTTCGCACTTCCCGCTTTCCCACCCTTCGCGTCCTTGTTCATCTTGAGAACTTCGGGAGGGAACATGGTATTCTTGAGCTTGTTATCCCAACGGCTCCTCAACTGATGGAAGGTTGCAAATTCGGAAAGAGGCAGACTTCAACGATCGTGATACTCGAGTACTCTGACCGCCGTAGTTCCCACTCACCTGCACTACGGTAAGGTGCGGGAATTTTTCCTTTTGCAACTCTGGCCAGTTGAAGCGGAGGTTGATATCCGAATGCTTCAAGATGTGAATCATGACGTCCTTGTCCATTTCAGGCGTCCAGGTGACGCCCTTGGCGCTCTTGCCACCTTTCTTAGCAGGAGATGCCTTTTCGTTTCCGGAAGTGGCGCCTTCGTCGGGGTCGCTCTTGACGGCCGATTGCTTTTTGGGAGACGTCTTTTCGTAAGGTTCGGCCTTGGCTTTGGTGGGAGAAGAGGGTAGTTTTGGCATCGTACGAAGCTAACACATACGACCCGGTCAGTACGTAACACGACCTGACTGATAACCGAGCGTATGACGACTCACGCGAGGCTCGGATCGGTAGTCGTTGTTGTTGTAGAGATCACGTGACTCGCGTAACGATTTTCACCCCTACTACATCAGTCGACGTGTTTTGATTCTATATTACTAGTAGTATCTTGACACCTGTTTTTACTAGTGATTTGCTAGTAACAACAGGTGAGCCTATACTTTGTACAATACGAATGAGAAACGCATAGTGATTTGCTAGTAACAACAGGTTATGAGCCCAGACGGTGCTGTCGTTACGTCGAAACGGTAGAATTTCCTCTTCCGGTCGATTGTGGCGAACTCCGTAGCCTAGCAAAGACCTCCTGGCGATTCGCCAGTTTAATCCCGACTATATACGATACCGACGACACATATTACTTCCCTACGACTATAACGAATCAGCCCTACGCTGGATCAGGCCGAAGACGAACGGCTGATCGTATACGAAACCGACAACGCGTTCTTAGACCAGATCGAAAGACGCTTACGACACACACAAACCCCTTCCTTTATCAACATATAAACACCTCCACTCCCACATCGACAACTTCATCCGGATAGACAAACCTTCCGCATACTTCACACCATGTCCGATAGCGAGGACGATGCGAAGCCCCGCATGACCGTTCTCGGCGTCGGGGGTCTGAACTATGTCGATTGGGAAGAAAGCTTAACGGACACGCTGGCGATGAAGGGGCTGACGGCCTACGTTGAACGAGGGGTAGATGGATACATGAGGAAGCAGAGACCTGGGCCGGCTGATCCTGCAGGCCAGGAAAGGTACGATATCAAGAAGGGCAAAGCACTTGCCATCATCAGACGCTCGATCGGGGACAACCGCGCCACCATTCGCGGGATCACAGACCCTGCCAAAGCGATCGCCCTTCTCAAAGAGTACTTCTCCCAAGCCACGGCCTACGATAAGGTCACCCTTCAGAATCTTTGGACGACCACCGTCCCGGTCGGAGACGACTTCCCCGGATACATGGCCGAGATGGGCCGCATCAAATCCGACCTTGTCGCTCTCAATCAGGCCTACACGGACGAAATGATGGTCGGACAGATGCTACTTAAGCTGAAGGAGTATCCGATGGGCCATCCCTACCATACCGTTGCTCTCCAGATGGACTACAAAGCCCATGACGATCCAAACGGTCTTACCTTGCCCTACTTTACCCGCTTCATCACCAAAGCCACCCACGAGATGGTTCAATCGGAGCGGGAGATCTCGGCGGAGGAGAAGGCCTTCATGGCTCAGGCGAAGAAGTTCGGATATCAGAAGATGGAGAAAGGAGAAAGGATCGAGCAACGAAAGATGGAGGGAAGGAGTACGGATCAACGTGCCTACGATCGTATCGGAAACAGATCTGACGGATGTCGCTTCTGCAGAAACCCGGACCATCGCATCCAGGACTGCACTCATCCCGACTTCGACTACAAAATCTGGCAAGCCCACAAAGAGAAGGTTCTTCGTGACAAACAAATGAAGGATCCGGGAAAGCCGATGAAAGATCCACAGAGATCGATGGTCGCGAATGTAGCTTCGTCTTCCGGTAGTGTTATTGAATCCTCCATTGACATCTACGAGAGTGATGAGGCGACAATCTCCGAGAGCCTCTATCATGCTGCCATCTCAACGAAAGGAACGATCATGGATTCGGGATGTTCCAGATGCATGTTCCGTGAGAAATCCTACTTCCTTCTATCGCCGAATTTACGACAACAACGTACCGAAATCAGGATCGGAAATGGTGATAGCATCTGGTCAACGCATGTTGGAGATCTATATCTGAAGGGAGAAGTACCCATGCGCTTGTCCAATTGCCTACTAGTACCCGACTTGAACGTAAACCTCATCTCGATATCACAACTAGATCAGGGAGGACACAACGTGACCTTTGGTGGCGGAAAAGCGGTTGTTAAGAAAGACAACAAGACGGCTCTTGTCGGGGTCCTCCGGGATAATCTCTATCACGTCAACATCGAGGTGGAAAGGTGTATCGAGACCGCGAACGTAGCGGCAACAACGATGGACTGGCATAAGCGACTCGGTCACTACGAGTCAAGGAAGATTTCTAAACTAGTCGGCAAGGTAGAAGGCCTACAACTGAAGGCCGGAACGTACGACAAGTGTGAATTGTGCACGCTAGGAAAGATGACAAGAGGGTCTTTCCCACCTTCCGAAACGAAGTCGAAAGCGCCCTTGGAACTGCTACATCTCGACCTGGCGGGTCCCTCGTCTGTCGAGTCTATTGGAGGAGGGAAGTACTTCCTCATCATAGTAGACGATTACTCTCGGCAGTACCACGTGGATGTACTCAAAGCGAAGTCAGACGCTTTCGATTACATCAAGCGCTACATCTTGGAAAACGAGACACAGCTCGGCGTAAGGGTCAAACGGATCCGGAGCGACAACGGCGGGGAGTTCATCAGCGCGAAGATGAAATCTTTCCTACAACCACGTGGGATCATTCACGAAACAACGACCGCATTCACGCCAGAACAGAACGGAGTGGCGGAACGAGCTGTTAGAACGATCAAGGAAGGGGCACGCACTTTGCTATTGCAAGCGAATCTAAAACCGCGATATTGGGCAGCGGCAGTCAAAGCTTTCGTCTACAGCCGTAACAAGACGATACTGTCAACCCGTTCTAAGACACCAGACGAGCTATACTACGGACGTAAGCCAAATGTGGACAACATCAGAGTATTCGGGTGTGTAGCATATGCCCATATCGAGAAGCATCAACGGGAGACATGGAAGCCGGTAGCTAAACGCTGCGTGTTCGTGGGGTATGGACAAACAGATGGGAAGAAGGCGTGGATCCTATACGATCCGTATGAAAGGAAAACCATCACTACAGTACATGCGTCATTCAGGGAAGATCTCGTCTGGAACGACACTCCACAATTTGACAGCCGTTTCGACATCATCGAGAAAACGATATCGGTGGACGATATTGCCGGTGAAAGGGAAGAATTCGGGGTTCCCCGTCAAAATCAACCTGAAGATCCCCGAAACGAACCGCCTGGTCCTGGTGATGATCCACCTGATATGCCGGAACAGGAACCGGCACTACCTCCAGCTCCTCCGGCTCCAGCCCCTCCGAGGCAACGAGCACCTCCTGCTCCACCTGAACGACGGATACTTCCGGAAAGAAACCGGCGACCGCCTGCCCGTTACGGAAACTATATGGCTGTAGAAACAGAGACCACACACGGTCCTTCACTGGAAGAAATACTCGAAGAAGCGTACGTCGTCGGAACCTCCGAACAAAACGCATCGGATCCCAGATTCAGGGAAGCGAAGCTGGAGGAACTCGAATCGATGAAGAAGCATGGTGTGTGGGAACTCGTTCCACTACCTCCAAACCGAAAACCTATCTCGGCTAGGTGGGTTTGCACCATGAAAGAGAAAGCCGATGGAACGGTGAAAGAGAAGGCCCGACTGGTCGTGAGGGGTTTTACCCAGGTCGAGGGCGTTGACTATACCGAAATCTTTGCCCCGGTGGTACGAATGGAGTCCTTAAGATTAATCATTGCCATTGCAACGGTATTCGATTTGGAACTGGCTCAGGCTGATGTGAAGACAGCCTTTCTCTACGGGACCCTCGAAGAAGAAGTCTACATGACACAACCACCAGGATTCGAAGTTGAAGATCGCAATCTCGTATGCCGACTGAAGAAGTCACTCTATGGGTTACATCAAAGCCCCCGCAACTTCTACCGACATATTCGCAAGGTGCTGAGTAACATCCATCTCAAACCTTTAATATCCGACCAGAGCATCTTCTACTCGCGGGACGACACCGGCTATACTATTCTAGCGCTATACGTTGATGACGCTCTGTTAGCGGCATCATCTCCGGACCGTATGAACGAGGTTAAGACATACCTCTTCGACAACTTTGAGATGACGTGGACCGATGATCCAAAGGTTCTACTAGGGATCGAGATCACCCGCGACAGAGAAGCAGGGAAGATATCCCTGAGCCAATCGAAGTTCGTGAAGTCGATATTGAACGAGTTCGACATGACGGATGCGACACCCACCAAACTACCTATGGTGGACGTGCTACCTTCCTTTACGACGGATAAACCTCAGCCTGATCGCCAATACCCCTTTCTACGACTGATCGGCAAACTCAACTACTTGGCTCGGGGAACACGTCCTGACTTGTCGTTCGCAGTATCCCACTTGGCGTCGTTCTGTGCGACATACCAAGAAAAACACTGGTTGGCAGGTCTACGATTACTTCAATATTTGGTAGGGACTCCATCCACCTCAATCACCTATTCCAAGGAGTTCGGAAGCTCTATCACAGGCTACAGCGACGCCGATTACGGATCTGACACAGGAAACCGCCGGTCAGTAGGCGCCTACGTGTTCCTCATGGCAGGGGCTGCTATTACATGGCAGAGCAAGAAGCAATCTACGGTCTCCTTCTCAAGTACTGAGTCGGAATATATCGCTCTCGGCGCGGCTGGACGTGAGGCCGTATGGTTGACCCACGTTCTTGACGAACTTCAAATCCCGCGCCGAACCGACGCGATCACGATCTACGAAGACAATCAGGCGGCGATTGCGTTGTCTAGAAACCCAATACAACATTCACGCACAAAGCATATCGATATATGTCATCATGCCATACGGGACTACGTGGACTCGGGGATCCTAGAGATCACATACCTGAATACTTCGGATATGCTCGCCGACGCACTCACCAAGCCCCTCAATGGACGAAAACTACGGGAGCTGAGTATCGGTATGGGTCTCGCGTTTCACGGGATCTACGACGACGCGGCGCAATCAACGACCGATCAATCGCTCCAACTCGATCGACGCACCACCAACGTCGCAGTTGTTCTAGACGACGAAGACGACGACTAGCACAAAGGGAAGTGTAGAGATCACGTGACTCGCGTAACGATTTTCACCCCTACTACATCAGTCGACGTGTTTTGATTCTATATTACTAGTAGTATCTTGACACCTGTTTTTACTAGTGATTTGCTAGTAACAACAGGTGAGCCTATACTTTGTACAATACGAATGAGAAACGCATAGTGATTTGCTAGTAACAACAGTTGTTACGATGAGTGGGCTGGAGAATGGAATGCAATGATACCCTTGGTAAGAAGGGAATTCGATGATGGGTTTCCCATTCTCGCACCGGTCGCGCCTCTATATAGCTTCTTGCCAACTCCCCCCCGGAAATGACGATCACGGGACCAAAGGATGATGAGATACAGAGGAGAGATTGAGAACAAGAAGATCCACTTGCATTTTGTATCATTTGGCTGCTCAACCGAGCTTTCCGTCCCATACGAGTACAGCTTCGGGCCAAATCGAACAAAAGGATGGTTTCGGCGAGTATCGTGTCGCAGCCAGATATTGAGGAAAGTCTCGAGCTTTGTGTTTACAGAATCGCTTGACAGCATACGGATCCCTAGCAACATCGTTGACAGACCAAACCAGTATCCCGCAGCCCTATGAGCAAGATCATTCCTCTGCCTTGGCCGCCTTCCCCCCTTCCTTCGCTTGCTTGCTCATCTTCATCACCTCGGGCGGAAAGAGAGCGTTCTTAATCTTATAATCCCAGCGACCTTTGAGCTGTATCGAGACAAGATCGGGACGATGATAATTAGTCACCGGTACAAGATGATACGTAAGAAAATCGAAACTAAATCGCGGACTCGCCTGCTTTGGGGTGAACTGCGGCAAGCCACTTTTCGCGAGATCGGGCCAGTTGTAGCGAAGGTTGATGTCGGAGATGCTGAGTACGTGGTTCATGATCTGCCTATCGATCTCGTCGGTAAAGATCGCGCCTCCCTTTCCGCCGCCCGCTTTGCCGGACTTCGTGGGTGATTGAGGAGGGTAGGGTTCCGATTTGACGGGAGAAGAGGAAGACCCGGCAGGAGCTTTAGGCATGTTCGTGAAGATACTATGATAGAGGATAAACGATCGTGCGCATCTCAGCCAGCAGAGCACGACCATTGGCTTACTTGGTGGTCTGACAGTATTAAGTCGTGGTCTGGTCAGGTTGAATATGATATGGCAATCGAGCATGAGATGAAGAAGTCGGACAAGGGAATCCTGTATCAGACCAGCTTATATCTTCTGCCGGAGTCCGGCAAGACATGCCAAAGCGTCATACGCCCGTCAGCCGATCGATTCGACGAGCCAAATGAAGGCTATCTGCTCGATGATCATCTCGGTGAAACAGAAAGAAAGTCCTATGATCTACGTAGAAGCGACGAACCGATCGATCGGAGCGACAAGGCGAATCAACAAGAGATCCAAGAGAAAGAAGAGGGTCAGGTGGCTTTGCGCGCGTATCCACCGATCGACAAGGTTTGGAAGAAACAAACAGACGCGCGGGAGCAAAACAGGAGGGTTTGACCTTGTCCGTACCCTTGTTCCTGGAGAAGCATACAGAGTCTATCGTATGCATCGGGAAGTCAGTACAAGATAGAGACTCGTAATAAAATCCCTTCCAGGTGACGAGCTATAGAACGTTCGACCTAGACAACGGGCCAATAATTTCGTCTTCAGCGCTACGTGAAACGACAAAGATCACAGTGTGAGTGGCAAGGTCGTTGTTCGAATGAAACTTCTTGCTCATTCCACTTCGTCGCCAGTAGAACGCCATGCCGAAAGTCCCCTTCTCCACCGCATCTCCCACCAAGGCCGAACCCTACCCAAAGGGCTCACCGAGCAAGCAGAAAGCATCCCCTACGACCAAGGACGACCTTCCCGAAAAGTCCTCTCCCTCGAAGAAAGGGATCACTTGGACGGACGACATGGATAAGAAACTCATGATCCATGTGTTAAGTCGGTCGGAAATCACCCTTCGATACGATTGGGCGGACGCTGTTAAGAACGAGTTTCCTGACTTGTCGGTGAAACAGGTAAGCAGCATTTGGCAATGTTGGGATATCGTGGTCAGAAGGCGATGCTAAGCCTCAACGTTGGTCATGATGTTCTCTACCGATCATCACATCATAGCTTGAGAATCGATGGAATAAGAAGCTCAAGAATGCGTTATTCCCCCCGGAAGTCATCAAGCTCAACAAAGCGGCCAAGGTGGCCGCGTTTAAACCAGGGAACGCGAAAGCCGAGGCTGAAGCTGCCGATTAAGATTCGAATTATGGGATTCGAAGGGTCAGGACAATAGGCGGAGTGGACTGAACAAGCTTGCGACCATATCATTATTTATTGTTGTATTCGAGAATTTCCTCATGAGCACGAGCGATGTTTTTTTTCTGCTTTTGATCCGGGAACATTGGTCTTGGTCGATCTCGTTCTGCTCTTGCTGCGGATCAGGTAGCGCTGGATTCCGCTGTTCGAAAAAGGTGCGAACGCAGTAGAAGCTGATACTCGAGGAGAAAGATGAGGAAGGTGGGAAACTTGATATTCGGATCAAATGGGGGAGCAGTTTATTTTATGTTGTGGTTGGGAGGAAACAAGTGAGTCAATGCATTTTCGCTGAACGCCCGATTGTTGAAATCCTCACCAGAGCTTCCTTTGCCACTTGCCACAGGAAACCCTACCCCACGCCCTCGTCAATCCGGAAACTCTCACAAAGAGCTGCTTCTCGCCGAAGTGGAGGTCGAATGGCATCAGGACGGGCGTACTAAAGACGAAAAGGATACGTCTGTTCCCCAGTATCGATGGCGCGCAACGTCAAGCGCCTACAGTATGGCCCATGAAGAAGATATAAGCCGAGTGGTATGGCTAGCTTCGTGATATGCCCACCCTCACACTTTCGTGCTTTCTGCCTTAGTATTCCGACCACCTTACCGAAGTCTGAAGATGGTCCGGCCGAGCTCAATCCACAGTGTATACAGCGGAGCAAGTCAAACCTTTCTGAGAAACAGGTCAACAGTACGAACGAAGAGATCAAGCTGCACTAAATAGGCGGCGATACGTGTAGCATGTGACGGATGATAGGTTGTTGCGCCTTGCCACAGGCTCCGGGTCGACGGTTTCCGTCACCTCGCGGATGTAGGTGTTCATAGCTCATAGTCGGTCAATCTCATTAGGCCGTCCGATATTGCATTACAGGCTGAAAAGACAGAGTGCGCCTAAAAGGTCGACGTTCAACGCGAAGAGATCTCTACGCGTGTCGACCTGGTATAGGTACACGGCGTTGCCTCGATCGCTCCCGCGTTACGTAGCATACGAACGAACATGGAGAGAAAACTAGGACCGAGGCGGTATTCCTGGATTCAAAGGATCTCAGTGAAGACCCTCGTATGGCATACGATACGCCGGAATGTTAAAGAGGCGAGTTTTCGGGATGTGAAACGTTTCCTTCGCGCAGATCGATATAGCGTCGTCGTGAGAGAACAGTTCGCTTTCCCACCCCGGGAACTTGGACAACTCTGGACCGTCCCCGCGAGACTCAAAAAAAAAGTATCAAGAAGCCCATCAGGTCCTCTGTAGAGGCGTATCCTGCTTGGATGAAATGTCAAATTGAAGCGATATGTGTTCTATGTGGCTGGCGGCGCCGTTCCGTCGTGACACGCCGAGTCGCGCGATCTTTCACTGCTATCAAGCCGCGATTGACCTGTACCGATTGTGGGACAGCGAGAGATAACGAAGTAGAAGCTCTTTACACACAGCTCTGTCGTTCGTTTGTGGTGACATCGACCATGCTAGTCGATCCAATATTGTCGAAATTGTCGAACTTTTTGAGCTTTTTTTTCGAGGCAAAAGCGCATTTCACGTGTTTTGCGCTTAACGATCTTTGCGCTTTTTTTTCACATTTCTTCCAACTTCCCCCCTCATCCTCGAGCCGCGAACCAACGCGAGAGTTGAGCGACGAGGGGGGAGGAGGTGGTCGAACCTCTTTGAGATCGTTGTCGAGATCATCATCATCGTCATCACCAACAACCCCCTGGGCCCTGCTTCTGTTTTAGCAAGAAAAAAGCCCAAGTCGACGGCCATCTCATTCAGCAAAAGCAGAAACTCGCTTTCGCCAACAACACACACACACCTCCTCTTTTACCTCATCACCACCCCGACAACTTTCAAACCCCACAAAAACACTATTCAAAATGCTTATTTCCAAGGAGAACCGAAGGGCCATCTATGAGTCCCTCTTCAAGGGTGAGCAAGCGGTTTTCCCCCAGCTCGATTCTTGCTGGAGAAGCTGATATGGACATCTTGTCGCACTGCGTGTTTGGGTCGATTGAAACAGAGGGCGTCATGGTCGCCGAAAAGGACTTTAACGCTCCTTCCCACCCCGACCTTCCCCAGGTCCGAAACTTGGAGGTCATCAAGGCCATGCAGTCCTTGACTTCCAAGGGATACGTCAAGACCCAGTTCTCGTGGCAGTGGTACTACTACACCCTCACCCCCGAGGGTTTGGACTACCTCCGAGAGGTGAGCAGGCGGATGCGTCGGATTTGGTCTAGGTTGGGGTGGGGTCGGAGCTGATCACCGATTATTCTGCTTTTGCCTTCCTCTTAACCTTCGTCCACCCCGTTCTTTTCGTACTTGTCCCTACGCGCGACCTCCAGTTCCTCCACCTCCCCAGCGAGATCGTCCCCCAGACCCACAAGAAGCCCGTCCGAGCCCAGCCTCCTGCCAGGCAAGGAGGTGCCGGTCGAGACGGCGCCTACAGGGCTCCTCGAGGTGGGGACCGAGAGGGATACAGGAGGAGGGAGGATGGGGATGCTAAGGAGGGATCTGGCGAGTTCAAGCCCGTGAGTATTGATGTCGTTGAGTTTCGAGGTTGGGGGGGAAGAGGTGATATGATGCAGGCAAGGGAACGGAATGGCTGATTGTTTGTGTGATTGTGATCGTGGGGATTATGATAGAGGTTCGCTGGCGGAATCGGCCGTGGTGCCCCCTTGTCCTAAACGTCGATACCGACACGCTCGACAACCTCGTCTAGTCTGGACTTTTCGAAGGACGTCTTTCGCCGGCACGCTGTTGGGAACGACGCCCCATCGACTCGTCCTGCCACATCACGGGGAATATCGCGTTCACTCGGCTCTAGGATCATGGTACTCGGAAGACGAAAACAACAAGAAAAAAACATTTTATGGAATAGCGTGTTTCGGGGCGAGAAGGAGGAACAGGGGTGCATTGATGGAGAGGGAAATCCCCTTTTTTTTGAGGGGGATGGAGGAAGACTGTGTGGATTGTGGCGATGGCGGTTTTCGCATTTGACCTCGTAGGCGAGAATGTAGGGGGAGAGATGGCTTCGGCCGGATCTTCTTCCTTTCGAGCCTTTGAGTGAGATGGGAATCGAAAAACCGTCGTGCTACGCTACGTCTCTCTTCTTTTGGTTTCTTTTTCTCTTTTGCGTCTCTTCTTTTTTGAGCGAGACAAGGGATGTGGTTGTACGTCTTGGGAGACTTTTGTCGCCGGGGGAATATGATCAAAATGACCTTTTTTCGCCAAGTTGGTTTGGGGGGTGTCGGGTTGCGGGTTGTGATGGATCACCTTGATTGTGGTGGGGCTGATATTCTTGAGTTGCTCGGACGATCTTGCACACGACACGCGATACACCTTTGGGATCTCTGTTGGCTTCTTGCCTCTTACGTCAGGGCTTTCTCAATTTCTCATCTCATCCAAACATCTCACTAAAAGGCATTCCTATTCCCTGGGTCCCTGGCTCGATCGCTTGGGACGCTCGGATATCACTTCGCACAAGATGTCGCACCAGACCAATCAACATGGCAGCTCAACCTGGACCTACGACACATCCAGAATCACCAAATCAACCCTGAACCTGATCAGGTCTCCAGGTTTCGAGCTATTAGCCGTCTGAAGTACCACACCGAAGAGCTCGGTATGACGATCAAAGACTTTGCCCTGGGCTGGTATCTCTTTGTTTCGTTTAAAGGATCGTCGTGGTCATCGTCGATCGTCAGAAGATCTGAGCTCTCAGCTCTTCGACAGATGAACAAACAGATATAAGGGATGATCGTCAAGATGAACCGGACGATAAGATCAAGCGATCCTCGGAATGTCGGTCAAAAGAAACGTCGACTTCGAATTAGCAAGATAGTCAAAATTCGAAGACCCTCATGGATGAACGTCGATGTGTTCTCTGGACACCTCAAGCTGCTGCTCGGGACACTCCTCTACAGGAACGAGGACAAGCACTTCGACGAGAAGCGAACTCGGTCGGTGTCGGTGAAATCGAGAAGGTCGTCCCCTCCGTCGAAATAGACAAGTCGGAGTCCGTCAAAGTCGAGGAACAGGGTCTCGATGGGCGCCCAATCGCTAGTACCGGCTGTACTCGTCAGGCAGCCAAATTCATCTGTATCAAACCCGAATGGTCATTGGCGGAGGTAGAGAAGGCCTACAGTCATCTCGTACTCGAGGGGGAAGCACCAGAGGAGATCATGCTGGACGTAAAAGGGACGCACTTTCGACAGTTCGTCAAGGCCGCCGAGGTCGGTCTGGATTTTTACGAGCAAGCTTCGGCAAAGGGGATCGCGGTGACGTTGGGAGAGACGATAGACCAGGCTGGTTGTGGGGAGTGGTTGACGGAGAGGGATGTTGGGAGGGTGTTAACCTGGGTAGCGAAGAGAGCTTTGGAGATGGACGTGGAGACGGGTTGGGATGTACCGAGGGGGTACAAGGGGGTCGTCTTGAACCTCGACCAGTTGAACTTGAAGGAACGAACCGTCCAGGGTTATAATGGCCCCTCTGCCCCCGAAGTCGGTCTGGGAGATCTGTCGATGACGACGGGAATCGGGTCTACGATCGACCAACCCATCTCGCTCTCGGATTCGGACGAGGACGACCTTGCGGCTCACCAAGCTACACCGTCGAAACGACCGTGTAGTAACGAAGCGAACGGATCTGAGAGTCTTACCAAGAAGCAACGGGTCACGAAAGCCCCACTTCATCGAAATCGAGTTGTTCCGGACCTTACCCCCACCCCCTCCTCGACCCCTACTCCTACTCCGGCCGCAGAACCCAATGTGAGCGGCCGGCGTGAAGGTTCTCCTCCTCCCCGTCGAACCCGATGGACAGCCGCACAACAGCTCGCTATGGTATCGAAGATCTATCAAGCGGGTTATGAGGCAGCGGATTACGGGACCATAGCTCAAAGAGTGAATGAAGCGAATCCGACTGGTCCGGCTAAAACACGTCAAAGAGTGAAATCGGCCATGAGAGAAACCCACTGGACCAACTTTGTCAACAACAATGATGGTGATCTGGTTAACCAATTGAATCTGAATATGCCTGATATGACCGGACCTCCTGTTTCAAAGACAAGCTGGACGGGGCCGCAAAAGGTGATTGTCTGGGCCGAGACGTTTGGGTGCGGCGAGAAGCGCGTCAGGTGAGTGCGAGTTCGGCTCCTCTCGGACGAGGGGAGGCGTATGATGGCGGCGGGGATCAAGGTCGAGGAGGTTGACGAATCGATGTCGATTGCGTTCTCGTTGTCTAGTTGGGACGATGTAGCGGAGGCCGTCAATACGGCTGCGAGAGGCGACGAGAGTCTGTATCGCAAGTCGAAGGGTGAGTGACGGCTTATTCCGAGTTTCGAGAGGGTGTTCCCGGCTAACGTAGATTTCGGGAATGCGATGAGACAGATTGTGAGAAGACGTGGAGGGATACCATGCGGAGACATTTCGGGTTGCAGGGTAGGAGACGATAGAATCGAAGGGGTTTCGCGGGGTGATAGATGGTACATCCGGCGCGATCGTGCGGATCGAGGAAGGGAAGAAACAGGTTTACCAGAAGGAATATGCGATGATGCCGGACGTAATGATACAAGTACAATCGAGATGAGCGATCGTCATTGTACCGACAAAGGCCCAAGTCATGTATTTGTCGTCTCGCTGAACAACGTATGACTGGTTCCTTTCTGACGTCAACGGTTTCGCCGTTCTTCTCCAACGACTACATCAAGGGTATGGAGACCTTGTCAGCGATAAGGGGTATCAAATTAATCCAATACGCAGTCCTCATGGGTATCCTCTAATTAGTTGCACCATCTACATCGTCATTAAACCGGAATTGGTCGTAAAAAGAAAAACTCCGTAATCGTAATCCACACGTCTATTCTATGCGCCCAACCCCTGCACCCTACTCGTCCCTCCCCTTCCACTCCTCCTCGCTGATCCCGACCGTCCCTCCCAACTCTTCCCACCTCTTCAACCTGAACGCCCGTCTCTTCCTACAAACCTCGATCAAGGCCGGCCAATACCTCTCGTGCACCTCGACGTCCCAGGGGATCGAATGCTTGCCGCCATACTCGGCCTGTAACTGGTCTTCGGCGACCGTGTCCGCGATGAGGTTTTTGCCTTGGTCGGACGAGCCGGCGACGACGATCTTGGCCCGGGTGGCTGGGTCGCAGAAGCGGAGGACGAGGGAGAGGAACATGCTTAGTGCCCAGGGGGCGTTGGCGATGATCCCGAGGCCGAGTCGTTCTATTCGACAGAAGCGAGCGAGAAGGAAGCCGTTGGGTAAGTACACCGTGTTTCAATTTTCGGATGGCTAGGAAACACAAGCTCACCGGGGTAACAGGACTGAAGCACCGACACCCACTCCTTAGCTAGCCCGATGGGTGTTGAATGTTTCCTCTTGCCACCGAGATCGATGAGGAAGGCCGTCTTCCTAAAAGTGCCGTGCATCATATAGTATGAGTTCATCTTCTCGAACACCGAGAATAAAAAGTATCACGGGTGACTCGATAAGGTACTCACTCGACGTGCTTGGGCATCAAATCGATCGCCCGTTCGAACAAATAAAACTGCCCATCCCAAAAAGAAAGAAAAAAAAGCTCTCACCAGAATCAGCCTCTACGCAACGATGGTTTGTCCAGCCTCCGGGACTGACCAGATGTACCAAACCCAACTCGCTAGGCGGTTCTTCCCGTCTGCTCGGATGCATGAAGATGACGGGTCGGGAGGACTTGTCGTACCCGAATACGAATTGACCTCCTTTGGTCCTTTGCTGTACGATCACAATCAATCATCGGCAAAGCCATAGCCAGAATCACAGTGATGACTATGATCAGCACACCTTGATCACCACCACCTCTCGCTTTCCGCGCAATCAAGCCCTTAAAAGGTCTTGCTGATGAGGGACTCACCTCACCCTCGACCCGCTTGGCCAAACCCTCCAGGTCGTCCATCCCCTCTTTCCGCCTCCAGACGAGACACTTTTCGATCCGGTCGATACAGAGTTGGAGGTCGTATTTGTCTGCGCGGAGGAAACGGAGGAGACCTTCTCGGGACTAGAGTAGGGGAGGGGGGGGCGATGGTGAGATGAGGGAATGGGGGAATGTGGGAATGGGTGAGGTGGTAATGGCAGTTTTGATGATGATGAAAGGAAGATGGTGATAAAGCAGGCAGAATACGAATTCCGTGGTTGTTTCGGACGATATTTCAAAGCCCATCACAAGAATCGCAAACAAACGCATCAGAGTTCGATTTGATGAGCTCATCAGCTTTCTTCCCTGTCCATACGCCTTGGTCCTCAAGAAACACAGAGCACCTTGGGAACTCACCAAGAACGACATTTCCCACCCCGTCAACTTCTCGCCTTCCAGCACATACCCCTCGTCCCCGAATTTCTTGATCAGCTCGTCGAGTTTTTCCTGTTGATCCGCCGAGATGGGTTCGGGACTACCGGCTGGGACGGACGAGCTGGAGGGCGAGTGGAGGAAGGTTTGAAAGTCGAAGGAAGACATGGTGTAGATGAGGCGAGGAGGTGGATAGGTGAGAGTTGGTAGGTAATCCCAAAATCGCGGCGTTGGAAGGATGTCAACGAAGATTTGATGATGTTTGGACATCTTAACATGCGACGGGATGATGATGTTCCCATTCCGGAAGCATATTCGATGATAACTTGGGTTACGGATGTAAATCAACGTAAGATGTCCGGCATCACGTATTTGGACGACGATAGACATCCGGGAGTCCGTATCAAGATAAAACGGCCATCAACTACCAGGTCAAAAAGAGTGGGTAGGCTCCTTGAGGTTACGTGCTGTGTCAGAACGGGCCCGTCGCTGCTTGGATTGACCCTGTCATGACATCCATCTCGTAATTCGGGAAAAGTACATCATCGTCCATCTAAGTAAGGTATATCTGAGAAATGTTCAAGAACGTCGTGCAATGTCGTAAGGGAGTACCAGAGAGAAAGTTAGAGCCTGTGCATCGTCAAGAGCCATCGTTTCGAGGTATGTATCGTTCCTGCTGAAGGATTGGAACCGAAGTCACGTCACGTTTCGTCGACCGCGTTGGCTCGCATGAGGCGTTTCATCCGTGCGAGTTCTTCCGTCAAGGATCTACGATTCGCGCGCACAGGACGCAGTGTTAGTTTCTATGATTTGATGATGATCACTACCATGCTTAATGGGAGAAGACTGACTCTGCCATAGCCAACGCCCGAGTCGAGGGGTCGTTGACCAGATCACGTTTCAGCTGCTCTATCTCGTCTTTGAGCCGTTCTTCCCCTTGAGCTTGTAGCGCGCGGGATTCCCGCAAAAGTTCTTCCACTGCAGCAGCCGAGGCGCTGGTGAGGTTCCGTCAGCAAGCATAAAGATGTCAGCATTTGATGATGTAAACGGTGGGAAGGCGATAGGTGACGCTCACGTCCGCGCTTGTAAAGCCTTAACTAGCTGATTCCGCTTGGTCGTCTGTTGAACCAGGATGGCAACACGATCAGATCCCGAAGTCGTGCTCATGCTGTAATCCGCCTGGAACTTACGGCCTCTTCCATCTCCGTCCTCGTCCCCTCTACCAACCTCGCCATCTCCGCCCGTAATTCGCCCAACTCCCTCTTCTGCATCTCCTTGTACTGAGCGAACCCGTCTCGGAGGACGACGGCCTCCCTCTCGCTCTTCGTCGCCAGCGTCTGCGCTTCTTGCAATTTGGCCGTCATCTCGGCTAGAGACTTTGTAGTGTTGGTCTCGAGCGTCTTTCGGTCTTTGAGATGCGTTTGCACGGCGGATTCGGCGGTCCGAGCTCGTTCGAGGACCTCTACATGACATTTCGCAAAGAAGACATCATAGGCGCGGAGCACGTGTTAGCGAAGACTATCTCGATAGATGAGCAACGTAACGGATAATGTCCAACCCCAAACTCACCGGACAACAACTTTTGTTTCCTATCCATCTGCTTGTTCATCCCTTCCAACTCTGCCCGTAGACGTTCTTTCGTCTCCCTCAGATCGTCGTTCTGCCGCGTCAACTGTTTGTCGCCATATACCATTTTTTTTTTGGACAAGTTGAGGTAAAGAGTAGCAGGAAAGAAAATAGCGTAGAAGCGATAGGATATGGTATGATGTGGTATCAGCCTTCTTTTCCCTCGAATCTCGATCTCGACTTCGACCTCGGTCGAAAGAAAGCGCTGTCCCTCAAGCGCTCGGAAAGACGACCCGAGACTGACCTGCCCGATAACCCTCTGACTCAACCTCAACTCCTCCCTAGCCCTATCCCCAGCGGCTTTCTGGTTGACGACCTCGATCTGCAATTCTTCTATCATCCGCCCGGATGGTGTGGTCAAGCCTGATGATACGCGCCGGGTTTTGGTCGATAACATGGAGGGGATGGCGAGTGCGAGTCCGGGGGAGGGAGGACGGGATGTTGTTGTTGAATTTGGAGTGGTTGACCCGGAGGCGGAGGTGGCGTTCGGGTTCGGACTGAGGTTCGGGTTCGGGTTCTGACTTGTAACTGAATTCGAATTCCCAGCGGAAAAGTTCCTCATACCACCTCCAATTACCCCAGCCCCGCCTTGCACCCCTATCCCAGAACCGCCGGAATGCAACGCCGCCGTCGTCTGCACGATGCTCGAAGGGATCCTTTTCAACCCCAAGATTGAAGCGGGACGTTTCTTCTTAGTCGAGGTCGTTTTCTCTTGTTCGAGGGTTTCTATAGCGTCTTGATCCTGTTTTTGTGATTCCCCATGATAAGGATTTGGGGAGTAAGGATTCGGATTGAGAGTCGTGGATGGAGATGTGGGCGAGGTCGTAGATGTGGATGGGTTGAGAGGAAGATGGACAGCCGGACCGACACCGGAATCTACGTTTAGGCTAGGTATAGGCGTTCCCGCCCGGGTCGTTCGGTCCTCCCCTGTGTTTCCCCCTGTGTTTTCCCCTGTTTGCTCCTCATCCCCAGCCTGGTACCTTTGAACTCCCACTCCATGTCCGACCTCATCATTCAGGCTATAAAACCCAGACTCCGCCGCGCCGATAACATCAAAGCCCGTCCGAGTAGGAGTGGGCGTCTCGGCGAGACTTTTAAGGTCGTATGCGTGTTGGCTGGAAGGTATTGAATTCTGTGTATGTGTATGCGGATGTGGGTTGTTGTGGCTGTTACTGTTGGTATTGTTCGTCAAAGAGTTGGGCTTCCGCGAAGAGGGTAATGTTGTTGTTGATGAGGAGGAAGATGTTGAGGTTGTGGTTGTAGTTGTAGCTGTATGTAGCTCTTCCTTGAGCCCAGCTATTATTCCACGGGATTGTAATAAGAGCGTTCTGAGCTGGGCGATATCCAGCTCGGAGACTGCAAGTACAAGAAATGAGAAATCTCTTTGAGCACACTTCACATAAAATAGCTGTTGAGGTGAAAGGACGTACGTTCGAGATCTTCCATTCCTGCTCTTGATGGCGACGTTAATGAGGCCGGACCGCCGTCCACCTGCACCGGCATGGTAGAGTCTTCTTGCCTACTTGATGACCCTCCGGTAACAAAGATTGAGACCTCCCACTGGTCTCGATATATGAATGTGCAGGACCGATTTGTCGACGGTGTGCGATTGTCTTATTGTTCAGGTAGCATCTGGTACGGTATGGTGTCGAGCTCGTTTCGAAGCGTCCAAAACCGGCTTTTTTTTCTTGGCAAACAGCACAAATATCTCACGCTGTATGGCTATTTTGAGGTGACTGTTGAGCTGTTGTGATGATATCGGTAGGAGAATATCAAGAAGGATGATGATGATGGTCGATGATGACATTTCCTTCCTCGGCCGGATTGAGCTGATCGACGTCGCGACCTTTTGGTACCGAGAGAGACCCAAGACCTATATCTATATATCCATCGCCTACCTTACAACGACACTGCAACTCAATCCATCTCATATATAGAGCATAGATACATAGCTGTACATGCCAACATGGACGTAGAACAAGATCCAACAGCTGGGGAAGAGACCTCTCCGACCCAGACCGAACCGGACCTCCCCGAACCCGGTACCGACGGTGACGTCGTGACGCTACAGCCAACCACGACCACAACCGCAAGTTCAACACTAGACCAACCTCAACCCACTGAGACAGGAAGTAGCGGTAATAGTAATGATGTCAACTCTGATATCACACTGGACGAGGATGGGAATGTTACTTCGGGGAATAACACCTCGCCGTTGATCGTCGATGTAGGCGGACCTGAAGCTCATGGGGATGTGGTCGGGGAAGGGAACCCTGCGGTGAGTCCCCAGTTCCCCCCCCCCCCTCCCTGCATATATTCGAGATTTTTTCTCTATCGTCTTCAATCTCACATTGCATTCTAAAGTGAAAGCGGGCAAGGAGATAAGCGAGGAAGCTGATCATGTATGCATATCATTGCTGTCTGATTTTATTTTGACAGGTCAACCTCATCCTGGGACTCTTGATCGTCCTAGGCTCCAGCGCTCTGAATGCGTTCGGATTGAATCTTACCAAGTTGGACCATGTGAGTTCTTGGCTCTTTTCTGGGGTTTTCTCTCTTTACTCTCCGTTCTTCCCCCTTTCTCTCAACGCTCTCCCGCTCTGTCCTCTTGAACGTCTCGTCTCGTCTCGCCTTGGCTTGTCTAATTACCTCTACCTCCGACATCCATGGTCATCCGTAATCGATAGAAAAAGCTCATGCTGATCCCCCTCTTTTCTCCCTTCTTTCCCTTCACAACTACAACTACACCGACAACAAACACGACCATCAACATGAACATCGTTTGAAATCGCAAACACAGATGCGAAACTCTCAACTCCCGAAAGCTCAACGAAAGCCGGATTATCTGAGACCGATGTGGGTCGCTGGGATGGTCGCTTATATGTGAGTCCTCGGTCGTGTCAGGATGCATCTTGTTCTTTCCTCCTCTTTCCTTGTTATCCCGAGGCTTGCTCTGGCGAGTGCGTTTCGCGGTTGCGAGTGCGAGTGCTTTTGCTCTTTTTGTTGTCGTTGTTGTGCGAGAGCAGGGGAGGGAAGGGAAGGGAAGGGAAGGGAAGGGAAGGGAAGGGAAGGGAAGGGAAGGGAAGGGAAGGGAAGGAATCGTTGTGATTAAGGGATGAGATGGCTGACCTAGACTGTCACCGAACGTCGTTTTGTGCTTCTTTCGTTTGTTTGGATAGTCTTTCGCAGTTGTGTGAGTATTTGTTTTTCTCGATCGAGGTTTGCGTGTTTAGGAATTGGGATTGAAATGCTCATTGAATGCGGGGCTGGGCACTGCGTTGCGTTGCGTTGCAGTCGGATCGACCTTGTCGCTCCGGTACCTCCGCTCAGACTGGGTCGCGCCCTTAGGGTCGACCTCGTTGATCTTCAATTTCTTGTTCGCCAAGTGGTTGGTCGGGACGCGTAAGTCCCAGTCCCAAATTCCATGCACTGGAATTAGCAAACGAGGATCATGAGGCTGATCTTGTTTTGATCGGGGGAATGTGACTATCTACATGGGATATGTGTATGGGGGACATGGTGTGATGCGGATACGTTTCCACGGTAGCGGTCACCAAGGAGGACGTACGGGGCACGGCGTTGATCGTCGTCGCGGTCATCTTGATCTTGATCTTTTCGTCCATCAACCACGGGCTGGACGGGTCGATTAGTCTAGAACGGTGCGTCCTAAGGCGTCGAATCGCACCTTGCGCGAGTCGAGAATGAGAGTCGAGCCGATTATGCTGATCCACAGCGCGGGTTATGTTTTTCTCGGATTTTAGGCTTTCGTCGCTCTGGTCAAGACCGAACTGGCTGTCATACTTTTTTATCATCGCTTTTCTCACTTTTTTCACCTACCTCGTCACCCGGACCCTCACGCTCATCCTCAAATCCCGGGAATCCCTCTCACCCTCCTTGCCCTCCTTCGACCCGGACGCGCCCGCTGCCTCGTTGGGCGGTCGGAAAAAGGCCGATACGTCTAATGCCGTCGTCAAATTTGTCAAGCGCGGGATGGCGCTGTGGAGTAAAGGGCAGATGGCTGCGGTCAACAAGGGGGAGAGGTTGTTGGAGAGGACGCCGGATGAGAGGTTGTTATGGTTGACAGGTGTCGGGTGGGCCGTCGTCGGAGGAAGCTTGGCGGGCGCTTGTTTGGTGTTCACAAAGGCCGTGTGAGTCGGCATTCAACGGGATGAGGTTGTCCGAGGCGAGATACGTGGGCTCATTCAAGCTCTGACCATTGTGATACAGGGTCAAATTGCTGCAACTTCCGGGCAGACCAGTGAGTTGCGAGTGGGTGCAGACATGACGAGCCCTTTTTCTGATCATGCCATTGCGATTTTTAGTTTACCCACCCGGTCGCTCTGGTCACCTTGTTCTTTGTGGCGGTAACCGCTATCCTCCAGATTATTTGCCTGAACAAGGGACTCAAGGCGGCCGATTCTACGTTGATCGTCCCGCTTTTCTATGCTGGCTATACTGTTCTGGGGTGAGTCACAAGTGTCTCGTGGTGTGATGTCCCACGTCAATTAGCTGATCATGATGTTTTTGGCGACAGTTTCGTGAACTCGTTGATTTTCTTGAATCAGTCGGGAGCTTACGAGACATGGGTCTTGGTCGCCGTCTTCATGTCGATCGGGCTTCTCGTAGGGGGAGTGGTGAGTTGAAACCGTCACTGCCGCCTAGATGGATCCCAGCTGACCCGCCTTTCTTCGGTCAGGTACTGCTCTCACTCAAAAAGACCGACGTCGATGCAGAACCGGCAGCCGGTCGCGGTAATACGATCTCGGCTACGAACCCTTCGATGCGGTTGCACCCGATTCACAACAGTCGCAATCAGGGAGGCGCGGCTGCGGTTTCGTCGGCCAGAGACGGGAACGGCCGACCGACCAACACCAGGACACGCAGCAATTCGGCTAGAAGTCCGATGGGCAAGCTCAGCGAGGATGGCTACGGACTGGGTACCGAGAACCAGGCTTGGGCGATCGGAGATATCAGCGATGATGACAGCGACGTGGACGCTGGAGGCAAAGACAGGGGCCGGGCTAGCTCTTCGAGACCGAGAGAGGAAGGGGAGCGGGGCGGCTTACTATTCGACGAAGCGGAGGAAGAGGAAGAAGAAGCGAGAAGAGCGCGGAACGGCGCCAAACCCTCGGAAGACCCTCCAATCTACGCTTCGGTAGAGGCACGGGTGGATAGCGACGACGAAGATGAGGATCCGTTTGGGGACTTCAAAGAGAGTAAAACAAAGGATCGATAAATCGATAACAAGTAGATGTGGGTCGGAATGAATAGCATCGTATGGCATATAATCGACGGTACAGTTTGACACCCTCTCAGAATGGGGTTCCCGCGGTCTTTCCAGCTGTGGGAAGAGATGTCAGTATCGTAATCGGTTGGCTAGAATCGAGCTTCCTCTCGATTCGAACTTACGATACATATACCCCTGCTCTTCCTTGGGCTTGATGCTGACGAAGTGATTCGGCTGGTTTGGCAAGGCGTTCGCTTCGTCATAAGGATCCAGCTTGGGCTCTTCCTTTTTCGGACCGCGCTTGGACAACCATCGCCAGAGCGCAAAGATTAAGATCTAAGATGATACCGTCAGTCACCGACCGGATGGCTCTCCGCTCTTGATTCGACTCACCAAGCCGATGAGCGCGCCTATGATACCGCCGACTACAGAGCCAGCCGACGGTCCGGACCCTGCAATATATCCCGGTCCTGTAGCAACAGGCGTAACGGTTGTCTGCACAGTCTGTGCTGGCGGTGGTGCCGAGGGTGGGGTCGGCACGCTGTTTGCACAACCTTGCCTGAGGAGTGGTGTGACGGATCAGCCTCGAGCTGGGTAATAGCGTACTCGATATGGGCTTACCCGAAACACGCTACCCCTTGACCCCAGACGTTAAAGGCGTCCAGAGCTATTCCGGTCCCCTCGAGCTCGTTTCTGATGAACAACGTATGCTCCTGCTGCACTAGACCCGTCACAAACCCCAGAGTCTGCTGAGCGACAAAGACAGGAGCAGAGGCGTTGTATGTCAGACTAGTCTGGCCATCGACGAGCAAAGTATAGGTCGACAGAGTCGGCCCGACAGGGCCAACGACTTCAATTGCGGTGCCTGATTAGTTGGCTGTCAGTCCACTGGTGCCATCTTTGGAAATCTTCTCTTGGGCTCACCGGTAAAGTAGAGTGTCGCGTTTGCCGACTTTGTCGCTGTAAAGCTCAATGTCTTCTCACGACTCCGTTCGACCAGGTCATTGGGTACAATCGATTTGTTTTGTACGCCACTTGTAGCAAATCCTGTGTAGTTGATGATTTTTGACGAATCGTCGATGGTAGCGTTGGCTAGAGTTGCTCTGGTCATATCGCAAAAAAATCAGTTCTGAATTCGAAAACGATTCTAAATGGCGACGAACCCAACCGGTACTAGAAGCGTTTCCAGGATAGCGCCTTGAAAAGTGAATGCCTGTCCCGTGTTACATGTTTGTCCGCAGCTGACCTCCATCCGCAAGTTATGTGGACCGAACTGGATCCCCGAACTGTTGTTACTGGTCGATTGGACGAGATCTATCCGCGTCCCGGAGCCAGGAAGTGGAATCTCGGGGTTGCGGTCGACTTGCAGAGAAGTTTGTAGATCTGTAGAGGCGTTTGACGAAGAATAAAAGGGGGTGATAGCCATGGCTGATCTCCATATAGAGAGGTAAGTTTCCACTTTCGTCGTGCCCATAGTGCATGGATGACTTGCCAGATACGCCATTCAGGCTTACAGCAGAAGCGTTATTACTGCTACCTCCGGTTTGAATATCCGCACCAAGTAGACCTGATTGCACAGAAGCTAATGTCGCCACTAGCAAAGGGTCCTGGGTTGACGAGTTTGTCGCACTTGGTATAATCCATGCTCCGTCGTTCGATGTCCTCTCGGTGAGGAAGGGAGAGTAGGTAAAGAGGGGAGACGAGGCGGCCAGAAATAGCGTCTGATACTGTGCTGGAGAAGTCATCGGAAGAGGGTAGCGTGATATGATGGAGATTGGTAGCAAAAGAATTGTATAGTTCGCTCAATCACCTCGATCTCAAATGGGTCGAGATGTCAGCGAACATGATGAAACACGGCAGCGAAACGTAGGGTGCGCCAGGCTGATCAAAGGAAGCGCGCGCGTTTCAGCTTTGTTTTGAGGTTCATATCTAGCCAAAACACCTGCTGAGCTCGAAACAACAGCAATAGTCCATAATCAGATGATTCGTACGCATATTGAACGTATCAGAAGATGTCGTACCCCTTCGAATACGGACACGTACAGCGTGCTCTGCTCATGACGAGCTGCATGACTATCGGTACGTCTGTGAAGGACGCCGCGCGCGACCCGTTTCATCTGCTGAACATCCCGTTTCGACAGTCATGAGCCAGCTAAATCTAAGTGACGAGACTCTGGTCTTCTACCGCATGCTGAAATCGGTCACCATCGGAGGTATCACCCTCATCACACTTGCGCACATGCTCACCACCTATCACGCCTCGGAAGTGGCGGCCGCGGAAAAGCTGAAGGAGGTACCTCAAAGGCTGATCGCCGCCGCCAAGGAGGCCAGGGAGCAAGAAGCCAAGGCGAGCGTATCGATCTCCAGGTTACCTGTCTGGGAGGATGATGGGAGTCATCCGAGTCATGTTCTTACTACCGTCGACGCTAAACCTAGACTGTAAGCGAGACGCTAGGGCGAGATGAGTAAAAAAGCTGACCCACAGTCGACAGATTCCCTTTCCCTTTGGGAAAAGCATCAGCAGATGGTCCCAACTTGTATTTCGAATCTGGTCTTGCTCCGAAAATTGGCGACTTCTCCAAAGGTCGAGGTGAAGCCTATCAGACACGTCTTGCGGCCGCACAGAAGTCGCAAAATGATGAAGGCTCCGTCGAGAGCAAGCGGACCGAAGCGATCAGGAAGTACGAGTATCAGCAACGCAGGAAGCAGTGGAAGCGCAGACTCGCTCATCTCAAAGCGCTGTGTATCGTCATCATCGTGGCCTATAGTGAGTCCAGTCCCTGCTTTGTCCCTTAGCCTTTGGTTCTGACGACCGGGCCGACCTTTCGCAGTCAACCAAAAGATGGCTCTCATGGCTTTGGCAGTACTCATCTGGAAGACCCTCAACGCCGAGCTGGCTCGTCTTTCGCAAGCACCCCTTGGCAAAGACCCTCACGAAGAGTTTGCAGCTCGATTCGGAACGCGTACTGTCGGTCGCAAGAGACCATATGGCGCAGGCATGGACAATGAGGCGAGTCCCTTCGTCCTGCTGTCATGTGTTAGAGGAGAACTGACGTTCCTTTGCCCTTCACGCAGACTCCAAGCAATATCGGCATGACCTATTTGTATCAACCGGGTAAGCAGATCCATGGTACGCTTAAAGCGATTGACTCGTGCTGACGTCCTGTGCATGATCAGACGCCGAGGAGAAACGTGGCCTGGCACCGTTGGCAGAGGTACCGCTTCGAGGACCGATCCGGCCGCTGCTTACGACTACGGACGACCGTTTCGCCGGACGGATGGCTCTGGTAGGAGATGCCGAAAAGGAGGGTATCAACTCGAGTCGTTTCGGAAAGGGAGGCGGGTCGAGTGGCAAAGGAGGCGATATGGGCGGCAGTGCCAGCGACGGCGGCAGTACACCTTGATCAGAACGTGTCTTGTCTCTCGGTCAGTCATGCCCTGTAATGCTCGTCATGGATCTAGGTGTTTTTGCTTTTTGTTATACAAGAGAATGTGTCGTGATCATCAGACTGGAAAGAGGAGCGCACCGCGACCCCTCATACGATGTGCCAGTCGAGCTTTTCGGCCCACTTGCCGGGCAGAGCGTCGGCGATCTGTTCGACGTCCTTGTCGCCTCGACCAGAGAGGCACTATATGGGTGGGGCTCCACGAAATCAGCAGTTGAATGTGTGTATTATTGGACACTGTCGAACTCACCATGACGACGTTAGCGTCTTTTGGCAGGGTCTTGGCGATCTGCACGGTTCCCCAAATAGCGTGAGACGACTCGAGGGCGGGAATGATACCCTCGAGCTGGGTGCATAGACGGAATCCACGGAGGGCTTCCTCGTCGTTGGCGACGATGTATTCGGCTCGACCAGAGTCCTTCAACCAGGCGTGCTCGGGACCGACTCCCTGTAGGCGTGCGAAATAGAGAGTGTAAGTACGTAGTGCTGTCTTTGGGAAACGAAGCCGAATCGATGCTCACAGGGTAGTCGAGACCGGCCGAGATGGAGTGGGTCTCCATGATCTGACCCGAAGGCGATTGCAAGAGGTAAGTTCTTACTCCGTGCAGAACACCAGGCTTTCCGAGCGCCAAAGTTGCAGAGTGACGAGCGGTCTCGACACCTATGAGCCGTTGTTTCAATAATCAGCTATCATGCTGCCAAAGACCTCACAGCGCGCGCCTCTACTGACCATCACCACCGGCCTCGACACCGATCAAGCGAACGTTCTTCTCCTCGATAAAGTCGTAGAACGTTCCGATGGCGTTACTTCCACCTCCGACACAGGCGATGACGGCGTCGGGGAGCTTGCCGATCTTCTCGGCCATCTGCTGCTTGATCTCCCTTCCGATGACTCGTTGGAAATCACGGACGATGGTGGGGAAAGGGTGGGGACCGATGGCGGATCCGACGCAGTAGTGGGTCGTCTTCAAGTTGGTCACCCATTCACGCATGGCCTCGTTGATGGCGTCCTTGAGCGTCTGCGAGCCGGAAGTGACGGGGACGACCTAGAACGAGCGTGCAAAAGCCCAGATATCAGTCTCGGGTCCGATACTCGTCGCATGCGGCGCCGACGCCTCACCTTTCCTCCCAACATCCTGATCCTGAACACGTTCAACGCCTGCCTCCTGACATCCTCGGCACCCATGTAGACGATGCACTCCATTCCGAACCTGGCACAGGCGGTAGCAGTGGCGACACCGTGCTGCCCAGCACCCGTCTCGGCGATAATCTTGGTCTTGCCGAGTCGCTTGGCGAGCAAGATCTGGCCGATGGCGTTGTTGATCTTGTGCGAGCCGGTGTGGTTCAAGTCTTCTCGCCTGGAAAAGTGGCAGGTCATATCATCAGTACGGCAACAACGTGAACCGGCTTCGTTGCCAACGATCGACTTTTCGAACTCACTTCATCCAGATCTTGGCACCCCCCGCGTGCTCGGTCAACCTCTCGGCCAAGTACAAATTGCTAGGCCTGTTCATGTATCCGTACATCCCTTCAAACTCTTTCCAGAACGACGGGTCGGCCAGGGCGCTCTTGTGAGCCTGTTCCAACTCGCTCAACGAGTCGACCAGGGATTCGGGAACGTAGGCGCCTCCGAAAGCTCCGAATCGGGCGGGGAGGGTCGTCGCGGCCTCTTCCTGTGCCTGTTCGGTAGGTTGGATCTTGGACAACGGGTCCGAGGCCGGGATGGGCAGGGCGGAGGGGACGTCCTCGACCTTGTGGGCCTCGGCGTTGGTCCCCGGTACGAGGGGCTCCCTCTTGGAGACCTCCCTGCAGTACGCTTCGAGGTCCTTGGGGATATCTTCCTCGGACTTGGCGTCCTTGATGACAGCGATGACACGGGAACCGATGACGACCCCATCGGCACCGGAAGCGGTGACGGCTTCGTAATGCGTCCTCGTGGCCACTCCGAATCCGACGGCGAGGGGGACGGGCGTGAACGCCTTGATCCTGGCGATCAGCTCGGGGAGACCGGTGGACATGTCGGAATCTCGGGTCGATCCGGTCGTTCCCATCTGAGCGGGCGGCGTGCGTTTCGACGAGAGGTCAGGAGGTCAATCGACGATAGCGAGCGGGAGGTAGAGGAGACGAGTGCGCTGGAACTCACCTTGGAGACGACGTAGATGAACGAATCGGCAATCGAGGCCAAAAACTTGACCCGTCCGATACTCGTCGAAGGCGCTACCAGAGGCACGTACGACACGCTAACCCAGACCAATCCATGACCAAACACACCGTCGAATCAGCTTCTTTTCTTCCCCGTTCTTGATATCACTATCACACGAGCCGAGACAAGACCTGGCAGACTCACCCTTCCCCAGTACAAACCCCCCTGAACCTAATAGCTTCCTCAGGAGGTAAATCCACCACGATAAACCCGTTCGCTCCAGCGTCTTTAGCATCCCTAACAGCCTGTTCTTCTCCCTCGCCGTGAGAAAGTAAGGGGTTGTAGTACCCCATCAAGAGGACGGGGGCTTTGAGGCCTTGGGACCGGGCTTCGCGGACGAAGGAGAGGCAGTCGGAGTAGGTTATGTTGTTACGGAGGGCGGCCTGAGGAGTTCGAGGTTTCGAGGTATTTTGATTTTAGAAGAGATCAGCTCTCGGGATCCCAAACCCCTAGCCCAGATCTCGTTCAGTACCTCCAAACCTCCAAATCCACCCAATTACAAACACAAATACAGTAAACCAACTCAAACTCACGGTATTAGCCTCCTGAATAGCCCGTCCATCGGCAATCGGATCGCTAAACGGCACCCCCAATTCGATCACGTCCGCCCCGCCTCTCTCCATCCCGAGCATCGCGGGCACTGTAGAGGTGCGGGTGGGGTAGCCTGCTGTTAGGAAGGTTACGAAGGCGCTGTGGATGACAAGAATAAGATGTAGTACGATGTTAGTACGAGAAAGCCATAATCCTATGTTTGACGAGAACGAATGAAGGCGAGCCAGAAGGAAGATGTGGTGATAGGTTGTTGGTGGACTTACGGTTCGCCCTACGATATGATATCCAAACAGAGTATCAAATCAAAGGAGAAATTAGCATCTTCGATCGCACTACCTAGTCGAATTTCTTCCCAGTGGAGCAAACCCCAGAAGAACAGGATAGCGGAAAGCCCGGGACTCACCTGTGCCTTTCGATCGGCAAAGACCTTTTTGAGTGCGTCGGCCATCTTATCTTTTCTTCAATGTATGTGCTCTGCTTTGTTGTACTTGGTACTTTCACGATGTAAATTATCGTAGAGATCGAAGGATGTACAGTACTTGTATATATGCATATATGATCGACTTGACTTTGATGTTTCGATGGTCGATCCCTCTCAGCTCCTCCGAGTCAAAAGTCGGGAAGAGGTTCACGACGAGTCTCACCTCGAACACGGGGCGATCGCACTGTAGCCATGCCGTCATCGATAGGATATGATCGCCCCTTCCCCCCCGATCCTCGACGATCCATTTCTTGTGACTTGCACATGCACTTGGACTTTCGGGACGGAACGGGGGAGAGAAGGTGTTTCAAAGGCCGGGAAGAGAAAGAGAGAGGGCGGGAATGGGGGGTCTGACGGTGAAATAGAGTGGGGTACCTGGCTCTGGGTCTGGGTTCGTGATGGGATCGCTGCGAGAACGTGAGGACGGTCTCGGGCATCCCATCCCGCGGTCGGCTGTTACACTTTTTTGTTTTATCTCTGTGATGTGACCTTCGCTACACTTCACTTCGCTTTAGCTTTTTGGAGCGGAAAGGATGTACACGTAGATCAGACTTCTTGTTCTCCTCACAACCCACAAGAAGGATTGAAAATCCATAGCCTCCTGTCTCATCTGATTAGCCAATACAGTAGTGGGAGCTGCCCGATAGATGATATGTCATGTTTCGTATCAGAGGTAATTTTAATAATAGTATCAAAGACAAATGTCAAATGCCTGGTAGGCACAAGAATAATAGCCATGGTATGGTATGGTATGGTATGGTATGATATGGGCACACAGCCCCAATAATATAACGACCGATCAACAGATGTAGCTACATGCAAGGGTTACTGGTGTATTGAATATAGGTCAGATCAACAAGAATCATCTACAGCGGGTCTGTTATAGCCATTGCAAGATGCATTGCCAATCCTGCAAAGACCCCCTTAGAGGTCCTGTTAGGTTGTCAGCAACCAATGTGTTCTCTGGGGACTTGCGTAGGGTAGTAAGTAGATAAATGAGTGTGATAGCAGATGAAATACATATTACAAGAGTGATCGTAGTGATTAGAAGTCTTCAATCATACTATATAAGTACCTGCTCCGCCAGAGTTGCTGGTTTCAGATGTATGCTCTAGGCGTACTGCGGATGGCTATAACAGGTCTCCTGGGAGACACCTCTGACAGGCCCTAGACCTAGCCCTGTGTAGACTGTCAGTCCTCCTCTGTCATAGTAGATCATATTATTGTTGTGAGAAGCTCATGACCAGGCATGGGTGAAGAAGCATACAAAGGAGGTCTCATATTGGACAGGTGCTTCTGGTATGAAGGCTCCTTTTCCGGTCAAGATATATAGATATATATATATGTGGAGATTCAGGAGGGAAATGCCAGATAGGATGTGATCTGTCACCACTTGATGTCTCATTGATTCCTGCCGCCTTTTCGAACGGGAGATTAGCCATCCTCAATATAAGACCTACCGCCTAAGCCAGTACAAGGATGTCAGATTTACAACAAGGATTAGACTTGGATGTGTTGCTACCAACAGACACTGGAGAGTCTAAAATGCTGAACAGCCCAGATATACATGCACTGAGCTTGGGGGATGAGCTGATAGATTGGGATCAATATGGGGAGATGATAGAGCCACCTGGGACCAGCTCCTGGTATGGACAACAGGCTGAAGGAAGAACTTTGGAGTCTATAAGTTCACTTAGTGGTTGGCATCAGGGCTCCAGCAGATTTGTCGAGGCAGCACGAACTGGATCTGTTGGGACTGAGGTGGAACAGTCCTGGTTGCGGCATCAAGACTGGGAGATGGACCAATTCATGCAGTCCCTTGAGCAAGATGTGGTACAAGATAAGGACTTGGGGGTTCCTTATGAGCCTATACCTATGGAACTCTGGCCATCTGAGGACCCAGAATCCATAAACCTGGACGAGCTTGGCCTCAGCTCTCAGTCATTGAATACAGCGTATCAAATCAGCGATACCAAAATAGCTTGCCATGAGCTGGACAGTCAGGTTTCCAACAAAGGGTACATGTGTGGCAAGCTGTGCTCAATAGAACTCAATCAAACCCTGCAGGACTGGCAATCACACCCTGATCAAATCCTCAGAAGATATTGTGTGAAGCGACTGGATGGAAGCAAATTCCTTGACATGGATGGGAATCTTGTGGATTCATTGGCAATGGGAACTTACAAGGATATAGCTGCATTTATTGGGTGTGCCAGATCTACACTGTCATGTGATATGAGAAGAAAGGGCAAGAAGAAGGGTCTTGTATACGGAAGATGGAAAGTTGAGCCAAGCAGAACAAATACAGACAAAGATTCGATACTCCCAAGTGCAGAGGGATTTTGGCCAGAACCACAATCTCAAACAGAGTACATAGTACCTGAACAGAATCCATCCTGCACCTATGAAATGGCAACAACTTTCAGCAATGGTCAAGGAGAGGCTACATCTTCACTCGGTGACCGCAATACTTGTTCTATTCATGCCACATCACGTCGCTCAGAGCAGACTGTGACTCATGTCCCTTCAATAACCCCTGACCATCAACCGCAGCATTCAGTGACACCAGGACAGTACTTGATCTCTTCCAACAAGCCTATTTCAATGGTTCAGGACACTTCCTCTCACTTCAACTCCCTTGACCTTGCTGAATCTGAAAACAGGTGTAAATCATCAAGCATGCAGTATACATCCAGCATAGATGAAGAATTTATGACTCAGTTACTAAAGGATGCCATACAAGGTCAAGGGAGTTTTCCTGATGAGGAACATGTCAGGAGACATGTATACACCCAGTCAAAGCCCAATCATTCACGGCCACTGGCTGCAACATCATGTGCAGGTTTTACAAACAAGTATCACACAGAGGTCTTGAAAGAAGGTCGACCTGTCAAGCATTACTATATTAGGCAAGGAGATGGGCTTGAGTTCAACTTTTTGGGGAGACCAGTGTCCTATGTATTGATATGCACCGATAAGGCTGTTGCTGCTGTCACTGGGATCAGCATGAAGATCTTGAAGTATGCCAAGAAGAATGTGGATATCCAGTGGGCTCAATGGAAGATCACCTATATCAAGAAGGCACCTTGCAATCATGTTGCAGAGCAGGGCTTGCTTGAGTGGACCAATGTCACCTCAGACAGGTCTGATTGCTTCGAGCCCCACCATTTGCAATCATGGCAGGCGCAAGACTGTGAAAGTGGTCATATTGTATCAGTACCAGCACACAGTGTGGGAATGGAGGATCAGTATGAGGGGTATGAGGCCTCATCTGGGCCCATATCAACGGGTGAGATATCAGTGGAACACAACCTTGTGGCAACCCTTCCGACTGGTTGTGCAATTGGCTCACAGTCATCAGACATTCAAAGCATGGTTAGCCATGCAAATGTACCTGTGTCTCGTACCAAACAGAAAAGGGGTCCTCGATCAGTAGCCCACAGGCTCAAACTACGGGATAGTTTACTCCATCATCCCGTTTCTCAGGCAACCCGGGCGAAAATTTCCAAAGGAAACACAAAGTTATATCATGTGACTCATGTCAATGGAAGCAGCTTCATACATGGTGAGAAGCGAGTGAAATCTGCCAGAATAGGGGGCCTGCCTGCTGTAGCCAAGCTCCTTGATTGCACCCGAGTCTCTATATCCCGAGCTCTGGTGAGGCAGGGTGAAAACAAGGGCATTGTTAAGAAAGTATGGAAGGTTGAAAATTTAGGTAAAGCACATTGTTCTGCTTAAGGTGTGTATCCGGTTTGTGTTTTAGCCATATTTGCTACACATGGAAAGTAAAGAACTGATCGGGACGCGGTCGATTCCTTACGGGCGCGGTCGAAAGTGGGGCATAGGTGGAAATAAGCAAGACTTGCGCGTGAGAAATATTTCCCAAGACTTGAGACGGCTATTATAGGCGTCACGTGACGCGCGGCCTACGGTGCGCGTGGCCTCGGGGTCTCGTTCGGAGACCCTCTCGGAGACCTTTTAGGGGATGTTCTCGTAGACGTCTAACTAGTACCTTGTAGTAGTTAGACATCCGTTATTACATTACTATGCCTACCGTTACCTTTCCCCAGTCCCGCGACCTTATTACCTCAAGACCCGGCAGGTCGGCTGCCAGGCCTTATAGAGAGTCTCCAAACGGACCTCTGTAAGGGGTCAAAACCTACATCGCGTGTGTACACGACATGCGTACTGCGGATGCCTATAATAGTCGATCTCTAACAAGAGAGACCCCTGTTGGGCATCAAGCCTGGGTCATGAGTTGATTAACTCCTAGAGAATGACTTGGGTAGATCACATCATTGGAAGAAGCCTAGGACCAGGCTTGGCTGAAGAAGCATACAAAGGAGGTCCCCCAGTAGATGATGCTTGTGGTGTGAAAGCTCCTTTCCTGGTCAAGACATATATACTATGCATGTGAAATCAGAAGGAAAGAGGCAGGTAGGATGTGATATGTCACCACTTCATGTTTCATTGATCCCTGCTGTGTGAATGGGAATCAGCCATCCTTGATATAAGATCTATCACCCAAGCTAGTACAAGGATGTCAGAGTCACAACAAGAATTAGACTTGAATGCATTGCTACAAACAGACACTGAAGGGTCTGACATGCTGTTTGGCCCAAATGGATCTGCATTGAGCTTGGGGGATGAGCTGATAGAATGGGATCAGTTTGGGGACATAGTAGAGTTGTCTGAAACCAGCTACTGGCCTGGACAACAGGCTGATGCAAGAACTCTGGAGTCTATGAGTCCAGTTAGTGCTTGGCATCTGGACTATAGCGGGCCTGTTGAGGCAGAACAACCAGGATCCATTGGGACTGAGGTGGAACAGTCCTGGTTGCAGCATCAAGACTGGGAGACAGATCAATTCAAGCAGGCTTTTGAGCAAGATATGGCACAAGATAAGGACATGGGGGTTCCTTATGAGCCTACAATCAGGGAAGCCTGTTCATCTGATGACCTAGAATACATGAACCCTGATGAGCTTGGCCTCAGCTCTCAGTCATTGGATACAAGAGACCAGATCAGTGCCACCAATGCAGCTTGCTCTGAGCTGGATAGACAGGTTTCCAACATAGGATACATGTGTGGCAAGCTGTGCTCAATAAAGCTCAACCAGACACTGCAGGACTGGGAATTGCACCCTGATACAACCCGCAAAAAATACAGTGTAAAGCGACTAGGTGGGAGCCAAATTCTGGATAGGGATGGGAACCTTGTGGATTCATTGGCAATGGAAACCTACAAGGATGTAGCTGCATTCATTGGATGTACTGTCGGAGCAGTGTCAAATGCTATGAGAAGAAAGGGTAACAAGAGGGGTATCATCTTCAAAAGATGGAAAGTTGAGCAATGTGACGCAACAGGAAAAGATGGACAACAAGACTCAGAGAGTTATAGCATTGCACGATTGACGCCTACCACAGTGTTCCCAAGTGCAGAGGAATTTTGGCCACAACAACAGACTCAACAAGCATACACAGCATCTGAGCAGGATCCCTCCTGCACCTATGGAGTGGAAACAACCCTCAGCGGCACTTGTTCTACTTATGGAACATCAGGCCACTTGGAGCAGGATATGAGTCAGGTTCGCTTGATAACCAACCATCACCTACAACTGTCAGAAATTCCAGCTCCGCACCCAGTTTCTTCCAATGAGCCTATCCTGATGGGTCAGGATGCTTCCCCTTGCCTTGAGTTCCATGGCTTCTCTGACCCAGGAAACATGATCCACTCATTGAACATGGAGGATATATCCAGCCAAGACACAGCATTCATGGTCCAGCTGCCAGAGGATGCCATAGAGTCCCAGGGAAGTATTGCAAATGAGGGACATGTCAGAAGACATGCTTGCACACAGGCAGATCCCCATCAGACAATGCTGCCAGCTGCAATATCATGTACAAGTCAGACAAACAAGCATCACATAGAGGTTCCCGAAAAAGGTCGACCTGTCAGACATTACCGTGTCAGTCAAGTTGATGGCCATGGTTTCAAATTTCGTGGAACACCAGTAACCTACGTTATGATATGCACCACTAAGGCTGTTGCTGCCATCACTGGGATTAGTACCAAAACCTTAGAGTATGTCAAAAAGAATGTTGATATCCAGTGGGCTCAATGGAAGATCACCTATATCAAGAAAGCACATTGCAATCATGTTGCAGAGCAGGGCCTGCTTGAGGAAAATAACACAACTTTGGTCAGATCTGAATGGTCTGAAGTTGGCGCTTTGCAATCATTGCAGGCTTACATTGAAAGCAGTCACGCCTCATCAATACAGGAAGACAGGATGGACATGGAAAACCAGTATGAAGGATATGAGGTCCCATATGGGCAGATATCAACAATCGAGGCCCCACTGGAGAACAGCCTTGTGTCAACCCATCCTGTCATTTCTGCGAGAGACTTGCGATTATCAGACATTGAAGGCATGGTTGGCAATGCAAAAGAAGTCGTATTGCACACTAAACGGAAACGCCGTCCTCTATCAGTAGCAAACAAGATCAACTTGCGGAATAGTGCAATCAATAACGGACGAGCAAAGTTATACCATGTGACTCGTGTTGATGGAACTAGCTTTAGATTTGGTAGAAAGCAAGTAACTTCTGCCAGGATATGGAGCTCGAAAGCTGTAGGCCAGCTCCTCAATTGCACTCAACAAGCTATATCCCAAGCTATGGTGAAGCAGGGCGAAAAGGAGGTTATTGTGAAGAAAGAATGGAAGATCAAAAGTTTAGGTAAAGCATGCCGTTCTGCTTAAGTCGTGTATCTAGCGTACCTGCATGTGGTATCAGTACAAAGCATGAATCATGGCCAGTCTTGTAATATATATACTTCATTTGCTATCATAGACATACATTTGAGCACGACCGTTGGAAGAGGTATTCAAATTCGAGAGATGAGCTGGCACGGAATCTCGCGCTGACATGGCCAACTGCGAGGAGTCGACCAAGATGGAGGATGGCTGCCGTAGATCGAGGTTTGGCTCAAACGAAGGACCATCGCGGGCACCAGAATGCGCTTCAGGGGCGTTATCGTATGAGAAGTGTAAGTGGCAACGACTGTTAGGAAACGTGTTAGATTTCGTAAAAATACGCCAGGGGGCAATTCATGTCTTGTTCCCGTAAACCCTAAGATAGTTTTTTTATTGCCATTGTCGTTCTCACAGCAAGTAGCAAACAGGCGTTCGAAGCCACGGTGCCATGCCAATCGCGTTTGTGTTGAAAGATACTGGAGCAACCGGCATCGAGATCCTGATGCATACTGTCAGACATCTCCGTCCGGCTCTTCTCCCATTCGACGCTCGACCATTCATACTCGTCTTCGGAAACATTGCATTATTATTATTGTTATCGGATCACGGTAACTATCCGAGCCAAAGTAAACCCAGCACAGATCGACCGTTGACCAACTAGATTCACGACCTGCTTGGACTGACACCGACCCTCCAGCCGACTTTGACCAATGTCTCGCAAGCTCCCGCCCCACTCTCTCCACCCTGGCCACTCGCTCCGCCCTGTCCATCATTACCATCAACCCCACCTACATCACTCCCGACCTTACCACCCGTAGAGTTCCTAACGAGATCCTCATCCAGCACGACCTCCCCTCGAGGGAAAAGCACGATCACCGTACTCCCCCCATACCGGAACGCTCCTAGACATTCTCCTCGTCGGATTTCTTTACCCGGAGAGATCCCGGGGTTGTAGAGGATTGAACCTACTAGCATGGCCCCGACGGCGATGATGGCCACCTTGAATTCCGGATTCGATTTGGAGCGGACGATCATCACGCTCCGCCTGTTTTCACAGAAAACGTCTAACGTCCCCGGTTCGTTGATAGCCTGGGGGTTGACGGTATAATAACACCCAGGGATCTCTGTTATGGACTCGATCACCCCATCCACGGGGGAATGCCAACGGTGGTAATCCTGAGGAGCTAAACGGGCGATGAGGAGGGAGCCGTCGGAGAAGGAGGAGGCGAGGGAGTTGTCGTTGAGGAGCTTGGGGATGGTAAAGCCGTAGCCTTTGATCCAGAATTTCTTGGCGAGGGAGATTGTGGGGTACGCTGTCAGGCGGCAGTCGGCGGGGGAGGAGATTGTGGTGTCCTGTAATCATGCCGTTTTAATATTGTCGGGAAGTCAGCTCTGACGACCACAACCCTCGAGAGAAGCAGATTCGACGATGAATTCAAGGAGGTAAAGGTTGACAAACGACTCACGTTGTCCGGCTCGGCGATAGGTCTAGCGTCTTCCCTAATCTCCCTAGAGAAGAATTCGTTGAACGTCCCATACTTTTCCGGATCAGGCTCTTTCAACTCTTTCAACCCCTCTTCCAACCGGAAACTCTGGATGAACGGCCGGATATGCTTCACGCTAGCTGGGTCGTCGTATTGTTCCCCCATCTTTATGCTTTGGTCTTCGAGCAGCTTGATAGTGCGTTCCCACCGGAGGAATTTTTCTTGGGCAGAGCCGTAGTATAGGGCGTGCATACCGATCCGGACGTAGATGGACATGGGTTCGAAGACCTTTGATTGGGAGCCGGTTTGACGGTCGGTGACGACGTAGTTGCCCATGTGGAAAGCGGATTCCATAGCTTCGAGGCTGGAGTAAGAAGGGAAGATGCGCTCGAGCCATCGGTGCGATGCTTGACGGTCCGAAGAAGGAGTGTGGAGGGTGGATTGAGGGTCTTCGGAACTGGCGGCGTGGGAGGTTATGTGGTCCAGCGCTGCTGCGGTTGCTTCGAAGTGAGGGTCGTGCTCGGCGAGCTTGTCGGTATCGGTGGTCATGGTCGCTAGGTCGTTGCGTGTGTGAACGCGAGGTGTCGCTTTAGCGCTAGAGCAGCTAGAGCAGAACGCTAGGACGAGGTGGATCACGAGTGACTAGAGGCTAGAGGTGACAGGGATATATATATTCGTATCCTTATTCCGAGGTACAGAGGTAGGTGAGTGGTAAGTGGATGCTATTTGTAGAAGCTGCATGGACGCTCCTCGTCGGCCGATTCGGCAACGTCCGAGACCTCGACCCTCTCTCTCTGACCTAAAGTGTGATGTCGCCACAGATCCACAGACCTCTACACCCGGATTGATTGCAGCAGTCATAGTCATTAGCAGCAGGATCCGAGGAGACAGACGTCTTTAGCATCTTGCCTTCCTGTGAAGAGGGCTGTCCTGCCGTTGAGGTTCTGGAAGAGTCTCTCGACGTAAGATTCGGGTCAAGGATCGTCAGACCGGGTCGACATCACGAGCAATGTCGGGAATGAGTTCCGAGCGATAATTGCCCATTGCCCACACTTACCCCAACTTCCCAGAAGATGCCTGCTTCCTCACCTCACCTCGTTCCTCACCTCGAGCTGCCGTTGAGAAGACGTCAACTTCTGCAACCCGAGCTGCCACCAGCCCTTATTATCCCACATTGCACGCTCGGAATGCAAAACTGGCTCTTGCCCCGGTCCGTCTTCCCCCGGTCAGTCCTGCTGAGCAGCGACTCCAGTACTTCATCAAGTTTCCGAGGAGTTGGGAAGACATCGTGTCTGGGTGCTCGGCTATCTTGCTGAGGGTCTCATACCCGTGAGAGTGTCCCTGACACCCTGACACAACACCTAGCCTAGCTACCATCCTCTGCAAAGACTTCAAAACTTGCAACCTTGACATGTCCCGGCCCGACTCGCCCACGCCGTCATCTAACTGTTCATCCTCATCGTCATCTACCAGGTCGACCTGTTCTTCATGCCCACCATGGCCGATATCCCGTTCGGTCATCTCACACCTCGCCATGAACGCTGGACTCGATGAATTATCCAATCATCCGGAAGCGGGTAGCATAGCCGACCATCTCGAAAGCCGCAACGATCGGAAGTCCAGCCGAGGCCCGAATCCGAGAGTCACGGACAAGTCGACGGCGTTCGCTTATTATCAAACTGGCACTCATGGGCCTCAGTTCGGTTATCGTCTGGTTTTGGTCGAGGAGGGGAACGACGTCGACTTTGTCTCCGAACAGGTCAACGCTAGGGGTCCGATATCGGGCGATACGGCCGAGATGCTGGTCTTCCCTTTAAACTCAATGAAGGATGGGCTAGGGGAGATGATCGTGCTACCAGAACGGGGGGATCGGCCGCAGGCGTCGGGGTCAAGGTCGAATGATGATGGTGATGCCGACGATACCGACAAGCGGACTATCGAGTATGTCCTCAACTCCAGCCTCCTCGACAACGACATACACATCGATCTCCCGACCTTCCAACCCGGGACGATCGCCAAGAAGCTTCAAGAGCGATGTCGAACGCAGCAGACGAGCCTGTTGACTCTGGGCAGTTACATGCAGAAGATCACTTATAGCGGTGTCTCCACGTCCGGGGAAAACGCTTCAAGGCGAATCCTCATCATCATCCGAAGTCGAAACTCGCTGGAGGAGGTCGAGGACGACATCTTGAGTTGGATCAATGGTCGAGCTTCAGGATCTGTAGAACAGGGTTCAGGGGTTTGTTTGATCTTCGAGGAGAGGGGGGCCGGGATGGTCGTCTTCCGATGAAGCTCGAGGTCGATGAGTTTCGAGGCGAATTATGGTGCGGAGTGGGAAGAGGAGCGCTGCTGCATAGACAGATGCAGAGGGACAGAACGGCAATTTGAAGCGACAAAGTGCGAGGCTGCAACGGATTCAGCAAGTCTCTCGCGGATGTGTCAGATGATTGCTGAAATAGCATTCAAACCTGTCATATCGAGATGTCAAGTAGAGTACACAGATGGTTCGCTCGTGTACCGAATGATGTTAATCTGGGCGCCTGTCTGGCGCACATTCATGGGGTCGGTTGTTTTTCCACACGCCGCTGGAAGGCACGGACATTCAGATGATTCTATGAGGGCAATATGTACGTTTCTATCTATCTATTTCTCTATCTTCACGCACTATCCGCTTCCATATTTTCGGCCGTTCGATGACGACTCCTTCCTCACGCCTCCTCTTCACTCTCAATATCCTTCTCAGCATCCGGTCGACTCTGCTCATCGCCCAACTTGCGATCCCTCAAACAAGCTCCGAAGAAGATCAACAAGAACCCCACGCACAACCCGACGATACAGAGGATCCTCTGGACGTGCTGGTATGCGCGGACGATGGCTTGTCGCTCAGGGGTGTCCCAGGTGTAGGTGACGATCGAGCCGTAAGGGTCTGCGTAGACGGCATCGGCGATGCTAGAGGAGCCGAGTTCTTTGGTCAAGCGGGATTTGAGGGTTTGGGTCCAGATGGCCCCGGAGATCGAGGCGGCCAGGGCCGAGCCGATTTGGTAGGTCGCGAGGTACAGACCGGTGACGACGGCGACGTCTGCGAAAAGAACGCCATGAAATACCTCAGCAAGAAGCATTCTTTTTTGCGCGAGGTGAAACGATACGTACGCTCATGCTTGGTCTCGGCCTGAACGCTCGCCTGCGTCGGATAAGTAAAAAAACCTCCAGCGAAACCCAAGATGACCTGTCCGGCTATCACACCGGCATAACTCGATTCTCCACCTCTGTACCTGACCATCAGACCCATCGCCACCGGCCAGACACATACTCCGAAGAGGATGAACCATTTGAGTCGACGGACTTTGTAGACGACCAGTCCGAGCAGGGTGCCAGTAATCGTGGAGGTGAAAGAGTAGAGGGATTGGATACGTTGGGACGATTTGACGGATTCACCGATGGCCACTTGAAGGACTGCGTAGAGGTAGTCGGCTTGCATGCCCCAAGCTGCAGGGTAGAACATACAGCTGTGTATGAGCGTCAGGCGGATTTCTGGATAAGGTTTCGGGACTTACAAAAGTTCAGAGTACATGCGATTCCGAAAGCGGCCCATACTCCTCGGCCTTTCAGTAACTGGAAAGCCAGCGACGATCATTAGCTAGTGATCAAAGGACATCAGTGCTCGACGCTGTCTTGGAGCTCACCTTGAACGGGATCATCGGATGAGGCGCCTTGATCTCCCAAACGATCCAAGCGGGGATACAGACCACCCCCACAACCAAGGGGGCCAAGATATCCCCATCACGCCACCTCGACTGATCCTCGGTCCCCCCGGCTAGAGTCAACGGCGTCAAGATCAAGCCAAAGACGGCGATGATGAGGATGATCCCGATGACGTCTAGTTGCCAAAAGAGCGAGACGAGCAGGCGTTTCCAGCCGAGCAGTTGGAATGGCGATCGGTAGGATTCGAGCGCTCCGGCGCGTTTGGCTCGGTATTGGGCGACGACGAGGATGGCAACCAGAGGGATGGTCGAGACCGGGTAGACTGTGGTCGGGGGTCATCCAAATCAGCCTACGTATGGTCATCAAGAGGCAAGAGTGGAAGACTCACTGATGGCCCACATCCAGATACCTGGTCTCCAACTTCCGTCACTCGTAGGATCGTCAGACAACACCGCCGCGGAGACGTCTCCACTGACCCAAGTGTTGATCTACCACCGGCGCAGACCGAGATCAATACGTTCTCAAAGCTGTATTGCTTCAAGCTATGAGTAAGACTTACGATGAACGGCAAGGCGGGGACGAAGCTGAAGAACAACCTCGATCGTAGGGATGTCAAATCGGCGATGATCACCTGTGATATGAGAGGATCGCGTGTCAGCCGGATTGGTACGTTGGACTTGACAGAGGCTGACCGGGAAAGGCTATCGATAAAGCACTCACCTCTACAAGGAGGATAATCATCGTATACCCAATCTATACTCAGCGGCCGAGCGAAACATGAAGCATTTCATCAGCGATAAGGACCCCATTTCACATTCGAGGATAGAGCTGGAGACTTACCTGGTAGATAACAGCTCCCGCGCAAAAAGTCTGTACGTCATCTGAGACGGACTCGACGATAGTCCCTGTTCACCCATTGGATACAGATTGATGTTCGTCATCCGATAGCACCCAGGATCGTTATGGATGAACACGATTGTGCAGAAAGAGATCGATCAAGACCCGGTTAGCTGCTAATGAAGGCAAGACGTGCGTGTTTGGATACTGACCTACGACGTAAAAGACGATGGACACCAGGATCAACTCTGTCCGGCCGAATACGTCGGAGATCTTGGCTGCTGTTGGCTACATGGGCGTACGCGATGGCGAGTCGTAACGAGGGTTTGTTTGGATATGATTAGGGTGTGGTTGAATGAGGTGGTTCGTAGTGCCGAAGAAAACGCGGGATCAGGGAAGGGGGGACGAAGGAAGGAAGAGAGGGAAGAGAGGAAGATCGGTGCATCGGAGTATGCCATGTGATAATCATCATCAGTCCCGGTTAATTCAAAGAAAGCTCTACTCTGTAATCCGGTCTGCTCAATGGACTTACCTGCGCTGCGGCTCCGATTACGCTCCTGACTACGGTGATCGTCGATAATAACGAATGTTGGGCGTAAGAGGCTGTTGCGTAGCCTTGGTAGGTGTACCTTACTACAGTATCAACGTAGCGATATGATATGATCAGACCAGGAGGGTCAGTACGACACGATAAATGGAGAAAGATATACAGTAGCCACGTAATGTGGGGCTCACCGGTCCCATCAAGCCCATAAACATAAGTCACGAGGAAGACCCCGAAGAACAACGCCCATCTTTCCCAGGTCTTCAAGTGGGCGTTGATAGCTTCCATCCGCCTGACTCCGGGGGATTGGCCGCCAGAGAGGATGATCTGGGCGTCACCCTCGGCGGTATAGGTGAGTGGTTCCTCTTTGTTATCTTTCTTGTCTTTCTTGTCATCGCGGTGGGTCTGATTTTGAAGATCGTGATCGTGACCTTGATGGGAGAGGTCGGACGAGCCCGAAGAGCTGGGTTGTCGGTTTTGCTGGAACAGGTTGCGGAACCGGTCCATGTCTCAGTAAAAATACGGGTGTCTTCTATGGTCACGGTAGAAGTATTGCTATCGCTGCGGCGGATAGTGGGTAAAGCTGTTGTTGGAGTGTAACTCCTCGATTCGAACGTAAGGGATAATATGACTATATATTTCACATGGCGGTACAGTGCGGTGCGGTGCGGTGCGGAGCGAGCCGCTAATCAGATAAAGAAAAAAAAACGGAGGGTTGACGTCGACACTCCGCTCCTCACCCCTCAACCCCTATTGAAGATTCCACCCCGGCCACCCGATTACCCGATTTTATTCTCGCATGGGGCACACCACAGCCCACGCAGTACGTCTAGCGCGGTTTCACTTTCACGTTGATCGGCGCCACACCACACGATCATTCACGTGGGCCCATCAGGATCGGGGGAGTGGAATTACGAAACCGTAAACTCTGTTTACCCGAACGGCCGAAGGACACTCGAGATCACGTGATCTTACTCTCTCGGATAATCACGTGATCAATCGTCATTCCGTCAAGATCACCAGGAAGGTGTTGGTTGCAAGTCGTCGAGATCTTGCCAAAGCGACCGGGATCTGAAACGTAAATCAAGTTGCGACAACGTAGACTTTTCGCTTCATCTCGGCCGGTGCGGCCGGGGAGGTCGACGATTGCTCGATACCCTTTTGCCTGGTCATCGCTACAGCTACAGGTGATCGGTTGCTCCGGACCGGATACGCGCGCGGTGTCATCACGGACGTTGACAGCAATGGATATTGTGGCAAGATCGGGGAAGCTGTACGAACAAGATCATCACCAGCTCCGAGAAGCCGAAGGTTCTGGAAGGTTGAGGAAGAGACTTGATATCCCTAGGTTGTGGTATTGGCCCTATCTATCTCTCGTAGGCTCAGCATCGCGAGCGCGAGCGATCAAAACTCTACTCGAACAAGGACATCGATCATCGACCAAGATACCGAGCGGCGTTCGTCAATCCCACCAACAGGTGAACGCCGGTCCCGGTAAGACTTCATACCGACCACCCCCGCCCATCGTAGTAAAGAACCCCCGTCTTCCCGCGGTATATTTCCAATGCACTTCACGCTTCGTGCAGGAAGAGGAGAGGAGGTGGGGGGAGGGGGACCAAACCCGAGATGAAGGAAGGCGTGGGCGCTAAAAACACATGACGAGGGCCCCACTTAGCACCCCCTTGGCACTTCCCCAGCTGATTCTGGGGTAAAGCAACGCCTGTGGCCTGTGGAGGTGGAAAGGGGGCAAAGCGTCGTGGTAATGAGGTTTGACGATGCGACATCTTCGTCCCGTGCTCAGTCACAGGCGACGCTTGAGAGGGGCTAGAGGGGTACATATAGGAACTACTCACCCCTCGATCGTCGATCGTCGAATCGCCTTGATCCCATTTGGCCGTTGGCGACTCGGATTCAACACCAGGCCCGTACCACATAACATCTCTCCTCGAGCCGAACTACAGTACAGGATAGAGTATACGATACGAACACGAGGATGGATCACCTAGATGTCGACAAGAAGAAGGTGTTCGAACACCACGAGGGCGGGAGCATCGACCAGGAAGAAGTCATCAATTATGTCCCAGGGACAGCCGAGGAGAAGGCTTTACTGAGAAAGGTGGACAAGCGGCTCTTACCGATCTTGTGGTTGATGTACATCTTTAATTATATCGATCGGACTAATATCGGGGTGAGTTGTTGTCGCTATGATATTTGATGCGGCATTTTGCCTGTGAGGCGTGGATAGATTTGTCGCGTGTGTTTGCTGATCTGATCACTTTTTTGCGGTATGGGCCTTGTAGAACGCACGGGTTGGGGGTATGGAACGTGATCTCGGTCTGAGCTCTTCGGAATATTCCCTAGCCTTGTCCATCTTCTTCGTCGTGAGTCGCCAACTCTTTTAGTTCAAGTCTCTCGGATCCGTCACCTTGCTTTCGGTCATCAAGATTAATGGGAAAATCTTTCTCGCTGGGTTCTTCAGGGCTACCTCCTCGCCGAAGTGCCTTCCAATATGCTCCTCGCGCGCTCTCGTCCGAGTATCTTTCTCCCCGCTTTGATGTTCACCTGGGTAAGTCCCCCCCCCCCCCTTTTTTCGCTCGTTAGCGATTTTCGCGTCGACGGTTCTAATCTGCCTGGATCGATTTCCATTGTATGGGGCTCAGGGGTGCTGCTCGATCGCAGCCAAGGGGATCCATAATACGGCCGGACTGGTGGCCTTTCGTTTCTTCCTCGGGATCATTGAAGTGAGCCGAGTTCCGCTTATACTCCTATGCCGATGCAATGGTTGATTCGTCGTTTGTATTCATCTGTAGGCTGGGTTCTTCCCTGGAGTCATCCTGCTACTCAGTTGTTGGTACAAGGTCAGTCTGGCGTGTTCCGCCGTCCGCATTCGACCGACCTATTTCGATGCAGGATGCTTATCCGTATCGGCCATCACGTTGCATATGTTATCACCGGTACAGCCAAACGAATTGTCCAAGCGACTCGCTCTCTTCTATTCGGCCTCTCTCATGGCGGGAGCGTTTGGTGGATTGTTGGCAGGTGTGATCACCCAGTACATGGACGGTGTCGGGAATACTCCCGGTTGGCAGTGGGTGAGTCGTCGTCGCCATCCCGATATTGTGGCCCGAGCTCTGGCGCTGCGCAAACTTATGAGGAAAAGGGAAGTTCTGTACGCTAATCCGGTTTATTTCATTCCTAGTTGTTCGTGATCGAGGGCTTGGGCACGGTAGTCATCGCCGTTGGCGCCGTCTTCGTTCTTCCCGGTAAGCCCATCTGGTCCCCGCCTCGGAGCTATAGCGGCCAAGTTCAGCTCACTCCACTCTGCTGCCCGCTCGTGCTGCCAATAGACTACCCTAGCACCACCCGATGGCTCTCTGAGCGTGAAAAGAAGTTTGCCGTCGCCCGGCTCGTGACCAACGAGGACGCTGCCGATCGTCTCGGACACATGCAAGCGTTCAAAGCGTCCGTCAAGGACTGGAAGACCTGGGCGTTCATGTTGGTTTACGTGCTTCTAAACGGATCAGGGTGAGCACCCAACTTCGAATGCGATTCCCATGTGCGCGTGCGATGCTGATCGTTTGTCGTTATCGATAGCACCATCTCCTACTTCTTCCCGACCCTGATGACCACTCTCGGCTACAGCGGTCGTGATGCGCAGTGTGAGTCGGTCTGGGATGCAGAGCCGCGCAAAGCGATGCTGATTCTGATCGTCGGTTCGGCCTGCCAGTCATGACCGTTCCGATCTACGTCGTTTCCCTCGTCATCTCCCTCGCCATGGGGTACAACGCAGACCGAACGAACCAAAAGGCCTGGCACATCTTTGCCGCTACCATTCTCGGAGCTGCCTCGTTTATCGTCACTGCGATCGTCACCAAGGCCTCGGTGAGGTACGCCTTTATCTGTTTCGGTGGAGCGGGAATCTGGACGGCGGTGCCCTTGTTCTTGAGCTGGATGGTGGGAAATTTCGAGGGTCGTGAGAAGCGAGCGGTTTCGATCGCCATGATCAACGGCTTCGGTGGGTGTCGCCCGTGGTCCAAACTATTACTACTACCCACTTGCTAACCTACTTGCCGCCTTCGTCGTCGCAGGCAACCTGGCTTCGGTTTACGGGTCCTTCATCTGGCCTAAATCGGACGCTCCCTTGTACCGACCCGGATTTGCCACCACGACCGCCTTGATCGCTGCTGGTGGAGGGGTCGTCTTTGCGCTCAGGTGGAAGTTGGCCAAGGACGCTCGTAGGGCCTCCAAGAACGAGATCGATCAGTAATCGACGACGGGAAGTCGATGTTTGTAGTCGGTTCCTAGGAATCCCGTGAGACTCTCTTGAAATCTTGTTGTTGCGCCATCGAGCGCCAAAAAAAAAAACGCAATCACGCCCTTTGTATAATACCGTACACATACGATCGCCATAGTTCACAGTATCACAGGGCCCACGAAAGTCAGCGTAATTTAGCGCGTTCGCTACTCGTTCACACGTATAGCAACAACGGATCGAATTAGACTTGTCTTATCACGAGCCAAGAAGAGCGCTTGTGGGGCGGCTAACGGTAAATTATGCAGACCTTTGGTTCAAGATGTTCTGACGAAGCGAGGTCGCTTTTCACATATCGATATCAAGTGGACCGACCACCTAACTTTCATCTTGTCATCGACCGAGTTGCCAATACGGGTACATTTGATGAGATTCTACTCGAGACCGGGAGCCAGCTCCCTGGGGTCCGCCTTGTCCTTCGCCCTGTTGGTGACCAGCCTCCAACCTCCATCGACACGGATGTCCTCCCCATTGAGCCCTACAATAGGATCGCGTTTCAGATAAACAAGTTAGATGTGTCCAAAGTTCTTTTCGTGCACGGATAGCGGGGAGATGAGGATGACTCACATTGGTTCTCGATGAGGTGGAGTACCGTGTCGACGATCTTTTCGGCGGGGACTGGAGATCGGGGGAAAGCGGCGTGGGCAGTGAGGTCGTCCTGCAACACAGAGTCAGCAAGAGGTCCGGACGGCGTATACTGTACACCTTATCGCGCTCACCTGGAAGTAGCCGGAGAAACCGGCGGTCAAGCCGGAGATGACGATCGAAGGCGAGACGGAGCAGACCCTGATACCGGAAGGTCCCAAAAAGTCGGCAAAGGCTGTACAGACCGGAAGTGAGCTCAATGCAGTCCAGGCTTCATTCAGGAGACCTTCATCCCGACTTACATCGGGTCATGCCCAGTACAGCCGCCTTGGTAGGTCCGTAGCTCAAGCATCTTGCATACAGATCGTGCCCGGCGACACTGGCAAAGTTGACAATGATCCCACGCTCTTCGTCGGTCGTGAAAAATCGCTCGCCGTCGGCCTTGGGATATTGAGCGTTGATGGCGTCTGCGACGTGGGCGTTGATGACGAAAGTTCCTACAGTCTGTGCGTCGATATGGTATAGGATGAGGGTTCGATCGAGATTCAATCAGCATGTGGCCGAGAGGAATCCATTTCGGGGAGACGTCGACGTACGTTGACTTTGAGCATCTTTTCAAAGTTGGGGATGCTATCCACCATGTTGTTTGTCCATTCCTGCTTGATGGCGATACCGGCGCAGTGAACGCATCCCGACAGCTTTCCGCCCGAAGACTCCAGCTGCTTGGCAAAGTGTTGTTGAGCAGTCTCGATCCCCTGTGTTTTGCAGATCAGGTACCCCGACAACATGCGCGCGCGAGACGACGACGATCAGGAACCGTATGGACGAACGCTCTGCTACAGCGGACGACATACCTTCTTTACGCTGTCCGATTCGGTAATGTCGACTTGAACGTAGACGGCCTTGTCGCCGATGGATTTGGCGACCTCGCTGCCCTTGGAGCTGTCCAGGACATCGAACAAGGCGACAAGAGCGCCCTTTGAAGTGAGGATCGAAGAGACGGCCTTGCCGATTCCGCCGGCGCCTCCGGTGACGATGAAGAGGTTGTTTGCGACCTTCATTCTGGTGGAAAGATTCGGTTGACAGAGACGGAGGATTGAGGCGAGTTGGTTGATACAGACAGGGAAAGAGAGGTAGAGTCGAGTGGGAGTCTGCAGACCCTCCAGTGACTTGACTTTGTAGTCGTCTGGCCGTCCGATCGGCTTGCCTGTTCACCGTTACCCCGGTCGACTTGTGCTCGCTCGCTTGCGGGGGAGACGGTACCGGAGGCACTTGAGTCTCCCAACCGTACACAGCTGCCCGCGCTAAGATGCACCGAACGCGGCTGCTTATCGACGGATGCTCAGGGTTATCGAAGGTAAGGAAGGGAACTTTTCGGACCGATCATGTGGACAGAGAGGCCCAGGTCGCATTGGCGATAGGCGACAGTTCAGGTTCCGCATCACCACCACCCACCCACCCCGACTAACCGTGTTGTCCGACCGTCCATCCAGCAGACAGCCGAGAACCGATGGGTTGAGCGCCCACCCGTCCATAAAAAGACAGCTGCTGTACGAGCGTTCTCCATTCATCGACAGGGCGTTCGTCTCGCCTCTCGACATCTTTTTATCGGTCAAGTGCTCTCACATTGACGGAACACGGTCATCTGGCTATACTACTATTCGACTCGCATCCGGAACTATCACCATGGCTACCTACCTCAACTTGCCCAACGATCTGCCTTGCCACAAGCAAGGATTCCAGCCTGACGCTGGCGTCGAACATCAAGTCCATTCGATCGCGCAACACTGGCTCACCCAGTTTGAAATCGCTGCCACGACCAACAATGCCGACTTGTTCGCAGGACTTTTTGTGAAGAATGGGTTTTGGCGAGATATCATCGCTTTCACCAACGACTACCGTTCCATCCGGACCAGCAACATCTCTGAGGCTGCCAAGGTCAGTAGTCCGACATGGCGACTGATCATTTTCATTCGGACAGGGTTCTCGAAGCTCACACGAGACGATATTCTCTTGTAGGCTCGATTCCCCGTGGTAAAGGCGCGCAACTTTGTCTTTGCCGAGACCGAGCCCGCCCTCTCGCAACCTTTCGACGACGTCTCGTTCATCGACCTGTTCTTCGAATTCGAGACCGAGCTCGGTCCTTGTTCCGGTATCGCTCATCTGTCATATGAGGACAAGGAATGGAAGGCTTTCACCTGCTTCACCTTGTTGGAAGGTATCCACGGGTTCCCTCAAAAGGTCGGCGCTCACAGGCCCAGGGGCAGTCACAATGACAAGCTCTCTTACGACGAGAAACGAGCTATGGAAAACGAGTTTAGGGACAAGGATCCCGAGGTTTTGATCAGTGAGTCGGTGTTGTGCTCATCTCTGATCATCGCTCAAGAGCAATGCTGACGAGCCTCTTTTCGGGACACGGCTTCACAGTCGGCGGTGGACACAACGGATTGGCAGCTGCCTCGCAGCTCAACACTCTTGGTGTTCAGACGCTCGTGATCGACCGACAGAAACGAGTCGGTGACAACTGGCGCACTCGTTACAAGTCGTTGTCTCTGCAGTGAGCCAGATCGTTTCGGTTTGGATATATCACCGTGCGCAGAGGCTGATATCTAGCTCTCATCGAATCAGCGACCCTGTATATGCCAATCATCTGCCATTCTTCCCCTTCCCTTCAAACGTGAGCGCATCCCAATCTTTAGAGTATCGCATGATTCAAGGTCGCTGATCTCTTCGCTACACCCATAGTGGCCCATCTTCACTCCCGCAGGAAAGTTGGCCAACTTCATGGAAGCCTACGTAGACGTTCTCGAGATCAACAGCTGGTGCGAAGCCACGCTGGACCCCAAGCAGACTCGATTCGATGAGAAGGAGAACAAGTGGAACGTCACCATCGTCAGACAACTTCGAGGACAGGAAGTGAGGCGACAGATGAAGGTCTCTCACCTCGTACTGGCTACCGGACTCGGAGGTGGAAAGCCCAAGATGCCGGCTTCTTTCCCTGGACAGGAAGAGTTTGGAGGCAAGGTCGTCCATTCGAGTCGACATGGTAGCGGAGCTGATTGGAAGGGGAAAAAGGCGTTGGTCGTTGGCGCCTGTACGAGTGGACATGATGTGAGTGTCATGGCTCGGCCGACCGTCATAGTCTCGCATGAGGAGCAAGATGGCTGAGGGTATTTGCCGCGCTGTCCTGTTCGCTAGATCTCCGTCGACTTTGCGCAGAATGGTGCAAATGTCACTATGCTGCAACGATCCCCGACATTCGTCATGTCGGTCTCCAAGGGTATGGAGATGATGGGTGAGCATGCACGCAAGCGTCATCTGCCTCAGTGGTAGCTAGATCCTGACTCGACCTTGTCGCTTATCGTTTCCAGTCAGCGGCTTGTATGGCGAAAACACCCCGCCGACAGATCTGGCCGATAGAATTGCCGAGTCCAACCCCAAGCTCGTGGCCAAAATGTACCACCAGCGAATCATCCCCAAGCTCGCGCAAGTCGACGGGGAGTTGCTATCCGGGTTGGAAAAGGCCGGCTTCAAGGCTTGGTCTGGTCCCGAGGGAAGCGGGTTCTTGATGAGTAAGGCACTTTCGAATCCGTTCGTCTCGATAAAGGATGACAGCTGACGTTTCAGCCTGTCCGAACAGTGGCGCTTGAGAAAGCTGGAGGCTACTACTTTTCGACGGGTGGATCCGAGATGATCTGTAAGGGGGACATCAAAGTCAGGCAGGGCGAGATCGCCAGCTTTGGAAAGGGTACGAACGAGATCACCTTCAAGGACGGGTCCAAGGAGGCGTTCGACGTCGTTGTCTTTGCCACCGGTTACACCGGATTCCCGGACACGATCAGGGAGACGATCGGTGGCGACTGGGCTGAAAAGTTCAACCCCGTCTGGGGTCTCGACGAAGAGGGCGAGATCAGGGGTGTCTGCAGGGAGAGCGGGATTCCCAACTTCTTCTTCCTGGTGGGCAACCTCTCGGCTTGCCGACTGAGCTCCAAGATACTCGCCCTTCAAATCAAAGCACAGCAACTGGGCAAATTTGGTGACCGATGTGAGCCTTTACGTGTCGTACCTGTGAATGTATGGAGAGCTGACAACGCGATGAACTTTCAGACACCTATGACGCTCAGAAAAAGTCAGGTCATTTGCCCGACAAGACCAAGTTCGAGGCCATCAAGGGAATGAACGGGCATCCCGAGGTCGTCAAGGATTACGAATAAAGACAAAGTGTACATGCATTGAAAGTTGAACGATCAGGAAAGGACAATACATAGCATGAAATAAGCGAGAGGACTTTTGGACTTCTTCCGTTATGAGGAGACACTAGTTTGCGGTATAGCTAGACCAAGACCCGAATCGTATTGAGTGACAACTACGATTATTTTCGATAGAGCTCGATGGAAGGCTTCGCTGCGTGCGGTTCATGGAAATTCTGTATTGGGGTCGAATAAATTACCTTGATCTTATAGCTGGCACATTGTTAGCAACATCTAACGCAAACCTGCCGTGTTTCTTGTCGCCGTCTGTCAAGCCCTCCGCCCAGTTGCCCAGTGATAATTACGGCGCATTGAGGGCAGGTATCCTTCACTCATATGAAAGAACAAGGCGGCTCAAGGACTCGGGGTCTCCGATGAGAAGGATGATTTACCGGTACTAAGGCTTACTCTCCTCTGGCTGTGTATCGTTCCGCACCAAGGTCTCTTATCACATCACAGACGGACTGACGATCAGCGGACCGGAAGCATTCGTTGTCGCCTTCTTTATGATCAACCCTAATCCTGCCCAACAGAACCGGTAGCGCATGTCGACAGGAAGCGCACCGCCATCTGGAAACCTTGGCGACGTACTGAGATGAGACCGAGCAGACAGATGACGTGCTTCTGACCGTCCTCCCGACGTTGAAGGGTTCAGGTCTCGACTTTGTAGACTACGCTGAGATTCAGAAACAGCCGAAATGAGCCTCCTGTCTCGATCTGCCTATTGAATATTGACAACCCGATTATGATTCCATATTTGGCTTCTCACAAAGAACTCATATTGATCGTCTCGCTTCACTCAGCTATATCAAACCTGTCGATTGATCCTTCGAATCTCGACTATCCGCTGATAGCATTCTGGTGTTAACCGTAACTGGAAATCGATGACACGCCATACAGAACCTTGGTCCCAACAACTTTCGAAGAGAACATGTCTGATCACACAAGCTCTTGATCGCTGACGGCGTCGATATTAGTGACAGAGACTGTTTAGAACGTCCATTGTATGATGAGATTCCCTTGAAACAGAATTGATATGCTATTACAAGCCGTCAGGCAGTCACAGGCGACATGTCTACCACTCCCGGATAGCCCCATCAGGTCCTCGCCACGTCGGGTTCCTCCAACTAAAATCGGCATTGTCAACAGCGTTCTTCCTGATCATCTCCTCGTCCAATTCGATTCCTAGCCCGGGAGCAGTCAAGAGCTCGACGGCACCGTTCTTGACGTCGAACACTTCGGGGTTCTTTAGGTAGGTGAGGAGATCAAAGTCGCCGGCGTTGTAGTGCATCTGAAGTCGGGACGGTAACAGTCAGCTCGTCGTGCAAGCGATCTTGAGGGCCGATCAATCGGGACAGGGAGCGCTGTAGATTCGGTACGCACCTTCCAGCTCATCTCGCAGATGACAAAGTTGGGAGTGGAGAAGGCGATCTGCAACGAGGCCGCGAACGCGATGGGGCCGAGCGGACAGTGAGGGGCGACCCCGATATCGTACGTCTCGGCCATATTGGCGATCCTCCTCGTCTCGGAAATGCCACCGGCATGAGAAATGTCGGGTTGGATGATGTCGATACACCCGGCTTCAAAGTAGGGTCGGCAGTCTTGACGAGTGAATAGCCTTTCACCGAGCTGGATCCGCCGACGTAGGTTGAATGAGATCGTTCAGTCCCGGTTCATCTTGCCTCGTCTCACTCGTTCATATCGACTCACGGCGATGGGAATCGAAGTCTTTTGATAGAGCTTTTCCATCTCGGGGACCTGCCCCGGCAAGAGCGGCTCTTCGATGAACAACGGCTGATGAGGTTCCAACGCCTTGGCGAGCTGTTTAGCCAGGGTCTTGTGAACTCGTCCATGGAAGTCGCTATGTAAGTTGCGGAAATGTAAGCGAGGAGGCTTGGTAAGGCACACAGGCGGAAAGAATGCTTACAGTCCGACATCGATACCGATCGACTTGACGTCCTTGACCCGCTGGATGGTAGCCTCCAAAGCGTGGGGTGAATCCAACCAACCGAGCTATCCTCATAGCACACAAATATCACATGAATGGATCAGCACCCGCGATCTTATCTCGAACGTACAGCTTCACAAAGATGTGGAACTTACCGACTCCACGGCGTTCATCTTGACGGCGGTGAATCCCTGAGCTTTCCTCGCCTTGGCTTGCTCCAAGACGTCTGAAGGTCGATCACCCCCGATCCATCCGTATACGTTGGCTCGTTCGCGGCTGAGAGCAAGTGATGGGGCGAATGTAGAGCTCAGCTTTTTGTAATAGTAATTTACACGAGCAAGGGGAGTTTAAGATACTTACACTTTTCCTCCGAGCAGTTCCCAGGTGGGTACACCAAGAGTCTTTCCCTTGATATCCCTGGTAAGCGCAAGTCACCGTCAGACTAGACTGTCCTTACCATTTCCGTCTCCTTGCCAAGCTCGCGCTGAACTCACCAAAGCGCAATGTCCAACCCGGAAAGTGCGCTCATCAAGACCTCTCCTCCTCGGTAAAACCTGTGTCTGTAAGCGGACTGGTAGATGTCTTCGATGTTGGAGGCGTCCCACCCGACGAAACGCTCCCGAAAATCGGCAAAGGCGCCTTCGACGGCCTCGGAGTGACCTTCTAAGGTAGCTTCTCCCCATCCGACGATCCCCTACGAGTAAGTTTCAGTTGCTATCGGTCAGCGTTTTTTGGTAGTTGACCGAGGTCTGTTATCTCTCGCCTCTTGTCAAAGACTCGAGACTCACCTTGGAGGTCTCCACCCGGACGAACAACCATCGAGGTCTCACGCGGAAAGTCTCGATTTTAGTGATCCTGTTGACATCGTTGCCGACTTGCAAGCCCTTTTCGTAGACGGTCGTCGTGGGAGCTTGGTGGGTGCTCTTGGCGGCGGTTTCTTGGGTGAGAAGCGTGGCCATCGTGACTGTAGCGTTTTTCAGATCGTTTGAGGTGTCAAGTTGAAGCTGAAGAGGTCTGTGTAGAGATGAGGTGACGGAGAGCAAGTGTTATTCGAGCTGCTCGTGCCGACTCGTTTATGTGCTGTCTCCTATCGACGTCTGCATCGCCGGTCCTCGTCACCTCTCGTCCGAGTCGGGATCATCGGTTGTCAACGGAACTTACAAGAGACCGGGCCGTGTCGTCCGATGGCGACCTCGCCATGAGTCGGGGTACACAGCCGAAGCGCGCTACGGATGAAACAAATTCACCGAGGTATAGGCGAGGGATCGGTTACCCGAGAGAGGTGAATCGGTGTTTGTAGCAGTATCACGTGATTACAAGACGTTCTCTAAGTTACCTCATGTCGTCAGGCTCTTTGCCACAGGCAAGATGTCCGCTCGTCCATTCGTTATTGGTTTAATGCCATCATCGAGACTCAAACAGAACTTCCCACTGAGGCAGAATGGATCGTGCCGATGTTCTCCCTCATTGACAACGATGGCCGGATAGCTGTGGAGCAAATCTTCGATCTTCGAAGGATGTTTTGAAGATGTCTTAGTCGCGTCCAAGGACTGCAAGGAGGATGGACAGATCGAGAAGCAGATTCCTTCTGTCGCTGGTACCTATGACGTCACTCCCATCATCTTGCACTGTGTCGAGTTGGGGACCCTCGAACTTGGCAATGTTGACGATCATATCAATGTCAGAAAGCACTTCACACGGAGTCGTGAATGCCCTGACCTAGGTAATGCAGCTTGAGAAGCGGGGCAGAACCAGCAGCGAGGAGCGATTTTCTCGCGGTGCTAAAATGCTAGGATGATGCAAAGTGGTATAATATGGCATAGTATAAGCTTCATGCCTGCTCGTACATTCGTAGGTCTGGTTGACATCGAGTGCGTCGTAAATAAATACCGCTCGCAAATCCATATCGTATGTTCGTTCCATTCGTTATCGAAGCTATCCGTGTATCTTAATCGCCAGTCCGTAAGGTCGTCTCTATTTCCGAATTGCTCGTGTATCTTCGTCCATATTGTTGTTGTGTCGTTGGCCATATCGTCTTTGTGTATAACCTCGCCTAGTATGATCTCGCCTAGTATATTTCGCCCCAATACGTGACCGCGGCCTCATTGACCCTGCACCGTTTCGGTTGCTCCTCGAGTTGCACGCAATCGACAGACCTTGCTCTCTTCTTTCCGACGATACCTCCACCTCGTCCCGGCTGAGGCTGAGCACCATCTTCCTCGACTTCCGATCGTGCTGGTCGCTTTTCGATGGTCTTAAAAATAACGAGAATACGTCATCAGCAGGCATAACTTAAGTGGATAATCAGATGTAATTCTGCGGGAGAGGCTCACAGTGGTAAGAATCTCGCTGCCGGGATTTTGAATGGCCGCGAGAGGTTGGGGTAGCGAGTCAGCAGCCCTATCCTGTCGAGAGATCTCGGAGCTGGACGCCGGCGCTGGATGGGCAGGCTCGACGTCACCGGGGGCAGGGATAGACGGAGCAACCTGCATCCGGAACGGAGACACACGGTCTGAGTCAACTTGAGTGGGAATATGATTCAGCATTATCAAGGTGGCCTACCGGCTCCGAACTTGTCGACCCCAGATTCGGAAGACCAGGGTTGGCGAACATGGTTCCCGAGAAGGCCTTTTCGTATTCACCTTCCTAACACCGCAAGTGCGTATCAAGTGTCTATCAGCACAGGCCGGCGTAGGACGAGTCGAGGTACATTTGCAAGAGTGGACTTACCAGGCTGATGATACTATGCTTGCTCGCCTGACAAGAATAGGCGGTAAATTCCCTTTCGGCCTCACTCATCAAACCCTTCCACCGTCTCTCGGCCGGTCTGATCTCGTTGCTCAACATCTCTGCCTTGCGTCGATTGTTTTCAGCATCCAATTGGGCTTTGAAGAGCTCTTCTTGAATAGCTATCGTCTTGGCGGAGGCTACGGCGGCTTGGTGTCGAGCCTTCCTGACTTTCCAGTTCAGGTCGTTCAACTCGGCTCCCGCCTTCCGAGCCGCCTGGATAGCTCCGTCCGCCGTGTTAGCTGCGGACAGGCCATAGTCTCGCATCAGTAACCTTCTGACTGCTATTTGTTGATTCCGATACTGTGCGTCGTCGAGCATTCTGACGAAACAATAAAGCCAAACTGATTAGGATCTCGCTATGCACACTTCCGAAGAGACCCCGGTGCGATCGGAGCTGTATGACCATCGTCACAGGTCGGAAAGTATCACTCACGCCAAGTGCTCCGGTTTAAAACGCTCCCTACAGCTTTCGATGAGGTCTTTCCCGTCTTTCCGTATCCAGCTCATAGCCAAAGGATGTAGCTTGTCCGAATTCAACTTAGTCGGTCGAAACGTCGCTTCGGCAAGAGTTTGGCGACGATGGTGGAGAGCAAGGTGCACGCTTCGGTCCAAGTGATATATGTACAGGATGTGCGGCAGACTCGAAGCTCTTATGGAGATGTCAGCAGCTCGAGTAGGTGCACAAATCGTTCAACTGTAACACAGTGCAATAATGGTCAAAGGAGGTTATGCCGGGAAGAGCGGACATCGGATCCTCTACACCGCATGCGATATGGCCCAAAATGCTTCTTGCGTGCTTACGTAATCTTGCGCAAACAGGACCATGTCCGTGTTGTGATCGTTGCGAACTACTCGTACTTGTATTCATCCATTACACATGGTACTTTGCTTGTTCATTCCAAAAGTAGTGTGACGAGTCCTACAATCCTACAAGTTGCAAGTTGAGCGTAGAAGCTCTCGTCAGGGTTGTGCAATCGAGTGCGATCAGGGGCCGCATTTCGACCTGAGTCGCGGGTCTTGAGGTAAGCTTTCTTCACGCCTGTCACGCAGTCCTGTCAGCTACCGATGATCTGATGACCGTATCCTTTGATAGATCGGTAGCAGATCATTCAGTGCAGATTGTTTGAGGAAATGGATATCTGTCCCGTCGGATTGACAAGCGGATCAGGGTAACAAGGTTCGTACCTCTTCAAGGGTGAGTCGTCTTCACGAATGTGCCTTTCCACACGTCTGCTCCGTTGATCATCCGGCTTCTAGCCCTTCGTCCACAGTCTCCGTTGTCATTCTCTGTCGTATCATGAGTTGGCTTCAAAAACTAGGACAGACTCTGTGGGATAGTCTCTTACACAAGTTCGATCGGGAGGATCTCGCGTAAGTCCTCCCCGCACGGTTGTGTACATCGGATCGCGTCTATGATACGGATAATCGGGTTCTCCACACACATGCTATTCTACCAGGCCTTTAAATGCACCTGCCTTATCGGATGAGCAAAAGAAGAGTCACCGCCTTTCTCTCGAGATCAAATATGGTCTCGTTGACGCTCAAAGAGCGGACGATGCCATCCAGTCCTTACGCCGTGCAGAAGATGACGTATCCCATCGGAGCTCAATGCTGAAGCGAACTACCGATCAGAGTCAGGTCGCCCAAGCGAGGTGCGACAGACTGCGAAAGGCTTTCGACGAAGCTGCATGGCAAAGCAATCACCTGCATGAAATACTCAAGGAGGAGCGAGAAGCTCTCCAATCAGCTGTGTCCGCTAAGAAAATAGCGGAGAAGCGCGCAAAACAGCTGTTCGAAGAGTACCTCAAAGGACCTTCAAGGGGTATTCTTCTTGATGATGTGAGTTATCGCGGGTTTTTGACCTTGTTATCAAGGTCGCAGAGCTCAATTATGAACGTTGAACCAGGAAGCCGAACGGAAAATGGCATTCAAACGGCATCGGAACGCTCTAGCTCCATCGGAAGCCACACCCGTACGCATAGTCGGGGCAAATTATTTAGAGCCGAGCGTAGTCAGGGCTTCGCTTCGACTGACTTTGGGCTTTGGCAGCAACTTCGTGGATCACGATCGTCGAGTAACCCGACCTCTTTTCTTCCTCCGCCATCGTCATCTCTACAGAGCCCATCCCAAGGGGGAGTTGCAAACTCGGGAAACTCGAGGACCGCGGACCTTGGTTCTCAGCGGAAACGAAAGAATCCTTTTCCGCCCTCGACCCCGAGTTCGGACAGGCCCCCATCCTTTCTGCCCCCCGCCCCGGATCTGGACGATTCCCTAATCGTCCAGCTTCCGTCCTTTATACCCTCGAAAGTCGCTCAGCCCGCCGATTCTAGTGGCGTGAAATTGGTAAGCACTTTGCATTCTTTTCATGTCGTCCCGTGGATCTAGGACTTCTATCAGTCGATGTCTGATACGCGACACCGCTGTAGGTACCGAAGCAGACAACAGTCCTCGAACAGGAATCGCAGGAAGCGGGAGCGGTCTGCAAGAAGAGAGCCAAAGTCACGGAATCGGAATCTTCGGATTCGGACACGGTTGTCCATATAGAGATTCCACAGTTGAGATCGAAAAGGGCACGAACAGCCGTCAAGGATAAATCTACCGATTGAGACCTCAGAGGCTTTTAACGAACAAGTTACGAAATCAGAAACAGGAAGACGATTCACGACGAGAGACCTATTTATTTATACGGCAAATCGATTTTACGAGAACGACCCAGCATGGTCACGAAGTGTACCTTATTATAACAAGCGCTGTTCTGATATCCATACGACTGCATGTCACTACGATCTGGTTTCAGATGTTCCTTGAACTCCAAGCTTGATGTGCTCGAGGATCAAAGCTTCAGTGATCAGTGAGACCGTGTGGTTGTCGAAACGCCAGTTCTGTCAAAACCTGCTCATGTCCGTGTTCTCGAGTACTTGACGGTTCCTGTTGACGATGATAGAGATCCTGATCGCTACACACACTGATCAGCCCAAGGTGTTCCATCCTTCTTGAAGGCTTCAGCGACATGAGAGTCAAGCTCATTCGACTCTTACTCTGCAGCTCTAGTCCCAGGCTGGAAATAGCAAGTAAACGACATAGCTCGTGCAGGAAGGCTCGCTGAATCGAGAGGTCGCCCGCTGCCTCTTTCACCTGCGTCGTGCTCGTCTGCGAGTGAGTACTTCTTCAAAGCTAAGATGATACGTAGATCTGACAAAAGGTCTTCCAGGAGAAAAGAAATCTTTCGCCCTGTGTCGTATCTGCCTAGAGTCCATGTCCACACGGACATCGACAAACACGCCGGGGTCGATCTGATTCTCAGACCGGTAAGCTTGACTCGACTCTGGTCTTCCTGTCAATAATCAAGCGAAGTAGAGAAATACTAATGGCGCTCTTCATGTGACACCAGACAGATCGATCAAATCAAAAACTGAGATATCCTTCGCTGCTGACTCTGATCGACGTCGCCGCGACTTCTCGCCGTCTCGGTGGTCTGCTTCAACGTGAGCTTGTGCGACATCACACATCCGGCTGCGAGTCATTTAAGAAACTAACCCCATTCTACGACATCACAGCCTCGATTACACGATGAGTTGGTTGTGCAAGCCAGGACAAGACCTCTTCAACAGTCTTAAGGATCGTTTCAAGCCTGAGGATCTAGCGTGAATTGAGTCCTCGCTTTCCTGATCCGCCCGACGTCGACTGATTATCGTATTCGTCTTACATCTCAGATCACTCAATGACGACACGCTCTCCAACGAACAAAAGGAATCCCAACGCCTAGAAATAGAATGGAAATACGGCCTCCTCGCCGCTCAGAGAGCGGACGAGGCGATCCGAGCCTTACACCTGGCCGGCGATGAGAGAGACTGTTCGCTGGCATCCTGCCGGCGAGTCCAGGCCAAGCACAAGCAGGCTGTGGCCAAGGCCGAAGACGCTAAGAAGGTTTGGGAAGAAGCCAAGATCCAAGCTGAGCGTCTTCAGAAAATTGTCAACGAGGAACAAGAGGCCCACAAGCCGGTCTATGAGGGATACATCAAAGCGGACGTTCGGGCTCGTGATTCGTTTGCAGAATATCAGAAAAAGGCTATTGAGCAGGGATATAGCTCAGCAGATCTCGTGAGTGTTCCATGATTGTCGTACGACTAGTTCGCTAAACTAGCGATTTGAGCCAGGAAGCAGAACGGAAGGAAGCATTCAAACGCAAGTGGAAGGTCTCTCCGGTAGCCAGTCCGCCATCCGTACAACCGAGTCAAGTGAGTCGCCAGAAATCGATTAGAGACTCGGGGCATACGATTGAAACGCCGCCAAATAGTCTACAACTACACAGAAGCCTACGACTTCACAACAATCTTCTATGCGTGTGCAGCAACCTACGACTGTACAGCAACCTACGGCTGTACAGCAACCTACGACTGTACAGCAACCTACGACTCTACAGCAACCTACGACTCTACAGCAATCTACGAATCTGCAGCAAGTTACGCCTCCGCAAAACTCTACAACTCAACAGAAATCGATGTCCCTACAACCACCTTCCGAAGACCGACTTCCAAGTATTCCGAGCGCTCATCTTCCCCCGCGTCCTCTATCTCCACCACGTCCGACCGGCACGGGTCGGGCGATCCCGATGAGAGCACAATCTTCGAAGCTAGACACCTTTCCCCCCCGAAATTCCTTGCTTTTGCGGCCCTCGACTCCTACCACTTTCCAACCTTCTCCCCTTCCAAGTGCCACGCATCTTCGGGTCGACTCTGGTGGAGCAGCACCGGTGAGCTACTTGTATGAGATTAACACTGTCTGTCGATCTAGTATCCTTTGCTGAGACAAGTACAAGTCTTCTCTCGTTTCTCACGGCGCAGGAGCAGTTGCAGATGAGTTCCGCCGAGCGAGGATCGCAAAGATCCGAAGCGGTCGGCACAAAGAGAAGCAGGCCTGCAGAAATGAATACTGCCGGGGATCAGGAGGAGCAGTCCAGGTCGAAAAGGGCATGTATGGCCGTCAAAGACGAGCCGCATGATGACCTCTGAGTCGGATCCCATGCGTTGCGGTCCGGAGGAACACGTTGCGCTACAATATAACAGACCAACTCGAACGCACGAAACCGAACCGACATGAACCGACAATGGACTTCTTTTACCTTACGACTATTATTACGAGTACGACTTGGCCTGGTAACGACATGTACTGGTACTCTTATATGCCGAGCGACAGGCCTTTGAACCTATACCAGCACAAGATTATGCGATACGACATGGATTTGGTTTCGTTTCAGTATTTCAACCTCATGCGCCGAGAATCGAGCTACGTTCAGACGGTGTGGTCAATATTTCACCTGGACGGCGGGATCGTCTGGGGGTTCACCCTGATCATAGCATGATCACCGCCCAGGTCAAGCAGCCAGATCATCCATTACATAGCTCCTTGTGATGAGCACACGAGGGCTCAAGTCAACACTCATTGCATAGCATCCGGGATATAAGCATATACAAGACCAAAATCCCTGACTTACACGGCTAATGTAGCCCTCGTTGAAAATTTCGGCATCAACGGGACAAAGACGACATCTTATATCGCATGCGACATACAGCCTAGTTGGTGACCCTCAGGGCCTCGTAAATACAGTCGTCTCGCAAAACAGCAGCCATGTCGTTATATCCACGTCCTTCATGATGTTGTCTCGTAAGCGGTCCGGTCCCTCTAGCCCTTCGTTTCGTTCTTGACCACCCCGCACGTCCTCTTCGATCTCGCCTGATGCTCAGCTGGGTCGGTCGGTCTGGCTCTCTTCTCGCTGACCCCTTCTCCAGTTTGTCCGAGTGCCTGTGTTTGGACACTGCTCGGGGACGCCAGCTACTTTCGAATACCACAGGAAGGGCGTGAGATCAGCAACGTTGGGCGATGCAGGGATGGGTAGACTGAGGGTAACAAAGCGGGACCAGGAGGATCAGGTGGGATTACACTCACGCCTCGCTGCGAACCGCTGGGACCGGACGGTCGAGTAGCAGGAAGAGGCTGGACCTGGCTCGGTGCTCGGACAGGTCGAAGTCTCTGCACACGGCGGACGCAGATGAGAGTTAGCTCTGCTTGAGGTAACACCTACGCTAATGATCGACCTACCGGTTGGAAACATACAACCTCTGAACTCGGATGAATGGGGTCTTCCAGAGTCCGACAGAACGCCTTCTCCCACTGTCCTTCCTATATGACAATTAAAGAAGATATAGCTCAACAATGTGAGACGGATAAATCGAGAGGGGACTTGCCATGTCGATGATCTTGCCCTTTTTGGCAGCGGAATAAAACTCGTCGAACCGTTGATCGGCTTTTTGGCGCACATCTTCGTAGACTCTGGTCGTGAGCTGTATCACCTCCTCCTCCGTCCCGGCAATTTCACTCAGACGTTGCGCCTCTGCTCTTGCCAGATCCAGGACTTGTTCTTGATCTCTAACGACCTCCATTGCAAGCTTAGCCCGTTGTCGAGCCTGTCGAGCAGTCCAGATTTGAAGGTTCTTCTGCCGTTCCGCATGCTGAGCAGCTTGAATCGCTCTATCGGCCAATCGAGCCGCATCTAAACCATATTTTAGCTCGATACTTCGACGAGCTTCCCTTTTCTGCCAGCTGGGGGCTTGGGGATCGTTGACTTTGCTATGGCACCAAAAAAGAAAGAAAGAAAAAAAGCGCTCCATCACTAAACGCCCGTCGTCGAAATTCCATATCGACTGACTGTAGCTCGTCCGGGCTGGAACGGTCCTTGAAGCTTTCAAACAGATCTTTTCCTGGTTCACAGAGCCAACTCATCCTGATTTCGTCTCTGGTACAACAAATAGGATAAACTACCGTCAACTAAGCAGACTTCCATCGATGCGATAACATTCAAATCACTCACCTCTACGTTGATCAGCGGAACGACAGGAAACGTCTTCGCCTTCCTCCGGCTTCGAAGCCCGAGAGGCTGACAGGACAGTAAAGATTGGTTTATACCATAGGATTCCTTGAGTCTCGTTTACCAGAAGCCGTGCCAATGCATTCCTGAGCTAACCTTCGCGTCGACCACAACTCCGTCCCCGCGTGTCGAAATCCTGTAGCTATCTGCTCGAGCGAGCTATCTGAAGGCCATCCAGTGTACGTAGGTAGTCATATGTGGTAAGAATATCTTCCAATAAGCTGTGAACAGTGAGACGTAGGTCACTATGTACATAAGCAGGTCGTTACAGGCAAGCCAAAGGTGGTCGTGCAGAAGGCGGACATGTAGCGGTTGTTGTGGGAAAGGCGGACATCCAATATCGCATGCGATACGGTCCGACAAGTTCGTGTTTCAGCCTCAAACAGTCCTACACGGTGAAACATTGGGGGGGGGGGCCGGAAGTTCCTTTGATATGACCTCCTCAATGATGTTGTGATCGACGAGAAGCTTGTAGCTTTCTCCTCGCGTCTGCCGCCATAGTTAAATAGATAGATATATCGGCAGAAAGAGAGAGGAACAAGAGAAGAGATGCCGAGCTGGTGGATATCTTTTTCATCCGACGCATCCCAACTGTCACGACTACCACCCGCACACATGTCCTTCATCCAGCAAGCTCCCTCCACCGTCCAGACCAGTGCCAACGCGGGCGCGGCTGGCACTTCCGTCGATACCTCCTCTGCCATGAGCCTATTCCTGCCTGGATCGCTTGAGCTTGAATTCACCGGCGATACCGGCAATGAAGGGTTCACCGTCCATCATGTCCCTTTCAAGAACATCACCGACACTCATAAAGAGAAGATCTTCTAAGTCAAAGTTACCGGTCCTGATGATGCGAGGATACTGAACGTGGAGAAGACGCCACTGTCAGTGGAGCAGCAAGGATCGCTTGTTGACACCCTCATCTCTGAGCATGAGGGAACGGACGAGGAGCTGAAGGTCCTTGAGGATGTACGTCTCACCCTTTTACACAGCAGGATCGTGAAGAAATACCAACAAACTGCAGTGGATGTTGTACACCAAGCCTACGTGACGGAAGGCTTGAGCGCCATAGTTTTCAGACATGTATCGAGCGCGGTCAATCAAGCGAAATCAAAATCCGGGGATACGCTTCAGTTCCATCCATCCGAACAACTACGCCTGATCTATGCCATCGGTCACATCCTCCCTCCAGACTTGGAGGGCATTGATGATCTGGACATGAAAGCCCTTCTGTTGCGCGTTCAGGAAGAGGCGGCCCCTGTCGAAGTTACTGCGACCGCCCCCGCTATCGATGGGGTACCTTTGTAGTCTTGTATCCAGATCGATGAGTTCGACATGTACATTCCAACCATTGCGTTGAAAGCTTGTCAATCGGGCATGGGTTCATAGCAAGGTGCTATCGAACTTTGCAGATCCGAATCAGATGACCCGATGAATGGTAATCTAGACAAAAGTCTGCGGAAATACATGTGCAATATAGAGCTATACCCGTGCTTGCAAGATGTAGCTAGCCTTCGATCATATTTATACACTTGCCCTTTCTTCATATTTCATGATGGCTTTCCCTGGACCGTATTCAATTTCAACAAGTCAGACCTCTTGTGAAGAGGTGAAGCAAAACGCATATTACCATTGGTATCTCTTGCTTTTGATTCACCCGAGCCACTGCATGTAAGTATCAGGATGTATATTCGGCGTTTCACAACTGCCACAGGTTGTCATTCCTCGTTCTATGGGCAGTCACCTGCGACGACCCATCTTTCTTGTTGAGACAAGCAATCCCTGATTTGTTTCGAGATCCGATGTTACAAGTCGTCTCCCAGCGAGAACAACGGGTTTCTTTTAGAGCTGTATATCCAGATCAAAAGGGTCGCCCAGCAGGTTCGGAATCGCGGTCTGCGCGGCCGGTTCATCCAACAGCCATTGTAAGAGATTGGCGCAGTCCTCGTCGTTGAATTCGGTAGGGTTCCAAGGGTTTGTCATGCTCCTGTTCGAGGCGTTGTTCGTGTTGAGTCCGTAGTTGAAGTTGAAGCCATTCGCATCGGTATATGGTTGCATCGTGGAATCGTTGACGATAGCTGGATTGTTATGGTTGTTGGCCGGGACGGAGTGGCTGCGTGACTGTGAAGGGACAGCGAGATGACCGGCGCTCAAGCCCGAGTTCCCGCTGCCTTCTTGTGGTTGTGGAGAGGTCGCCCTGCTGGGACAGGCCTGTGGAGTTCCGACGTATTGGATCAGTTGACATGTGAGGGGATGAAGACCACGAGTAAAGAATTTGACTTGCGCTTGGAGAGGGTACGGCCAATCTTGAGGCTAGGACCCGCAACATGCGACCATACCGGACCGCAGGGTGACTACTATCATCCGAGCAGGTACACAGGCATTGGCAAAGCTGTTCCACCAGGTCGAGCGCGCTGCGACAAGAGGTGTGAGTTAGCGTAGCCGCAGTATGTCAGCATTCGCGCGACACAACTCACAGCCCTCGATCGTTCTGTACCATTGCGCCCGAATATACCGCCTATAGAGGAGCAGGGTTAATCGATCATTCCAGACATCGGGCTTCGTTCGCGGCCAATCGGCCCACCTTGAGTAAGAATACAGCGCCGTACTGGAACCACAGTAAGTAGCGAGAGGGCAGGTAAGGAAGGAACCCTTGCGGGAACACGTCTTCGATACAAATTCGCATCAATTCTCGCGCAGCGTTGATGGATTCATAGATGTACTGCAATGTCGCTATCAGCCGTCTGTGCGAGCAAGCGTAGCAGCCAGATCTGACTCACCAATGCGTCAGGAGTAAACGCCGCAGCTAGGTAAGTCCAGATCAGGTCAAATAGCCTGTCAATACCGCTCGCCGATTTCAATATCTAAACAGAATAGACTCACTCCGCGGGAAATAGTTGGACTGAGTCTCCTTGACGTCTTTGTTCTTGCGATTGCTCTGAGCGGCATTGGCCCTGTCCGTTGTCCGGGTGACGTGCGCTTGCTACGATGCAACCCAGGACAGAGTGTCAGAGCTAGCTGAGAGGAATGTGAGAAGTTCTTTGATCGATAGTACGCACGAAGGCAAAGGACGACGCGTACAGCCGGCAATAGTGGAACATGACCCAGATGAGATGACCGTGAGCGACGTCGAGCCATCTGTTGAGATACCACAGTTGTTCAGCGCACATCGCCACTGTTCTGCTCAATCCGAGACTAACGTCTTTTTCAACCAAGTCATTTTGAAATTCTCTAGTGAACTGTTGAACTGGGAACGCGCAGGTCTTACAATCAGTTTACGAAGCACACATGGCGACTGGGATGGACGTACCCCATCGAGATATTTCTGAGGCGGGGGCACATGATCTTCAGTATGGGCGACCCCGAGGAGGCCGAACTGTTGAGCACTCACGAAATACTCTCCGCCTATTACAAGCGAGTGTAACCGGGTCTCGCTAGGATAAAATACGTCGTGCACATTTGTCATGCTGTTGCAGAGGCAAGCCAGGAATCAGCTGTCAGCACATCTAGCGACCAAGCTTGTCGTACTCACACTGGAAAAAACCAGAATCGACCATGTATAGCGTGGCCGAGAAAGATTGCCTACATCAGCGAGACCGTCGGCCTTTCATTGGGAAAATTACTCACATTGAGTCAACTCGACATCTTCATGTCAATACAATGAGTGAAGTCAGTCAAGATCAAGATAGATCGCAGTCACGATCATACTCACAAGCTTGCAATAATTCGGCACTTTCGGCCCTGAGCGCCGTAGCCTTGCCTTCGTTGACCTGCTGTTCAGAGTAGGGTGAATCGCAAAGCGAAGGAAAGTTTTCCCGGCCACCTGCTGGTCCGGTCTGATGAGGATTCATAGTATAGACGATCAGCTACGGCGGAATCAAGCCTCAGTGCCAGGACCCGATGAGGCCCACCTGATCTTGCGATGAATAGCCTCGAAAGCAGAGAGCTGGACCCCGCGACCAGAAAGCACGTCCCGTGCGGATACTGATCTGCCGATCGAATATGTAGCAGTCTACCACGCATCGCGAGCAGTGTCAGGAAGAGGGAAGAAGCTGTCGGAAGCGACATTACTTACATGTCCAAGCGATGGTAGCTCTCTGTACGTGCTCCTCGGAAGCGTTCTCGACCGAATGTGCGAGCTACCATCCGCGCATCCAGTCAGTAGATATTCATAGGCTCATGGCTCGGAATGCAGACACAACATACCTGATCGATCCCGAGACCATAAGCCATTCGAATGGCGCCACCGATCAACATCCACGCCTGGCGATTCTCGACTCCATTGAGGAGTTGTCCTTTTTCCCTCGAGCGGTGCGTCGGAACCTGCATCTGCGAACCTTCCGAAGCATCGTCCATACCTACAGGCGTATCTCTCGGTAGATTCTCCGCCAATAGAAGGATACCTTCGACCAGGCCGATGGTAGGCGCTGCACCCGTCAATTCGACGTCACCGATGTAACCCTACATACAGCTCATTTCGGTCAGCACTGATTATATACACAAACGGGCAGCTCGCCTCGCACCTTCATCAGGGCCCACGTCTGCGCATGGATCCGCTTGGCCGACGGCTTGGAGTCGAGTCTACTGGCGATGATGATAAAGGCCGTCATCAGGTACGGCTCCGCGCTGGCGAAGATGGCATAGTCCTGCTCCGTCCTCGGGATATGTTTGTGGGAGATCAAGGGCTGCAAAGATGGAACGATGAGAGGCAGGTACAACAGGATCAGTCTCTTCAGCTGCAGCATGGAGCGCTACATAACAGAGACAACGAACACTCACAAACACGTAATGATGCTTGTTGAAGAACACGTTACCGAAATGGCAGACCTGTTCCGGATCCATGATGCCCTTGGCGACCAGGGGGAACGAGAGCAGGGTAGGTCTCGCGGTGGAAACTTTGGCCTGAGCTTTTCCCGCCGAGGTGTTGAACGAGACTTTGCCATTGACTCGTCGACCGTGATTCCACGAGGGTCCGGTTCCTCGGGCCGTGGTACCGTCTTGCCAAGTCTCGGCCGAGGGGGAGAGCGGATGAGGCGATCCACCTCGGGTCGACAAGCCTTCTTCGCCATCTTGAGCGCGGTCATCCAGGTCGTCTTCGTCTTCTTGGCCGTCTCCCCCTCGACGTCTGGAGCCCCGCTCGCTCGACCTCGCCCTGGTGTCGCCCTCGCTCATGAGGGTCCCATCAACTTGACGACCGTCCCCTCCTACGCCACCTCCACGACGATATGCGACGACGGACGAATCCGCCATGCTCGTTGATTCGGAATGCGACCTCGATCGCTTCCCCGGTCGATCCTGTTTCTTCTTGGTCGACGTCGCGGCCATGGCCAGGATCTGCAGCGCGTCCGACTCGTTGTGCATGCCCGTGTTGATGACGAACGATCGAGGGTCCGAGACGGTCGGCTCCTGAATGTTTGCTCTTATGACTGCCGTCTTGCTCGGACTCGAGTCGTTCCCGCCCAAGCCCCCGTCGGACGCCGTGCCAGCCCTGAAACGACGTTTTCGGGGCGGCATCATCGATGATGTGTCGTCTATCGGCCCCCCTGCACCGGCGATACCGCTCCGTGTCCCGGCCGATGCATGAGCGGACTGTGGCTGTTGCTGTGACTGCTGGTCTATCTGCAACTGCGCCTGCCCGTACGTCTCGAAGAGATCCGGATGTTCCCGCCTCAAAGCCTGTTCATCCCAAGTGGTCCCCACGTCCACCCCTTCTCGATGGGTATGTGTAGGGTCGATCGATAGTCCAGCAGGGAGGGCGAATCCGATCTGGCCGTGTTGACCGTGATCGTGTGGCCCGTGTACTTGTCCGGAAAGTTGTGACTGCGAGTGCGACCCCACGCCGACCCCCACATCCCGCCCGTTCAGATCGAGATCAATCGCCATGTCCATGCCCATGCCCATGCCACCTCCACCTGCTCCTCCAGCATCAGCATTACCTCCTCCGCCCTCGTTCCCCCTGCCCAGCCCGAAGAGATTTCCGTACCCGACCCCCCCGCCGACATTCATATTACCGTTCGAGTCGGGGACCGGATTCATGTTATTAGCAGTGTCGTTGTTGGCAACGTGTGGACGAGGACTAGCCGCAGCGGTGCCCAACATCGGTCCCGGTCCCGCCTGGCGATTGGGTAACCTGAGAGCCGCATTGTGATTGTGTTGTGCAGCCAAACCGACCCCGAGGTCCACATCGAGGTCGAGGTCTCTAGGTGAGATCGTCCGATCACCCGGATTACCCAAATGACTCTTGCTTTGAGTCGTAGGATGGGAGTGAGCGTGAGCTTGTGGATGTCGGAAGAGGGTGTCTAGGTAGTCTGTCGTCCCGGGCGTCTCTAGTTCCATCTCCAAGTCCATCTCCGCTCCTAATCCCATCGTCGACGATGTCGCTGTCGCTGTGGTGGTCGGTGCGGTTGGACCCGGCTGTACCGATCCTGACCCTGCAGCGATACCCGCTCCCGTACCCGAACCTGTATTTGCAGTCATACCCACGTTCGACCCGGTCCCAGCGTTGTTAAGCGACGTCGTGCTCGATGAAGGGTTCATGATCAAAGGCAAAGGAGGCGGGATCGAATATCCATCGTGTTGGTCTTGCCGGTATTGCCGGGCTTGTCCGGAATGTTGTTGTTGCTGTTGCTGATAGTGGGGAAGCTTATGATTCGACGATCTGCGGTCGACGAAAGGATGCTGTTGATGATGCTGTGGCTGTTGCTGCGTATTAAGGTGCTGCTGCTGCTGCTGCTGCTGTTGCTGTTGATGATGATGCTGTTGATGATGATGATGTTGGTGTTGGTCGACCACTCCGAACCCGGAATCGAACGGAGGAGAGGGGCCGTAACGATCTTGCGTCTGCGTCTGATCTTGAGGCCTGTGGTGAAAGTCCTGATTCTGGTTTTGACTGTGATTTTGGTTGTGACGCGGAGGCTGGAATGGCGATTGAGATTGAGATTGAGGCTGAGGCTGAAAGCCCTGTAAACGAGCTTGACTTTGAGTTTGGTTCGAAGGTTGTTGAAGCTGTCGGACTTGATTGTGGTTCTGGTAGTCCGAAGCAAGGTAGGCACGAGATCCAAGTTCGTGCGTCAGGTGGTTCGGTCTCGAGGAGGAAGATCGATGGCGATCTCGATTACGACCCTGGTTATTTTGTTGTTGTTGTTGTCGTTGCTGCGGATACTTGGTGAGATATGACCCTTTGGCATCTCGATGTCGATCAAGTTCCCGGCGTCCGTCTTCGTCTTCCTCATCTTCATCTTCACCGTTGTTGTCGTTATAGTCGTTATCGTCGTTATCATCGCGGTGGTCATCGTTGATATCGTGATCGAAACCTATTCCTCCACCTTCATCCCCATAGCCATCGTCGTTGGTCGAACTCCTCTCCTCGGTCATCCGGGGAAACCTCTCCCCAGCCCCAAGACCATTCGATCCCGAACCGGCACCCCTCCGAACGTTCACATGCAGATTATTGCCGTTCGCAAGCCTCTTCCTACCTCCGACCTCGTTCTCGATCTCGATCTCGGGCCCGACCCCATCCTCGCTACTCTGCTTCCTCTTTCCCTTTTCTCTCCCCGCCTCGATGTTCCCCCTCCCACCCCGTTTACCCTCAGCGAAAACGCACTCGGTCCTCGTCCGCTTACATTTCCCACAAGGAGGAGACTGCGGGGCGTTGACGTCCCCGAGGTCGCATTTCGTCTTGTGGCGACGACAATTCAGGCAGGCTCGGTAGGAACGACGAGCGGGGCCGGGGGCTGGTGGTGCTGTCGCTGTCGCTGCTGCTACGGCTGTGGCTGGGGGTGGTGGTGGTGGTGGTGGTGGTGCTGTCGCTGTGGTTGCGGGTTCCGAGGATGGATTGGGATTGTTCGGGTTGGTCATGGCGGCGGGCCGATACTGGTACGACTGTGATACTACTGGTACGATCCGGGTTGGTGCGGTACGTTACGGTATACGGTATTCACGGGGCAGAACGAAACCGAGTTCCCGGGGGGGGGGGCAGGTCTCTTCTCTCGAGGTGTTCCTGGGTAGCGATTACTACTGGGCTGGGCAGGTTCTTGGTGGTTGAAGACGGATAGACGGATAGGTTACGAATGTGGGGGATCGTAAGTCGAGCAGGTCCTTTCCCGTGCTCTTCTTTGCGTGATGCGCGATGTGATGTGATGGTCCGACCGGGGTTCTCGATTTCGGTGCTGCGGGTGATGTGACAGGGCCGAGTGTAGAGAAGGAAGCCATCCGAATCTTCTGCGAGCTGCGAGCAGTGTCTCGATGAGAATGTTCGAGTGTTACCACCACCCATCACCCCACGTCTTGTGATCTCTTAGCCGTCAAGATGCGTTCAATCAAAGGAGAGAAGCCCTCGAAGCTCGATGATACGTAATGTCTTACGTAATGTCTACGTAAAGCCCCCGCCTCGCCGCTTTCGGCCGCGCTCGGCCAGACCGGTCCGGGAACGCCGTCCCTTTCCATCGATTGCCGAGCCCTCTGTCGGTTGGTTTCCCCAGCTTCTCGTGCTTCTTGCTTCCCAGCCTTCGTGGCAAGGTAGCTAGCTGGTCGAGAAAGAGAGACAGAACACCGATGACCGGCCGAATAGTAAGACCTGCGTAGCGCATTCTCGTAGATAGCGAGCGGGAGAGGCGGTATATGTATAGCAGGCGGGGGCTGAGTTCGTCTGTCCAGGTAATAATGGTAGGACTCGTCTTCCCTTCAGCGTTCTTTGTGTAACTATCATATCACACCCATACATCACCCTCCCCACCACACACCCGAATATATCACTGTGATCCAGCTCGTTACCATGCCTTCCACCACCACCACCACCACCCAGACCAACGGCACCAACGGCCACTCCGCCCCTACCCGCCCTTTCAACGATGGCGTGTACACCCCGCTGATCACCGCCATGACCGAGGACGAAGAGATCGACCTCGAGGCCGTCAAGAAACAGGTGGTCAGGCTCGCCGATGCTGGGATGGGGATCGTGCTCCTGGGGACCAACGGAGAGGGTGAGTGAGCGCCCCCGTCTTTGGGATGATTCCTTGCTTCTTGTCTTTCGGATCCGAAAGAAGGTGCTCGGGGTCATGTTCCGGATCAAAAGTGGCTTTTCTAGATGAGACACGATCGGGAGGGAGAGAACATTCTATTCTCATGGGAATCTGATCGCTAATCCACTTGCTTCCTTCCACTTCTGATCCGTCCCGCTGATCACCATAACAATATTAATCACGCGACACAGCCTCCCATCTACTCGACTCGGAAAGAGCTTCCATCATCCGAGCCTCCCGCGAAGCTTTAGACTCCTCCAACCACCCCGACGTCCCCCTCTTGGTCGGTACCGGCGGCGGATCCGCCAAACATACCATCAAACTGGCTAAAGAGGCTAAAGAAGCCGGGGCCGACTATTCGATCGTGATCTGTCCGGGGTATTTCGCGTTCGCCATGGGTGGGAACAAGGGGGCGGTGAGGGATTTCTTTTGGGAGGTGCTCGAGGGGAGCGAGTTGCCGGTCATGATTTATAATTTCCCGTGAGTCCGGGAGTGAATCGCGAGAATGACTGGATGCGTTTTTACGAGTGAAGAAGAAGAAGAAGAAGAAGAAGAAGAAGAAGAAGAAGAAGAAGAAAGACTGACAAGAACCTTCACCTCGTGCTCTTAAAATCGATCCTGCATGTTGTTGGGTAATATCGCAGCGGCGCAGCCTCGGGTATCGATCTCGATTCGGACCTCTTGATCGAGTTGTCCGAGCATCCTAACTGTTTCGGAGCCAAGGTCAGTCCCCGGGGGCGCCCGCTAGACGATGATTTCGAACGCTCATCGGACTGACTATTCGTCTTCTGCCGCCTATCTTCACACCACTCTTTCATCTTCTGTCATGCATCCCCGCCTGACCTTCACACCGAATCTCTCGACGCGGACCCAACCTCGAAATTTCGAAATCTCGAAACCTCACGCTCGCTATCGCTCGCAGCTCACCTGCGGAAACGTCGGCAAAGGATCCCGACTCGCCGCCCATACCCAATCCAAAGCCTACCTCGCCAAACACGACAGGTTCCAGGTCTTGCCCGGTTTCAGCGATATCATGTGGCCCGGCATGAACGTCGGGATGACGGGAAGCATCACCGGCACCGGTACGTGCTCGCTTTTTTTTGGAAAATGTCATCAACGAGGAGGGCAGCTGATAGTCGCTTTGATGTACGGGCTCCGACGCTGTAGGCAACTTGATCCCCAAGACCATGGTCAAGCTTTACGAGACCGGTCTCGAAGCCATCCGGACTGGTGACCCAGCCAAACGCGCAGAAGCTCTCGACCTGCACAACAGGGTCGCCGCTGCCGACTGGCTCATCGTCAAGGCCGGGATCTCGGGGACCAAGTTGGCCCTGGATCACTACGTCGAAAAGGGCTTGGGTGGGGTTCCTAGAAAACCTCTACCTAGGTCGACCGAGGCTACCCAGAAGCTCGTCGACGAGTTGAAGGGCGCTTGGGAGTTTGAGCAGACGTTGTAGGAGAGGAGATTGCGAGGTTGAGCGAGAGGCGGCTGGCTTCCCCACGGCGGCGTGCGAGGAGGAGGACTTTCGTACAGATCAGATCAGAATGGGACAGAGGCATTTCATTTGTATACCGAGCAGTAAAGATATCCGAGAGTCAAGGCTTGATCCCGCCTTGACATCACCATCGCGCCCTCTCATGGTCTACGCAGCGTTGTTGAAGGGTGAACCTCGATTCGCCCAGAGCCCGTGAGCACGTACAATGATCCTGCCCGTTCTTCTCTCGACAAGCGCTGTGAGCTCTCTCGACTAGCTCGTTGGTTCATTTCCCGACTCAGGCCTGTTTGGACCTCCACCATGGATCGGGAATCTCTTGGAAAGCCTTATGTGACATTCTCATGACAACATTTGGGATGAGGGGAGTGGAATCGTTGCCCGTCTATGATCACTTCGAAGTCTCATTTCGCCGATTCACGTTCAATGGTCTATCTCGCCGTAACGCCGCAAGTCAGAGCGACGAAGTTCGATGATAGGATCGTTCAAGGAAGACAAGAGGCGTGAAGGATACATCTTGACGACTGATACCCATGATCATGTGCCACCATCGAGCCGATCTCGGCTTGTGATTAGTAGGGCGCTCTGGGCTGCGTCAGCCACGTCGTCTGTAGGGACATGATCTGAAAGTCCTGGGAGGCCAGATCGCCAAGCGATACCTAGTATCAGAGTACTAGGTGCTGTCTCTTCATGGAAATTGATTTCAGGCCGATGTCCCGGAGCGCATGTCTCATTCGTTTGCGCAGGCTACATGTGGAGTTCGACCATGAACCGGTGATAAGAGACACACTCCAGATCCAAAGTAGCTGCGGCCGGGGCATCGCATTAATAGATCATGAGCGAGTGTATGTCGATTTGCATCATCTTGTCTCGCACATCGATGGAACTAGTCTGCACGATCATACTCTGCTTGCCAAATGCCTAGGATCAGGGTCGTCTTTTTGAGCAGACAGCGTTGACAGACATATGATTAATGTGATTTGGAATTTCGGAGTTCAAGTGCCGAAGGCCGATCATACTTACAGCAGTATTCTTGTTGCTGTTACTATAAATTATAGACCGACGCTACTGTAAGACAAATACGTATCTTCTGAAAAGCCTTCAAGGACGGTTTCAGTCACGCTATGTGCCTGATCGCGTTAGCGCACAATTTCCATGCGCCATGTCCAACCTCAAACAAGACATTCATCTGTTGTATTCGTCAGACAGGTCGGTTCCTGCTATCCAATGCGAGACCGTTATTCAAACTGTTCAATCCAGTGGTCTTTTTCATATATAGTATCAGAGCTGATACGTACAGTGGATCCCACATCAACAGCGCAAGGGGAAGAAGCTAATCCGACAATCGTCAATGAAAAGGTCATCAGCCTCTGACCAAGACTCGTCAATTCGGCGAGCTTGCTATCAGAGTCAAGATAGACGTCGATTGAGAGTTCCTCAAAGTCATCGATGCCCTCAATCCAGCCCTTTGCGGACCGACCTCATGGGTGTTTGGCATTCATTTCCCTGATCGAGGTTGAATGACGGAGTGTAGCGGAAGGACTGGTAGAGTCTTGGGTAACATGAGTAAGTTCAGAAATTTGTTCAGTTTGAGCTTGAGAAGGCGAGCTTGCGATCATTAGCGGAATTCAGAGACTGGTACACGACGACTACCATCGTGCTCGGGTTCGCCACGACATTTGATACTACAATGGATAGTAGCCATCGATCCGAGTACGATCGCGGATACAGGCTGGATATCTGATTCGCGGTTGGACCACGCTCTTCGATTACACTCGTCTGCTAGTACTACTTTCCGCGAAATCTGACTGCTCGATCCATTCTTGGGTGCCAGTAGCAGCAGAACCAGTCTTCTTGTCCTTGACAGGCGCAGGCGCAAGGTCTCGTCTCGGAGACGTGTCGTCTGCAAGCATCGATGATAGGATTTCGTTGCGGATGAACTGGTCATGAGCGGCCGTATGACTCTTGAAGAGCACGTCCATTTGCTCCAATGCCACACCCCTGAAAACATGGAGACGTCAGGGCGATTGCGCGTGATTCATGGCTCTCTGAATGTCAGTGCTTAGTACTTACTTGGTCTCTGGGACACAAAAGTACGTCCACACGCCAGAAAGTACCGAAAAAGCGGCAAAGAAGACAAAGGTTCCATAACCAGTATTACTGATGAGCGGAGGCGTCGCCAGACCCTGCAAGCCCTTGAGCATCAGTGCTCGATAGTACTCGCTCGAGAATCTCTGCTCTAGCTTACGATGGCAAAGTTGGAGATCCATACGACAGCGGTTGCCAAGGCCACTCCTTTGCCTCGGTATGAAGAGGTATGAACTTCTGAAGGCAGGGACCAGGCGATAGGACTCCACGAGACTCCATACGAGAGCATGAACACGAACATGAAGGCGACACAAACCCAAGCCTGAGCCTTGTTGCCCGCCCAGTTGGATGAGAATTTCGCTACATTCCACAAGCGGCGTGTAAGTAATGAGTCTAGTCCTTGAGGTGCTGTTTCCATTGCTCACCGACGAGGACGGCGATCACGATGTGCGAGATGCTCATGCCGCAGGACCCTTGTAACAGCCAAAAACGTCGACCGAATCTATCTAGGACGAAAAAGGTGATGCCGACGGCGACGAGCTGAACGAGATTCAGAACGCCACCCATGTCGAGACGAAGTTCGAAGTTCAGACCAAACTGTTCGAACAACGTCGGGCTGTAGTAGATGAGCTGATAGAGCACAGTTTAGATGAGAGTGTCGATCGATAGCCAGACGATTTTGCCATGAAGAGTACATACCGCATTCACTCCGCAGAACTGTTGGAAGAATGCTATGCCCATGCCGACGTGGGTACGTCGGATGACGCCCGGCTTGAAAAGGTCGATCCAGCCATAAATCTCTCGCTTCAACTCCATCATCCATCCAGGACCACCGAGCGTGGGATGCCTCTCCAAGAACGCTTCGCGATTGTGCACGGCTTCGGCTCGAATTGTGATCCATTCGGCCTGTATCCTGGGGTCGCTGATAGGAAGATTTCGCAGTCGCACAAGTACGTCAAGGCATCGTTGGTCCTTTGATTTTCCGGCGAGCTCTCGAGGTGAATAGGGTAGAAAGTAGATGGCGATACCGAGAATGATGGCTGTGGCGCGATGTCGCTGAGTTAGCGGGAAACGGCGTGTTTCCGACCCTTCGACCTTGGCTCACCTGGAATAATTTGTAAAAGAAATGGCAGTCGGAAACACCAGTCGGAAGTGATATAACGCGTCGCATAAGTCTAAATACAGACCAAAATGATCAGTCTCGTCGTCTACCGTCAAAAAGGTCTCGTCTGCGACGTACCACATAGTATGCGACCACCACGCCGAGCACGATCATAAACCCTTCCAGAGCCAAGAGAGAACCTCTGATGTTGGGCGGCGAAATCTGGCAACGAGCGCGAGATCACCAATCGAATCAGACGAACGAGTCCCCTAATATATCGAGTCTCTGTTTCTTGGCACGAAGGCTCACCTCGGAGACGTACATCGGCGCCGTCGAGGATAGGAAACCGATCCCTATCCCACCCACGGTACGCCCTACTACCATCTGAGAGTACGAAAAGGACGTCGTCTGGAGCGCGGCGCCCGCCAAGAACCAGAGTACTCCAACGCCGATGGACGTCTTTCTCGAATACTTGTCGGCTACGATCCCGGCGAAGAGCGCCCCGACGAAAGCGCCCATTTCGAGCATGGCCGTGATGAGACTAGAAAGGGGTCCCAGAGGGAAGCGAAAGTTCGAGAAGGGCGAAAGATTCAAGTTCAATTTCGAACTGATCAGCCCTATACATGCAGAATCTCGAGGGGCGACCGACCGACCGTGTCCCCCAAACAACAACCTCGATGTCTATCCCCGGCTTCTTACCCTTTGTTGAAACTCGCCCCGCTTGTCACAGCGCTGTCCGTCTCGGGAAACGTCCGTAAGAACTGAGGCATGACCAGGATGATGGATATGAGACCTTGGTTGGCGCCGAACGAGAAGCCTGCAGTCAAGTGCATGTCCACGCGCAATGAAGATTGATCGCATACACAAGTCAACATTGTCTCGTATTTGCGGGATAAAGACCTTGATCATCGTTCGTGAGCTTACCTCCTATACAAGCGGCAAAGGCGCACGCGAACACGATTCGATTCTTGACGAACTCATGTAAAGCTATTGAGACGCGCGAGTGGTCAGAGGTAGTGCGTCTTACGATGGTCAGTGCCGATGTATTTTCGTAAAGACTTTGCGTTCATCAGGGCGGGCGATCACTCACTAGCCGGACCGAAGGCTGCGGTGAGAGCTCCTTCGTCCTGGACGAGCCGGGACGTCTCTGGGTCGAGGTTCACCCCGAAGTGTTCAGGAGGGAGCACGTTTTCCGCGCATTGAAAGGCTTTTGGGCTGTAGTCGTGATTGTCCATCGAGATCGACATGGTCCTTGAAGGCAGTCCAAGCGGAATGTGGGGTCTGGGGTCGAGATCCGGGGTTGAGAGGGTGGCTGGAAATGAAGGGAAGCCGTCAAGATTTAGTGGTATGGTAACACTTGTCAATCAAGGTTAACCCAGTACAATCTTGCCGCTCGTGCGAGGCCTAGTCTTATCACAGACTGGTCCTATATCAACTACGCTCGGTTCTGGGTCGTCCTGACACGCCTCGCTTCGCTTGCGACTTGTGTCCGTTCCGTGAGAGCTCGCCACTTGGCGTTCGACGACGTCACTACTGCCACCACATCTCACTTCTCACTTCACTCTCGCGATCGTGGAATTCGACCGCTGTTTGGGGGAGGAGAGGGGAAAAAAAAGAACTTGGGCGAGAGCGAAACTGCCGCCCACGTGTCGATGGATGCTAGCGCTGACGCGGTTCCGCAGGACCGTCGTCTACCGTTGAATGCCAACCGGGGGGCGTGGTCGTCCGGACCTCGGGGAGTTTAGAGAAATTCAGCCGACCCTGGGTGATTCGGTTGACGTAATTAGGGTGATCTAGTGGCTTTGACACCACAGACGATGGGCCGGTGATTGCCGATCACCGATGTCGTCTCTGGTCATACGCTGGGTCGGTTCGGGAGCTTTGATGAGGGTGTCAAACCACTGTTATGATGACCTGCAAATACAAGCGATGCATATCTGTATACATCTGGGAGATAGACCGTCTGAGGGCTCGTCGATCTGTACAGTAACTATCGATCACGAGCTGAGCCGGTCTGCCCATGTCGAACGCAACAGGAGCGGGGAATCAGCATGTGGACCGAGACGAGATCCCATGCGCTACACAATTCCCCGGCTCGACACGCTGTAATGTGTATATAACAAGTCCGGCATGGCACAGACTTGCGGACCGAGTCTCCGGGCCGTCATCCTCATCATCCACCATACTCGTCGTCCGTCAGAACGTCTCATCTTGCTCTCTTCGATAGACTACATCGATCCAGGCATAGATCTTATAGCGATTACAGAACCCGCTACCTCTTACAACCTAATCGCCAAACGATCACGACCCACAGACAGGATACGATGGGCCCAAACGTATTGCTCTTCGGTGCCGGGGCGTAAGTCTACGCTCGCCGATCACCACGATCGTGCTCTAGCAAACAAGACGACCTGACCTCGCTGAATCCACCCTGTGCACGTCTGGATGCTCATTCCATCCGCCCATATTCATGTCATTCTGGGAACAGTATCGGCTCGGTCTACGCCGCCATCCTGGTCCTCTCCAAACGATGCAAAGTCTACGTGGTCGCTAGGTCGAACTACGATGTTTTGAATTCCAAGGTCAGCCTCCCTCTCTTCCCCGGAGTCTCTCTTTTGGCTTCCTGGGCCGCGTAATTCGTTGAGCGTTGAGGCGGGAAGTGAGAGAGCTGACCGAATGAGCGGGTTTGGGGGCTCGCGATCCGAAACAGGGTCTGGACCTGAAATCTAGCAAGTTTGGGGATCATCAGGGCTTAAAGTTCGATGGAGGTGAGTATAGCATGAGAGCGTTATTACTGAACCTCCCTCTCTTCTGGTGGAGGAGGAAGCAATCCGGGCTGACTGGGAGTCGTCTTCGTCTTTTTTTCGACAGTGTATAGGACGTGTGAAGAAGCGGCGAATTCGGGAATCAAGTTCGATTATGGTCAGTCGTACCCGGCTATCTGGTACGGACCGTCGATCCTCTTATAAGCTGACCAGCGCTTCGATATCGTACGCTTTTACATGTCCCTACTCTATGTCCCTACTGTTTCCTCTCGCGCTATATACCGTCGCATCACAGTGTTGTGCAGTAACAAAGCCCTGCTCGACGCCCGCCCTTCTCTCGCCGAGACGATCCGCCCGGTGATGAGCGATGATACTTCGATCGTCCTCCTCCAGAACGGAGTAGGGGCCGAAGAACCCCTCCATGAAGCTTTTCCCGAGAATTCGGTCATTTCGGCCGTAGTATGGACGGGGGCCAAGGTCTTGGATCAGGGCAAGGTCGAACAGTTCAACAGGGAGGCTCTGACGATCGGGGTGGATTGGAAGCAGACGCTCGGGAAGGGGAATGAGGTGGAACGGGAGAGGTTGGACGGGTTGGTCGAGGTTTTGAAAGCGGGTGGCGGGGAGTGTAACGTGGTCGATGATATCCAGAGCGAGCGGTGGGTCAAGGTGATCTGGTGAGTCCAAAGCAGCAGCTGTTGTGTCGGGTCAGCTGGACGTCAATTTGAGTCAGTGCCGCGAGCCAGTAGTACGAACATGATGGTATTGACGTTTCGATCATATATATGGTCTCCATCTCTTCTGTTTCGCCCGGTAGGAACGCCTGTTGGAACGCGGTGACCACGGCCACTCAGCTCAGGACGAACCGGTTCCTCGAAGCCTCCCCTTACGCCCTCGAACTGTCTCGATCGATCATGGGCGAGGTCGTCCAGGTCGCCAAGGCCAAGGGGCTCACCGTCCCCGAGGGTACGATCGACAAGCTCATCGATCAGTGTACGTCCGTCAAGGGAGGGTTGCCCAGTTCGATGTTGTTCGATTACTTGGCGGGGAGGCCGATGGAGGTCGAGGTGAGGATGATCACTGCATGTCGTAGCTACTCAGAGAGGAGCTGAGTTCTTGTCGAATTTACCCTCTGATCCGTCTGACGCTGCAGGTCATCCTCGGCACACCGCTCAGAGAGGGCAAAAGGTTGGGCCTCGATTTGCCCTCGTTGACAGCGTAGGTCCTCCGATCACTTCCTCATCCTGATCATCATACCCAGTGTAGTGACGTTCTGGTGCTGAACATTTGCGTGTTTCCGGAACGTCTCAGTCTGTACAGCATCATCAAGGCTTTGGATTGGAAAAACTTGCATCCCGAAGAGGCCAAGATCTGAAAGAGCCGGAACATGACATGAAGTCCAGGTCGGCTCTATCTGTCCTGCATCATGATCTTGCTTGGGAACTTGTCTGTCCGGTGTTCCAAAGGGCTTGTAGCTGGTCTCCATTATTATATGTATACGAACTTCTGTTGTTGAGAGGATCAAGGCGTCTTGACTTTCGTTATCGTCAGGGGTGATAGGATGTCGGTCAGCTAGGCGATGGGCATTGCGCATCTCTAGATCTCTAGAGACCGACAGCAGTATCCTCAGCACCTCTGTAGCGAAGGACGCTTACCCGACCGAGTTGTTCCGGTCGAAGACACATGGTCAACCTGGGGCTGTTGTCGATGGCATTTCCGCTATACAACGAGCTATGCATATTCATCATGAGACGAGCCGCGATTGCGAAGAGAAGAGTCCTCGAAGACGAGATCAGATGTCTCGGCATGCCCGGTAGGATCATTATTTGACTCGAACATCTCGAGATAGAACGACGATTGCCAGACTCCTGTGATTCTGATACTATCACCACTACTACTACAACCCACTACATGCTGTTCGACGCATCGCACGTACATTACGCCGATTGTCGGGACTGGGATTGCAAGCTATCTAGCAAATGTCCCTTCGGAGTCGATCCATCGAGCGAGGACGACCTTTTTTACCCTGAAATTCACTTTCGCATAGCGATATCAGATTGAAGGCCAGGATCGGTGGGGGGTATACCCACAGTACGGTAGTCGTTCAGCGCTGCTCCGGAGAACGACAGCGAGCCGGAATCCAGATGCAAGGCCATCACGACCCGCGACCTCGAAAGTTCGATATGCTCCGAGCAACGACAGATATGATCATGCCTACTTGTATACGAAGCTTCATACGGATACAGGATACGACGGGACCCGGATACGCCAAAGACATGAAGACAGTTGATCTTCGTTACGGAGCTTTCGATAGAGGTCCAGGTTGATCAAGACTTCTGGTATCGGGTATCACATCCGTACATGTACGCAACGTACTTGACCGTACGCAACGTGGACACCATCATGTCAGCGAAGATTTGGACGGATCAGGGGCTAGGGTGAATGATCGAATGGTCGTACGCATGTACTATGTGGATCGTTTCCGTGACTATCCTTTGGTGTTCAACAAAGAGGATCGTCTCGTAGCACATATCGTGACGATCAACTTGACCTCGTGTGTCGGGTCGACTTTTCGTCGTACATAGCTCCGGGACCGATCATCGACCTTGGGCGTTCCTGAACTCGAACTCGGATGATCGGAACTCTCAAGTCGACTATCCTTATGGCTCACACAACGCCCGTACGCCCCCTTCTCACCTACTCTCGCCCTAGCCACCAACGACGACGATAAGACAGGGCCTCCTGCTAATCGCACCCTGGCCCTCGCTCTGGCTCCAATACCCCTACGAAAGTTGATTTCACCAAGCGAAGACCCTACCCCGAGAAGCCAAGATTCGGAATACAATCCTCCTGCCCGAGGGTGTCTATTTTTCTTCTCGGACCTGTGATGTCGAAAGAGAACAGACCTCGCACTCGTCTCGTTCCGACGGGATCGAACTTGAGATCTCCCCGCCGGCGTACTCTAAGCTTTCCTACGGATCATACACTACAAGTGAATCTGGAAGAAGAACACCCATGCACCCACACAGTCGACGGCCGTAGGATCGTGGTTTCCCACGATCCTGCGTCTCTTGCTCGTCTCCCGGTCATCCCTTGCGTGCGTCACGTTAAAAAGTGGGGGAGATCAAGCAAGGGCACCGCGGGGTCCTACGGGGGATCCGGGAGTGAGGAGTCGATCATTCCAAATGGAGTCGAATGGTCTGAGACATTACCTTCGGACCACGAGGGGGAAATTCCCAAGCCATGCGGATCGGGAGAAGCCTCTTTTTCTCTTTTTGGCTGCGAGATTTCGTGAGATCTGGGATCGTCGATCGAGGAGTGAGTTTCGTTCCTCCTACGGCTCTGCATACAGCCGAAGGACGAGGGGGAGGTCACATGAGCTGACGATGCTTGTTGTTCTGCTCTCTCACAGCTGCCTTGTCTGATTGGTAATAGATCTCGACAAGGCGTTACCCAGGCTCCTGGGTTTGTGAATTGTTACAATTGCGGCTCGCTGTCCGCTCGCAACATCCATGGTACCCGAGAAGACAAGAGGAGAGGGCGGGACTGCCCATACCGGGAGGACGACGGCTGGGACGTGAATGGGCTTGGCGAGATGAAAACAATAAGACTGTGCCGTCTCTTTGTGAAGCGGGGGATAGATCTATGAGATCGGAGGTCTGGAGACAGGTATATATATCTGTGGCGGACTGGGTGTCGAGTGAGTGTTACGGAGACGAAAGAGGATCGTTCCCCTCTCAAGCAACGAGCTTCTATCTAGTCTTCAGCCGAAACGCACACTCGCCATCAGCTATCAAGTACCCCTTCCAATCGTAGCACTTCGATTTGCATTCCACCATGCGCAACTCTCTTGCGGTAGCGACTGCCGCAGCGATCCTGTGCGCCAGTACGACCCACGCCTTGCCCGGCACTATCGCCTTGACTTCCCGACAAGCGCAGCCCGCTTCCCCCCTCGCGGACGGTCTGAGCTACAGCGTCCCTCCCCCTCCAGCTACCGGAGGCTCGAGCGCCGTGTGGCAAGCGGCGTTCGAAACGGCGAGAGGGTTGATCGAGCAGATGACGCTCGAAGAAAAGGTACGAACGGCGTTAGACGATCGAAAGCAAGTCTGGTACAGGGGCTGAAACGATCGTCTTTCCGTTGCGCTTGGCGATACCGTTGTAGGTCAAGATGGCTACCGGTCAACCTGGCCCGTGTATCGGGAACACATTGGCAGTCCCTAGATTGGGTATTCCCGCGTTGTGCATGTCCGATGGACCTGCTGGTCAGTCTTCGTTCTTTTCTTCACCAGCATCAAGAACCAAAGGCGACTGATCCACCTTGACCTTTGTCCGCTTCTCGATCGGAATATCACGCTTTGCTTTTCAGGCGTCAGACCGGCTTTGGGTGTCACGCAGTTCCCGGCCGGTGTCACTACCGCCGCCACTTGGGACCGAGAGTTGATGTACAACCGGTCTCTAGCGATGGGTCAAGAGTTTCGCGACCAAGGTGTCGTGAGTCTTGCGTTATCTTCTCGGGTCCTGCGCCTATCAGACCCGTCAACATGCTAATGCCGCCGGTAATGTCGTAGCACATCGCGTTCGGTCCGGTCACAGGAGGACCTCTCGGTCGTGCCGTCTTGAACGGAAGGACTTTCGAGGGCTTCGCTGCAGACCCTTATGCTGCAGGCGAAGCGTCGTACTATGCCGTCAAGGGTATTCAGGACGCTGGGGTCATCGCTACCGCCAAGCATTTTATCGGCTATGAGCAGGCAAGTCGCAGACGGCGATCGGTATTGCACATGCAACGTCGCGCTCGTAGCTGACTAGATGGGGGCGATGTTGCAGGAAGGATTTTCCTTACGTTACGGTCGGGCTAATCCAGGCGCCCCTGCAGGGCAGTTGCCATACGACAGCATCATCGACGACAAGACCACGCACGAGATGTACCTCTGGCCTTTCGCTGATGCGGTCCGTGCGGGAGTCGGGTGAGTCCTGGAATGCTTCAAGCGGCAGAACGAAGTCGAGGTGGACTGAACAGGATCATGTCCCTAACAGCGCGGTCATGTGCTCGTACAATTTGGTTGTAAGTCTCCCCGTCATGTGCTTTGGGCTCGTAACATGATGCTGGCCTGATCGCTCGTACCGTGTCTAGAACGGGACGCACTCCTGCGCCAATTCTGAAACCATCAACGGGTTGCTCAAAACCGAGTTGGACTACCAGGGCATGGTCTTGAGCGATTATGGCTGTGAGCGTCGTTTCATCAGGTCGGAAAATCCTTGTGTGTTAACGTTCCGGCCCTCTCGATATGCTTTTTGATTTTGCCACTCAGCTGTTTGGGGCACTCAGGCGTTCGCCCAGGGCGGTCTCGATATTTCCACCCCGGGCGATGGCCTGGGTGGACTCTTTGGGAAGTTCTTTGGCAACGAGCTGCTTGCACTTGTTGGCAACGGCACCATCGACGAGAGTCGCATTCAGGATCAGGCCATCAGGGTCTTGACGCCTTACTTTGCGCTCGGTCAAAAGGACGACCCGCTCCCGCCCCCTACCCAGAAAGTCAGTACCAACTATCTGATCCCCTCGGTGAACGAGTATAGGAACGTCCAGAAGGGCAGCACCGTCGATTTGATCCGCCGAATCGGCGAGGAAGGTGCCGTCCTTCTGAAAAATACTGGTGGCCTACCTTTGCAAAAGCCCCGCAGGATGTTGATCGTTGGAGAAGATGCCGGCTATCATCGAGCGGCAGGCGACTTTGGGAACGGAGGACCAATCAACACGTTCGCGCTCGGCTTTGGCTCCGGATACGCTATTCCCAACAACCTCATCGACCCTCTTGCCGCCATCTCCATGCGTGCTCTGGAGGACCAGACGACGATCGAGTCCGTATTGAATAATACGAATATCGCTCTCATCTCGAGCCTAGCGTCTCAAACCGACGTCGCCGTCGTGTTTAGCGAAGCCTTGACTGGCCAGGGCACCGAACGCCGCGACCTGAACCTGACCCGTAATGGTACCGAGATCATTCTGGCTACCGCCGCTCAGTGCTCGAACACTGTCGTCGTTCTTCACCTCCCTGGAGCTGCCAATCTGGAAGCGTTCGTGGATCATCCCAATATTACGGCCATCCTCGCTCCGATGCTCCCGGGAGAGCAGACGGGGACATCCCTAGTGCGGCTTTTGTACGGGGATGTCAACCCGAGCGGGAAGCTGCCCTTCACAAGTCAGTTTGGATTACATGATCCCAGTTCCGGATGGGCTTTATGAGGCTGATCTGTGATATCCAGTCGGCAAGAGCCTCTCTGACTACCCGCCCAACACCGTCGTCCGAGACAACGTCGTTCGCCCGACCACCGAGTTTACAGAAAAGTCTCTTATCGACTGTGAGTAACGGTTAGCGTAAGGACGGACTCTATTACTGACCATCTCTGTCACCTATGATAGACCGCTGGTTCGATGCCAAGAACATTGAGCCTCGATTTGGTATGTCTGTCGAGATCTTGGCCAGGCAATCTATCAGGTCGCTGAGCTGGACTCGGTGACGCAGAATACGGATTCGGATTGAGCTATTCGACATTCGCCTACAACAAGATCTGGATCAACGAAACGGCCGCCAAAGACACCCTCAGCTTGCAAGCTACTGCAGAGCGATTCTCAGGCCAGAAAGCAGGAGAGTCCCTCTACGATGTCTTGTTCACAGTATACGCCGAAATCGAAAACTCGGGCAAGGTCTTTGGTTGTGAAGTCGCTCAGCTCGTGAGTCAATCACATTGGAGATTGCGCTTAGCGTCCTCTACTGACTTGCTTCATTCGCGCTTTGTCTCACTATCGTCGGGCCTTCAGTACGTCGAGTTCCCTTCGGTGGAAGGACAACCTCCCAGAAACATGCGTGGATTCGACAAGGTCAAACACCTCGAGTCAGGCGACAAGCGGACCGCAACTTTCCCGTGAGTGTGGCTTAACGGCAGCGATCCTTCTGGTCTAATCGACTGAGACACTGGGATTCCACCGACGTAAAGGATCCGTCGTAAGGATGTCAGCGTGTGGGACACAGTCCTCCAGATGTGGCGCTCCCCCGCAGAGCCTCAGGTGGTCTTCCACGTCGGCTCCAGCTCTCGCAAATTGCCACTCGTAAGCCGTCGGAGCGTTTCAACTCGCGCATTGCGCTTGCTCATAACAGTATGGCTCCTCAGAGATTGCCTTACAACCTGTACTGAGGTCTATACATCGGTTCATATCTACTCGGCATCTCGTGATTCGAGTCATACTTCTACCCTAGCACCGATGCTCTTATAAACACTTGATGAGAATCATAATGTCAACCCCTAAGATCCTCGACTGCCGCTGATATGACCCATTGCCTTTAGTGGCGTCACGTGAGGTGAAACACTTCGGGATGATCAGTGCGAGAATGACCCGAGACCTCCCGCCATGGCGCATTTAGCCTGTACGGGTTTCAGCTTCTAGTCTATAACATGATGCAGCCTTTCATGCGCGTTCCTGAACGATGCGATATTGCTGATGAGATTGTCAGGAAGATCCAACCTTTCCCACTTACGAGCTGCAGGCAATACATATGTATAAATTGGCCACCGACACAGGAAGCATTCACAGGCAAGCGTCATCGTCACCCATCTTCTTTCCTATGAGGCTTTCGCCTTGCCGTGCTAATTGGTTTCTGCCCTCAGAATCTTCCCACAGATTTGGACTAGCGCTAGCCCTGCAGCTCGGTCAAGCTGGTCGATTCCGCCTTCGATCGGTCGTTTTCTGCCATCCGTTGGTCTTGATCCCACTTATCAGAATAAAACATGCTTTCGTCAACCGCTATTCGCCTCGATCAAATGCTCGGAATGTGCCGTTTCCGACAGCAATGACGATTGCTTGTGAACGATTTTTATTGATAAAGCGTTACAGCAGGAGCTCGCTCGTATCGCGGAATCGGCCCCTGATATCGAATCTTGCGGCATCATTTCGCTCATTGCTTTCCGATCACCGACTGAATCCCTTCGAGAATCTTGCTGACGCCGAAAGCGCCAGGATCAGGAACTTTGGCTTCCTTTAACTGGTCCTGGCCAACGTAGGCGGCCCTGCCGGCTTTCGCTTGGATATTTTTGGTCTCCTCGGTCGATCGGTTGGCGGCTACTACTGCCTGAGCCAAGTTTTGGTCCGAAGCGAATGATTCGGTGAAAGCGAACAAAGGGTCCATCAAAGTACGGGAAGGCGGCCTCGCATTGGTGTAGTCGCACAAGGAATATAGGGCGTGCGACAATGCTTTGCCCCAGGCGGCAGATGAAGCGGATCCCGCATTGGTGAAACCTCCGGCGAGCGCGTTCATCCAGATGCTATATAAAGCTCCTGAAGTGCCGTCCATAACCCTCTCAATCTGGTTCATGGTGTCACGTCAGTTCTTCCAGCTTCAATACCCTAGACTCTTTTACTCACGCCCTCTGCAAGAGTCGCGATGGCGGATATCAGGTCTTTCTTGTCGACCTCTCCCGATTGTAACAGTCGCAGGATTTCTGTGATGGAGCGAGGATAGGTCAGTCGAAGTAGTCGACGCATAGTGGGCGGATTGAGCTTCTGTAAAGACTGTCTTACCCTCAGCTCCCGCTTTAAGACTGTATTGGGGAGCCAGTTTGAAAATGGTTAGCGATTTCGGGGACTCCTTGAGTCCTTTCTAACTCACCAAGTGCCACAATCTCCGTCACCGGCGATAGTATCAAACCTAGTAATCTCGGGCTCGGCCTCTATCACGTGTCGACAAGCCGCATCGAGAGCTCGCTCGAAAGAGGTATAGTCGTCTACCAGTGAATTAGGGAAATAAGCGGGACAGGAGTCAGTTCTTGAGACGACCGAAAATCGCTTGACTTATATCGGCAACAAGTCCAATCACGGCGCACGTACATGATACGGGACTGCCGCTGTTCTTCACCAGGGTCTCCCCCTCGTGCTCGTCTTGGATCGTCAGAGCGTCAACAGACCGCGGTTCGAAGATGGAAATCCAACCGGGTGCATCGGTGGGAGCGTCAAGCAGAGATACGATGTCTGACGCTGAAACCTTATTGTCGTCTTCGCGAGGAAGGAGCAACAGAGTCAAGGAGAATCCAGGGAGATTGATCGAGGTCTGGATAGGGTCAAGAGGGACGAGTATCAGCGGGTACTGCATCTGTTCAAGATTCGAGATCATTTAAAGTCACTTACCATGTATCGCCCGGCTCCAACCCTGACGACCTTGATACCCCGTTCCTCGAGAGCAAGTAACGCCTCTCCAGCGATGGCGGACAGCTCCATCTCGCTAAGACCTCCGAGATTGTTCACCAGGAGCACCACCTCATCGGTCCCGTCGTTCTCGAACGGCAAGAAAGATCGCTCCGGGTCGGTGGTCACAGTGATGTAATCCAGCATCAGGCGAATAAGTTCGGGCGTTTTGGGCAGCTTCATAGTCTTGACGCCGGGTTCATTGTGAATACCTGTCAACCAGATTTGGCTCGTCAGATCCTCGAGAAAAGCGACCTCGAATCGAACCGGTGGGTTGTCAACTCACCCATACCGATCTCGATCTCATCCGACTTGAGATGATGATCGTCCCCAGACCCAGTCGATCCGGGAAGACTGCAATGTCCTAGGCCACTTCCAATGGTGCCGATCCGCTCTGAGACTAGGGACGCAATTCGCTTGACGCTGTCGAAGTCTTTACCCTGAGCTGCAGCGGATCCCGCGACTTTGTGAACGAGGACAGTACCAGCGAGTCCTCGTCTACCGGTGATCGATCCCTGCGAACGGGGTACCGCGACATCGTCGCCGACGATGAGCAAATGTGTGGGAACATCGGGGTGGGAGACCGAGCTTTGTTCCTTGGCGAGACCAAAGTGAAGAACATCACCAGTGCTGATGGAGGACAAGGTTCAGTTATTCAACCGTATCGCGTGCTAGAGTTCGTGAGGCGGAGATGGACCCACTATCTCATGATGATGATCAAGACGCCCTTTCCCTTGTTGGCGAGCTGAATCCCGCGCCTGATCTGCCCAACATTGGGACTGGCAAAGATGTTTCCAGCGACGGCGGTGCTGAGCAGCCCTCGACCCACCATGCCTCCGAAAGAGGGCTCATGTCCAGATCCTCCTCCAGATACGATACCGACGTGATCGTGTTCTCTGGTGATGATCCTGTTCTTGGGGTCGACCAGGAGGCCAGGCCGAGTCCGCGCAAGACCCTGGGCGGCTTCAAGCGCGAGGAGACGGGGATCGTTGACGATATGCTTGTCCATTGTCGTTCAGCAGGCGTCGGTTTGAAGATGTTCAAGTGCAATGACAGAAGAACGGGTAGATTCGATACCAGCACATCAGCCTGCTTGATCTACCACAACTGCTTGTTCGCTCAGTCGTTTCATCTTTGAATGTCTCTGGGGTCCGATCGGATCCGATGGATAACGTCGCTTGGTATCGGTCAAGTAATGGATAACGTGATACCGGTCGCGGCCCTTCGAAAACCGTCGGTTGCGACCGGCTCTGGACGGGATTCTGGCTCAGATCACATGACGCATGATGATCAGGAACGCTGGAATGTGTCCGAGGCACGCCAAGGGGTCCGATCGCTCTTCGACTGATCCCGCTAACTCCTCCGCTACGGCCTGCGAGCATTCGGTTAGACGCGGATATGATACTTCTCGCTCCTGCGGGAGCGGCAGTTGTCTTCGATCTCTGACGAGCGCGCTGTCTTTTGGCGATGTCGCCAAAGCCAACGGAGGCAACGACGTTACAGGAGACTACTACGCAGCAGAGACCTAATCCCATGGGATCCCCACTTCTACCCCAGAGTCGTTCTGAAAAGCACATATAGGGCAGGATGTGGGGTCGTCTACTCGATCCCCTTCGATGTCTACTCCCTTTCACTACTCACACTCAATCCGAAAAACACCTTTGAGACTCTGCAATGTCTGAAGCCAAGATCTACGACAAGGGTCAATCCGAATACGTGGAAGATGTCAACCGTGCTGGAGATATCGACCAAGCCAACGAGCAAGCTAGGCTGGACGATGCCGAGCTGATCGCCGGAGAGGCAACCGAAAAGGTAAGTTAAAAAACCGCGATACACGCCTTGAAGCGCAGGATATGGGGGGCGAGAAGCGCGTGACAAGTGAAATATCCACATGTGAACGGGGCGACTGACCGAAGTGCGCTTCACTCATCGCTCCGGTTATAGTTGACCGGTTTTGTCTACTTTTTGAGTATCACCGCCGCCATCTCGTGAGTCGGGAAGCCGGGTGTGACGTGACACCGGCGTACTGACTTGACCTTTCTATTTGTAGCGGTTTCTGTTTCGGATACGATACAGGGGTCATTAGCGCCTCGCTCGTCAGTATCGGAGACGACCTGGGACACTACCTCAACAATACCGAGAAAGAGTACGCGCCCACATGCCACTGCATTCCTTTATGGCCTGCTGATTGCTGCAACTCCGTCTGTATAGATGGATCTCTTCGGGAACCTCTGTTGGCGCTCTGATGGGCGCTTTAGTTGGGGGTTCTCTCGCCGACAGAATCGGCCGTAAATGGGTACTCGCTGTCGGAGATGCCTGTTTTGTTGTAGGAGCCATCATCATTTGCGCTGGATTTTCCGTCGCCCAAGTCATTGTCGGTCGAATTGTCCTCGGGTGGGGTGTTGGAATCGCTGCCGCCGTCGCGCCTCTATGTGAGCAACATAGACGAACACCCGTAACTCAGATCGATGGCTAACGTGTACTTCTTCCGCAGACATCGGTGAATTGTCTCCCACACGATTCCGAGGCGCTCTTGTCACCATTCAGTCCATCGCGATCACGGGAGGGCAGTTCTTCAGTTACTGTATCGGTGTCCCGCTCGTCAGTCTGTTGAGCAACTTGACGAACGCACATGATCTGTTGATAGCTGACGCGTCACCAAACTCCATATAGACCGGTCAACACGGCTGGCGAATCCAATTTGCCATCGGTGTGGTCCCTGCTCTCATGCAAGCTGCAGCTATCCATTTGTGAGTCAGCTCATGGCTCCGTCTCCTGTCCTCTGACTAATCTTGTATGCTTCGCATCAGCCTTCCTGAGAGCCCTCGATACTCCCTCCTCAAAGGTCGTCGCGAGCAGGCTCGTTTGACTTTGGACCGATCGTACAGCAGCATGTCGTCCCGGTACATCGACCTCAAGTTTGCAGCCCTGGAAGAGAACGTCAAGATCTCTGCTCGACTTGTCGAGTCGACCACGCTTTGGCAACGCTGGAAGATGGTCCTCACGCACGGACCTTATAGGCGACCTGCTATTACGGCCTTGGGAATCGGTATTTTCCAGCAATTGTGCGGTTTCAACACCTTGAGTGAGCCTGCGCACTTCACGTTTCCTCGATCGCTCTTGTGCTGATGATTACCCCAATACTCAGTGTACTATTCTGCCACTATTTTTGCCATGGCCGGATTCGACAACCCAACCGCTACCGGTCTCATCGTCTCGGGTACCAACCTCTTCTTCACCATCGTCGCCATGTTCCTGTTGGATCGAGTCGGCAAACGACGCATCTTGCTCTGCACTCAGCCTGGAATGGTTGCCGGTCTCGCTCTCGCTGCCGTTGCATTTGCCAAAATGACTGCAGACACTGGTGGCAAGCTGATCGAAGGGCAAGATTACCCCAAGAACTGGTCCAACATGATGTTGGGAATGATGGTCGTCTTCATCGCCTTCTACGCGACTGGTTCAGGTAACATCACATGGGTAGGTCTCGTTGTTTGGAAGCAAGTATCATTGATGGTGTCGCTGATACTAAGAAATTGCATCGTATACAGCAATGCGCCGAGCTTTTCCCTCTCGAATTGCGAGGAATGGGATCTGCTATCTTGGCTGGAGGTGTCTGGGCCGCCAACATCGTGATCAGTGCCACCTTTTTGACCATCATGGAGCATGTGGGAGCAGCCGGTGCTTTCGGTATCTACGCTGGAATCTGTGCTGTGAGTGCGCAGCTTTGCCGTATCGGGAGATACTTGACTGACCGATCTTCCGCTCACTTCTTCAACGACAGCTCGGCTTCATCTTTATCTATTTCTTCTACCTCGAGGTCAGCGGTCTGTCGTTGGAGGAGGTACAAGAATGTTACAAGCACGGATTCGGGATTCGCAAGTCCAAGGAGATCAGGGCCGCTCACAGGCTGGCCTACAAGGAGCGCGACGAACAGGCCGCGCACGGTCCCCTTTGAAACGTCCAAGCGACTTCCTATAGGGCCCAGAGAGACGCTAATACCGGAGGATTAGTGAGATTATGAAGACAGTGATGAAGGGAAATATTGTATCGCAGTAACAAACGGGATCGAGAAACTGTTGTGCGAATCGGTTGTTTGGTTGTCAATAAGAAACAGGGAATATATCAAATGCAATGAAGAGCTTGTCGAGCAAGTGATTAAATTGTGTCGGGCCTGCGATGCTGCTGTCTGCACCTATCTTGACGTCGTGGTCGGTCTGTTCAACGCCTGACAGCAACACGATCTACTTCATCTTATTTCAAAAGCTATTTGTTCCATCATTACTCAATGCTACCATTCCGATAATAGAATCCGCGAGTGCGACACGAAGCGCAACCATCAACAGCCACAGCTCGGGTGGCAAATTATGGTCAAGATTGCGCGACTGTTTTCCAACGACATAACGCCGATTTTCTAGACCTGAAAACTATCCATGTCGCTGTTTATCGTAAACTTGGCCAGGCCCTGCAGAACCTCGTTCCTGGGCAGCGCCTGACCGGGAGATTAACTATATGGTGAGATCGAGCGTTTCACGAATCCGCGCGCGATCCGACCGACTTATCAATCAAGCATGTGACCCCGACACGCCGACATATCACTTGGCTTGCAATTGCGCAGTCAATCTGTGTAGGAGCAGCCCTGGATCAAAGATTGCAGTGCTAGTGCAGCTTGTCTACGTATACGAGTAAGCGTCTTTCGCGGTTGCATCTGGTCGAAAGTGAATTGTGAGAAGATCAAGCATATGACACAGGGGTTACACGACATAAGACATAGGACATAGGGACCGACGACATAGATCCCCTCCCTACCGGAGTCTTTGAAACAATAGAGCGATAGGCAAACAAGATACAAAACAAACGACGTGAAGGCGCGTACTGATATATGAAGGGCACATAGAGATCTTCAGGTCTCACAGAGGGTACCTGAAACCGTTGGAGATCTGAGTTTCGGTGGGACCCGAATTGCCCATGGGTTCCCCGGCCTCGAGTTTGCGGTTCTGCTTGCGGAGGTAGAGATAGGTCATGCTGGCGAACCCGATGGCGATGACGGCTGCCGCCAGGTTGACCGAGAAGGCTACGAGATATCGAGGAGGCGACTTGTAGAGGTAGGCCTAAGCGCAGATGGGGTTCATCAGGATTCAGAGTGAAAACCCTGGTGACGAACGCCCCTCGACTTACGGTCCAAACATTGGGCGTGTTGCTGATGGCGTTGATCATGGACAAGACGACGGCCCGCTTGATAGCAGGTCCAACGGTGCTACCCGAGATCCAGGATAGGGTACAAATAGCGCTATGAAACACGAGCGCCAGGCCATCAGTCGGAGCGCTCTTTCGTCTTACGTGCGCCGGACAACTCACCTCGCGTAGAACGAAGCGGGCATCAACATCATCGCCACGTATCGCGGCGCGGTCTTGGTCGTGGCCACAGCGAGAATGTTGGCGACGACAGTAATCACCAGAGGACAGGCGATATGCAAGTATCGCTGATTATGCAGTGCGATCGCCATGATAGAGCATCGATCAGTATTCAGGAATGTTTGGCGAGAATTCCGTTGAGGCTCACCTCCTGGGTCTTGTCCGAATGCATACCGTTCAGGATGATCACAAAGACGCACAGCACGAAGGGAGCTATCGATAGCAGGGGCACATAAGTATCGTAACTCTGGATATCAAGGTATCCGTCCCGTACTTACGAGCAGTCAAGCAGTAGGTGATGTTTCGAGAGTAGCCAAGGGTCGAGACGACCGAGGGGAAAAAGTTGTTTACGGCCGCGGCGATGTAACTAGATCATCGAAAAGAAAAGGAATCAGACCCTGTATTCGTGGCGTCCTGAGATGAGATGAAACGGCGCAGAAGATCGCATATCACTCACGTGGAAGTCAAGATCCCGCATAATAACCAGGTCTTCGGGTCGGTCACGGCCATCATGAACCCCTTCCAGGCGGAGATCTCGGAACTGTTGTCAACCTGTCCTCGATCCATCTGGAGGCGGTAGACAAGTCGATCCTTCTCTTGAGAAGTGAGGAGACGGGCCTTTTGGGGAACGTCGGGAAGGATAAAGATGCAGATGATGGCGATGCCGACGGTGAATACGCCTTCGACCAGGCTGGTTCAAGAACGAGGGCAAGGAGATCGTGAGTGGGACTCGATCTCCACATGTCGTTCTCGTACGCGCTGGAATTCGTACTCACAAGAGCCACCTCCAGCCTGCCAACCCGTGAGCACCATCGAGTTCCAGGATGGCGATCGCCAAGAGAGGTCCGAAGGCGTTCCCGAGTTGCGAACCGCTGTACAGGATGGCAGTACGGAGGGCGAATTGTTTCTTGCTGAGAGGAGTACAGTATGAGACGGGTAAGTACGGATCGACAAGATCCACGTCCCATCCGGACTTACGTGTACCAACAACTCAGGTAGAAGATCGCCCCGGGGAACTAAGAAAAAAAGTGGAATAATGATGATGTCAAAATCTGTAATTTTAAACTTTCGCTCTAGCTGGGGATGAAAAGAGGCAAGACTATGAGACTTACGAAGACCGCCTCGGTGATACCCAACGCCACCCGTGCCATCATCAACCCGACATAATTATGCACCGCCGCCGTCAAAGCGGAAACCACACCCCAAGCGGCACAAGCCAAACAGATGTACAAGGCCGGGCGGGAGATCTTGCCGATGATCATGTTCGAGGGGACTTGAAACCCGATATAACCGACAAAGAGGATGGAGACGACAGAGTTGTAGTCGGTCGTGCTGAGGGAGAGGTCGTCCATGATTCCGGCGAGCTTGGCAGAGGCGATGTTCTGCGAGCGAGGAGCGGAGTGAGAGTGAGAGGCAAGAGGCGTTGGTACATGTGCAAACCTAGTTTGAGACGGTGCGATCGGAGGTTATCAAAAGGCTTACTTGACGGTCCAGGTAGTTGAGGACGTCTGAAGCGCACGACGAAGAGGGTGAGATGGGATCATCGTTTCGAATCCCGGCTAAAGGTGAAACGCCAGTCACACAAACTTACAGAGCAGTACGAGCACCTACAAATGCACAGGCGTACAGTACCCGCACGAGTCCAGTGAGTCTGTCAGTATCGGTATCGGCATCTGCAGGACGACTGGGATGGCCCGTCCGTTGCGTGATCACTCACGGGCATGATGATCAAGTCGATGCGCCTGGTAATGCGCTTGTCCATAGCCTCCGTCTCTTCCTCCGTCATCCCGATCAAGGAGTCGGGGAGGACGACGGCGAGCTCGTGGCCCGCCCCGTTGACAGAGCTGGCATACTCGGCGTGCTCGGTCAGGTGTTTCTCCTTTTCATGATCGTCGATCGAGGTGGTGGGTCGGAGGGGTTGGGTCATCGTGCGATGAGTGAGGTTTGTGGTTATGGGTGCAGGATGTGGTCGTGGTCGTGGATGCCCTTGAAGCTTAACAAAATTCGGTAAGTGGGCAAGATCCGAGCTTCCTCGTGTATCTCTACGGTCAGAATCGACTTTAATAACGAACGACGGGGAAGAGCCCGAGGGTCATATATACGCGATCAAAGGGTGACGGTCGACTCCTGCCTGATATCGAGAGAGCCGAGAGCCGCGACTATCCGAGGGGCTCCATGGGCCTTCGTAGAGCCTGGAGTTCGGCCCCACTCGATAAAATCGGCCAGCACACACCACAGCATGCGGTACACGACACGAGGTCTCCATATCTCTCTACCTCTCGCATGGCTTTTGCGCCTGCTAGGGGGTCACCGACCGCGCGATCACGGAGAAATCCGAAACACCCGATTCCCCCTGTCGCCTCTCCCTCTCACGCTCGACCTCGGTCTTCTGGTTTCGGCGATCGGCGATCACATAAAAAGAGCTGGAACACACCCCGGCCCGGGGGGGGGGGGGGGGGGGGGGGAACATATCGCCGATTCCCTCTCGTCCCTTTCGCCGGCGTTGCATGCGCGCGCGCTTGCCTCCACCTCTCGTCCCCCACCCCTCCCCCTCGCTCGATGGGCGATACACTTGTTGATTAAAACGATCAGGATGACACCAGATCACCAGAGAGAGACACGTTCGGCTAACCTCGCTTCCCAACGGTTAGACGGTCGAGTTTCCAGTCACAAAGAGATCGTTCAAAGAGGGAGGAGACGTCCCCCCTCATCCCGCCCCAAATCCCCATTTACACGCGCGTCAATTGTTCCACAGCGAGCGAGCGAGCGACAAACACAGACGACTTCTGATCATGCAGAATCGATTTCCCACCTTTGCCCTTGGGCGCGCCATAGCGACGACCTCGAGGCAGCCTACATCTCGTCAGGCTTGTCGTCGACGCTATCATGCGCCCAATCTTGGCCTACAAGAACCAGCAAGAACAGGTCGAGGCCAAGGATGGCGTGCGGCTACCATCGTAAGTCGCGCGACTTTCGATATCTTTGATGGTACGACAGCTCACCTTCAGTCCTGCCTGCATTTCGTTTGTACCCAGGGAGCCAGTTTGGCATGCGGTACGATCGCCTACCTTTACCTGACTAGGGATCGGGTCCACCTCGACACCGAGACTCGACCTCGCGATCGTAAACTGGAACAAGGAGCAGGAAGAGGTCTGATCTCGATGTCAGAGGTCGAGAAGCACAACAAACCAGGGGATCTTTGGGTCGTCATCGAGGGAAAGGTTTGGGATATGACCGAGGTAAGTGTCCAATTGACACTAACACTCGGCATCGGAAGTTCCCTGCGGCGATATTAAATCCCATACTGACGAGTCTCCTATCTCCTAACCCATACTCAGTTCATCGAAGATCACCCAGGAGGAAAAGCCCCGATCCTCCGACACGCAGGGAAAGACGCGACGAAGATCTTCATGCCCCTCCATCCACCTGGCACTTTGGAGAGCGGGATAGATGCGGACAAGATGATCGGCTTGGTAGATCCGACGACCGTCAAGGAAGTGGAAGCACAGCCCGAAGCGGGTTCTGAGGGGAGGGAGGGGGACAAGGTGCCGTTAGGGCAGATCATTGGGTTGCCGGATTTTGCGGTACGTCTATCAGTCCTCGGGCCCTGTAGTTCTTGAGTTCTGGTGCTACTACCACCTGATTGATTCGCTGATTGTTTGATTTGGATGGTACGGTAGCCCGCAGCTGAGCAATTGTTGAATGCGAAAGCTTGGTCTTATTATTCGGCTGGGGCGACTGACGAGCTGAGTGAGTGAGCGAGCCTTTCCTGCCCCTCAGCTCAACACGACGAGATGGACTGATGTCCGATCTCTCACTCGCTCAACATCGCATATGTTATGACATGACAGCCTTGGCCTTGAACAAATCGGCGTACAACGCGATCCTCTTCCGACCCAGGGTCATGATCGACGTCGATACGGTGGACACGCGGACAGAGTTTTTGGGACACAAGACGTCCCTGCCGATCTTTGTTGCGCCGGCGGGGATGGCCAAGCTGAGGTGAGTCCCGTTTTCCAAGTGGTGTCGAGGTGCTCGTCTGAATTTTAGAGCTCAACACGCCGTCTTGTTCGTAGTCATCCGGATGGAGAGGCGGCCTTTTCCAAAGTCGCTGGTGAACACGGGATCATCCAATTCGTCAGTCCCCTACGCAACCTCTCTTTACTCGGTCACGGCGCTGACCCCGCTCTTGTCCCGCCGATGTCATCCCGCAGATCTCTACCAACGCCTCCGCCGGCCTAGAGACCATCATCGACGCCCGAGCCGAACCCGATCAGACCTTTTTCATGCAACTCTACGTCGACAAGAAGAGGGAGAAGAGCGAGGCGTTGATCAGGAAGATAGAGGACTTGGGGAGGTTGAAGGCGATTTTCGTCACCGTGGACGCTGCGGCGCCGGGAAAGAGGGAGGCTGATGAGAGGGGCAAGGCGGAGATCGAGGTGGTGAGTCTCGGTGTTGGACTTGAGATTTGATCTGAAGAAGTTGTTGTGAGATCGTGTCTCACATACAATTACGTCTTTCGTTTGTTTGACGAGCAGGCCTCGGGGATCTCGGGAGGCAAGATCCAATCCGACAGTAAAGGCGGTGGGATCGGCCGTTCGGTCGGAGGGTTCATCGACCCGAAACTGAACTGGTCGGATATCGGCTGGTTGAGACGACATACGCGGTTGCCCATCGGTTTGAAGGGGATCCAGACCGTCGAGGTAAGGCGCCCATCTGCTTGAGTTTTGCTAAGCGAGCGATGACTGGCAGGCTGATGCGGTATGAGTGCTTTCTTCGGGGTCGATGTGCGGGTAGGATGCTAAACGGGCGTATGACATGGGCTGCGAAGCCATCTACCTCAGCAATCACGGCGGACGAGCCTTGGATGGGTACGTTCCGGACTTCCCACGCTCCCTTCTGATCATCGTTCGTTTTCGCTCATCCCATTTCTATCCGCCGACCCAGCTCGCCACCCGCCCTATACACCCTCCTGGAGATCAACAAGTTCTACCCAGAAATCCTCCGGAGTGGGAAATGCGAGATATATATCGACGGCGGGATTCGAAGAGGCACGGACGTAGTCAAGGCGCTCTGCCTGGGCGCAAAGGGGGTGGGCATGGGGAGACCTTTCATGTACGCGTTGACTTATGGGGAGGATGGGGTGGCGCATGCAATAGAGAGTGAGTTGGTTTACTCTCTAAATCAAGCGGGATGTAGAAGCCGGATGGGCTTGCTGACAACGAGCTTTCGGTTGTCGTCTTGTTTTGTAGTCATGCGGGACGAGATCGAGACGACGATGCGTCTACTCGGGGTCACCAAACTCTCACAACTCGGACCTCACTTGGTGCGTTCAGGACTTCCCCCCCCCCCTCCTTTAATCCTCCTCTCGTCCAACTCATAAAGCCCTGACTTTGTTATGACGCCCTCGCGAACTGACGAATATCTCACATCTTGACCAAAACTCAGCTGAATACAAGAGCCCTCGACCCGCTCTTGAACGAAGCACCGGTGTATGGGCCTGACGAAGTCGTCCCGGGTCTGGGTCAGGGTCGATGAGGGCTCCGGAGTCTCTGAGTCTTTGGGCTCTGTCTAAAGGAGCCCACCCACCTTTGAAGGCCGTGACCTGCCTTTGACAAAAGCCGTCTACGATTGGTCCGGTACCGCATGAATCCCCGATCAGTCGATCTCACTTTGTAATCAGCACTTCATGTCGGCTATGAAACTACTATCAATAACCCCTGACCCGTAAGGGAGGGCAGACGCAACGCGAAAGGAAACAGTCGTCAGGAACTCAAGCCTTGGGCCGGACCACGATGCCGCTGGATTGAACCATAACATGGTGCGACCTTCTCGTTACGTCTCACAGAGGGAAGCTAGATATCTCACAAAGGGAAACTAGACTGCGTTCGGGTCGTACAATCAACGGACGCTTAGCTGAGCTGCTTCGCCATCATTCCCTCGAATAAAGTGGTCTTGCGAGCCTTAGCTTCACTGCAGTGTTCGATCAGAAGTACCATTCAATTCGCTGCAGTCTTCGTTACGTTTGTCCTTTCGACTCACCGAGTGGTGCCGTTGATGACACGCTCAATGAACTGTAGCATTCGATAAGGGGAACGGGATCAGCTCCCTTAGGAATTAGGGGTATCAGCTGCCCTACAATTTCAACTTTCGGAATCACTCGTTCGAGTTGATCGAGAGATCCAGCTTTAGCAAACACCTTGTCGGGCATCGAGTCCGGATAAGAGTATAGCGCTGAACCGCAATCACCGCAGAAAAATCGAACGATCCGCTTGCCAGAATCAGCATGGAAATCCTCGTACATCTGGTGAAGGTCAGCGCTGATCAGCGGTGCCGCAGATTATGTAATGTCGCGGACGGAATACCTTGGGCTCGCCCTTCGTCAGTCGGAGTTGATCCTTGTCAAGAGCGACGTTGTAAGAGACCATAGTATGCAATCGTTGACAAGACTGCGATCGGGTTATAGACAAGCATAGAATTCCGCGGAGGGCGATCGCAATTGCCACCGCTCGCTCACCTTGCAGTGACAGATAATGCCATCCAACGTCTCGGCGTTCACGTTGATTACGTCGTACGTGACGTTTCCGCAAAAGCAAGCGCCAGTCATTGTGTTTGAGAAAGACATCTTTGTCGAAGAGAATGATGATTTCAGGGCGCCTCGATAACGTAGGACAATTTTCCAGCAAAAGAAGGTTGTTTGGAAAACCACTTATATACATGACTGTTCATACAACGCAGAGTGAGCGAATTTTCGAACGTTTGCGTCTCCGCATCGCGCGTGTCTCATTCCGTTACCTGGTTATTTACCAATCCCCCGTCGAGCTGACTACAATATCAGTAAGCTTCGGACGCGCGCTTCGTCGACCAGCGCGATATTGCAACCCATCAATTTGAAGTGGTTTTCATCTTTGCAAATGTTGAGTAAGATTCGATTCTCTACCGTGAAACATGACTAAGATATGAGACACAACGTTCCCTTTTGGTATCTTAGTGTCAGTCATGGCCCTTATGGTTCAAATTGCCGCGATCAGCATATATAGACTTGCCAATCTGCGCGCTTCACTCTCCGGCCCCAGCGACATTAGGGTGACTTGGGATCTTCATATTCAGTCTGACCATCCTGGTTCACCAACATGTCTGCTCAAAGCATACCTAGCTCGTTCCGAGCCGTCGTAGCTTCTCCTGATCTTCGAACACCAACGATTCAGTCGATCGTCCTCGATGATCTACAAAAGGGATACGTCTTGGCCGAACACCAAGTACTTGTGAAGAACCACGCAGTGGCACTCAATCCGTGAGCAGGTAGAATGCCCGTTGAAATATCATCATTGTTGACCATCGATGACCGTATTGTACCGACTTATGATGACTTAGTACCGATTACAAGGTAAGTAGTGTTCTATTGGAAGGATCCCTTCTTGTAATCGGTACTGACCGAGTGAATGGGTTGATGGATAGCACGCACATGGTGACTGGACGTCTCGCCAGCCTGTTGTGATGGGTACCGATGGAGCTGGCGTTGCGCTAGCGGTCGGCTCCGAAGTCCGACACGTTAAAGTAGGAGATAGGGTAGCGGGAATGGTTTATGGTGCCTCGTCGCGAACGAACGGTACGGCAGCAGAAGGTAAAGTTACTAACGACGTTTACTCTACGTGGGTTAAGTGCTGGATATGAGACTAAGCGGGCCTGTTTCTAGTGACCATCTATGACGCAGCCCTCTTATGGGCGATGCCAGAAGGCATGAGCTTCACCGAAGGTGCCGCTATCACGGTCAGTCTTGCGTCTCATCAAGCTCTCATTGCGACTCATCGAAGTGTGTTTTCGCATTTGCGAAATCTCCAGGCAACCCATCTGACAGCGGTGCAAACGCTCTACATGCGCTGGGATCTCGCCAGGCCTTCGAAACCGGACACGTCAGAGGTCAAGAAAATCCTGCTTGTTTGGGGAGGTGAGTTTGGCCTGGAGATTGCGATAGACTGAGCTTTCTTTGGCTGACGTGCAATGTCGGAGACAGGCGCTACTGCAGTTGGGCATCATGCCATCCAGCTCGCTCACCTGTCCGGGTATCGAGCTTTTGTCACTGCTGCACCTGATCACCACTCACGGCTCATGGACATGGGTGCTGAAAGGTGCTTCGACTACCGCAATCCGGACATCGTCCAGCAAATTCGAGAGGCTGCGGGCGAACAGGGAATATTCGCGGCGTACGATACCCCGGCCAGCAACAAGTCGACCGAGTCTTGTATCGGTAAGACCTCTCAACTTTCCGCATATCCTTGTGGACTTTGACTGATCGTTCGCGATCACGCCTGGTAGACGCCATTGGCCCTAGTGGAGGTAGAGTAATGTCGACCTTGCCCCCCTCGGAAGAAGTGGTGTCTCGACGACTGGATGTCGAGCTCGAGTTCGTCCTAGTTTACACGCTCGTCGGATACGCAGTAAGTCCGTCAATAGATGGCAGATTGATCCGATCCTGATCGTCAAGCGCTGCAGTTCAAATTTGCCAATGCTTTCGACTTTCCGGCCAATGCGAACGATCGCAAGCAGTCCTACGAATGGGTGACTGAAGAGCTGCCCGCTATCTTTGCGGGATGGGAGGAAGGGCAAGGGTCAAGCCGATACACTCCCCAGGCCCTTCGGGTGGGACACGGGCTTGAGCGAGTGCATGAAGGTATCGCCATCTTGGGACGGGGCTCGTACAAGGCGGAAAAGTTAGTCTATACCATCGTTTGAGCCTGTAGTTAGACGTTCATCGTCTGGATGTGATTGCTGCCATGATTTGGTCCGACCATCCAGCTGAGATCCAGCGCAGTTGACCATGCAAAGTTGTCGGCCCAAACCGTGACTGGATTGCGACCACGTTTGAGATACGGCGCATCAAATTGTCAATGATTAAGATGATGTTCAACCCCGACAAACCCTGAGCCTACCAAAGAGCCTTGCGGCGGCGGTACTGCTTCCCGACGGACGTCGGCCACGCTAAGTTCAATTCGCATCGCGGCGATCCGGGGCAGGATGGCCCCTGCCCCGGCATGACTCTGCCGAAGCATTTGCGCCACTGCGTCCAGATCGGGGGCCAGTCATGGCGTGTCGCGTCCTGAAGAAAGCGATCAAAGTTCGCTCCGGGGTGAAACGAGCGATAATTCGATGAAACCAAAATTACAAGACCCTATGTACCGCGCCAGAACACCATCAATTTTGCGTTTATCGTAATTGTCATCGTCACTTCCTGCGTCGCGGTCTGCAAAGGATATGGGAACCACATCGCATCTTATGACTTGCACTGCCATCGCCATCACGTCCCTGCCTTGTCGATTCATTCGAGTCAGATCCGGGTTGTCGAAGAGGTGTACTAACAGCGCAAAGGGATTCAATCGTAAAAAGCAGCCCCTTCGATCCATACGCTCGTTCCATATCACTTTGTCCGTTCGTCGGTCGAGTACCTGACTTGAACACCATTCGTAATGTTCGTCATGTTGCATGTTGACCATGTCGCGTTCATCGGTACTCGGAGAATCCTTTCCTTTCCTTTCTCCAAGTAGCCTGAGCAGAATTCGAAAGGTCCTTTAGGTCCTTTTGCCTTTTGAGGTGTCCTTTCCCGACCCTTCCCGTCCAGACCTACGAGCTCGTGACCTCGCAGGTGGACAAAGATGTACACTCACTGACTGTATCGAGATGCGAGGGGGGAACAAAGGAACGAAAGGATCGTCGTCGTCATCGCCGGGAATCGTCGTCTTCGAAGAATCGTCGAGAACGTCAACGGAGGGTCCTGGGCTGCTAGGATGAGATACAAGGCAAAGAAGAGAGGAGCTAGATAGGGTGAGGAGAAGGTCAGCTTTCGATGGTCTTTCAGAAGCACTCACTCACTCAGACACTCATTCACCTAACATACACACGACGACCTCCCCACTCACTCGACGACACCGACGATGACCTCGAACGAATTCACCATCACCCCGATCGACTCGTCCACCTCCTACCAAGCCTGGTCCGACCTCTTCCGTGCCTACCTCGTCGAGGGGAAAGACGAGCAGAAGTTCCCAGCCGACCAGTACCGAAAGACTTTCCACCGGCTCGTCGATACGGGTCCAAAGGGGGACGTTTACGGGTTCATGCTCTTGTCCCCCGGGGGAGACGGAGAAGAGATGGTCAGGCCGATCGGTTTCGCCCTCTACTTGTTCCACCCTACCACCTGGTCCGAGAAGGGGCATTGTTACCTTATCGACCTCTACGTCCACCCTGGGTACAGGAGGAAGGGAGGGGCGACGGGGTTGATCATGCGGGTCAAGCAGGAGGCCTTGGACGGCAAGATCACTGGTAAAGGGTCGCAACACATGTTGTATTGGCATACGAAGAAGGAGAACAAGGTGGCCAGGGAGTTGTACGACAAGTTGGCCAAGAATGAGCAGACGGTTTATGAGATGGTCTTGGACGAGGAGTAGGGCGGATAGGGTAGGAGGTCGTGGGCGGGTGGTCGATGTGATATCTCTTTGTATAACCTCGCTTGTACCCGGATGACTTGACCTCATGACTCGATGACGACGACGACGATGTTCATCCATTCTACGATCTCGCAATCATGTCATCTATACATATATGTAGAGAACCTGTCGTCCTCGTCCTTGTTCCAAGTTGAACGGCAGTACTGCTTGAGCTATACAACTATATTTCGATCGAGATCGCACGTCAATTGCAATCAATCACCCCGACCGCAAGGTGACTTTACCTTGACCTCGACCTCGACCTCTTCTTCCTCTTCGCCGGGACATTCGGGCTCAACGGGACACCCCATCCCCATATACATAGGGCTCTCGATCTCTCTCCATATCGTACAGCCGCCGCATCGGATACCTGGATACTCCGAACTCTCACACACCCAGACGCTCGACGCTCGACGCTCGACCACATCATACATCATACATCATCTCATCGCAATGCCAACCTCAACCCCCTTCTGCATCCCTATCGACCACACGACCGACTACGAGCAATGGCACGCCCTCTGGAAAGCTTACCTCGAGTTCTACAATACGACACTGCCGGAGGAACAGTATAGGGATACGTTTAGCAGGCTGGTTAGGGAGGATGGAGATCTGGGCGGGTTCGTCCTGGTCCTCACAGACGCCAAAGACTCAAACGTCGATGAAGACGGAGACGAAACCGAAGGAGACGACAAGGACAAGAACAAGGACAAGGACAAGCAAGTTCACAGGCCGACAAAGTACACCTACACCTATATCGGACTCGCACACTACCTCACGCATACCTCCGCCTGGGCCCCAGCGTCCACTCGTCATTGTTACTTGAACGACCTTTACGTCGACCCCACGGTTAGGGGTACGGGAGGGGGACGGATGTTGATCGAAGCTGTGCAAGAGGAAGCCAAGGCGAGATTGGGGTGTTCCCGGGTCTATTGGTTGACCGCTCCGGACAACGTGGCGGCGAGGAGGTTGTACGACAAGGTCGCTACGACGAATCGGGTTGCGTATAAGATCGACCTCTAATCTTGAGGGGGAAGACGGGGGAGGTGGTGGAGGTGGAGAAGGTGGTGGAGAAGATGGTGGAGAAGGTGGTGGAGAAGGTGGTGGAGAAGGTGGTGGACTAGGTGAGTGGATCGTTTCGAATTCCGGATGTCGATGGACGGTCGAAGGAGGATCAGTGGGGGGCCTTGGGGGGAGAGCTGGGAATGCGCTTCTCCATCCTCGTCTTCGATTACATCGTGTGCTGATCTCTCCTGACTCTCAAATCGCACGAACGGTACTGCATAGTACATCATCTTTAGGTCGTCTTGTTCTCGCAGAGATCTCGCCCAACACAAGCCCAACCCATCCAGCCCGAAAGGAAGATACCTCGCTCGCTCGGACGTCTCTTCTTCTTCCACGACTTCACCTCTCCGTCAATCTTTTCTTGAGTCGAGGCACCTCACCGGCAGTCTCTCTCTTCGCAAGCATTTAGATTGGACCGCATGCATTATATTATACATCACAAGTCACACAACGACCACCGTAGCACCAGACCTCGAACCTCAACCCTCGGTCCTCGGCCCCATCCTTATTCTCGACCTCGACCGGAAGCTGAACCTCGTCCTCGTCCTCATTCTCGGCGTCGGGTCGAACCTGAGCTTCAGCCTCGATCTCGACCTTCGACCTGAACTCGGATGAAGTGCCATGTCGAATTCAAAGACAGAGCCTGGACACGACTCTGGGATCAAGAGGTGGAGACCTACAGTACCTCGTGAATCGAGGCGGAGACTCACAGTATTTCTCGAGTCGAGTACGAACACGGAAGCCTCTGGATGCATCGAAGCGGCAAGATGCTCTTACAAACCCGGGAAAAGATTCCCCTCTGTCCGTAGGGGTGGAAGGTTAAAAAAGGGCAGATGTCGATGTCGTTGTCGATGTCGATCGAGAGCGGCGAGGATGAGAGGGCGGATCGAGACGAGGCGAGGGCGGAGTGGCAGACCATGTTGATCGCCGGGACGATGCGATCGTCTCGTGGCCGACTCGGTCCAATGGCGAGGAGAGAGAGAGAAAATCAAGCATACACACACGTATTCTTCTCGAGGACTTGAAGGATCTCGGGCGGCACATCATCTCGAGTCTGGGCGTTCATATTGCGTGTGATTTGGGGGGCGGATATCATGAACATGAAGATGAAATACGCTTTTCTTCGACCCGAGTCGGACCGGGTGGCAGCTCGTCTCGGGCTCTTTTGAAAGTTATTCGCTCTTCGCTGGATACTTGATAGTTCGATGGTCGAGCTATGGATGGTTCGGCCATTGCAGGGCATAGATTGGATTTGGTGCGTCGAGCCCATGGTAGACGAGCGGTGGAGGACCAAGTCGATCTAGTACGTCAATGTTCACATACATATGTCACGGCCTGGGATACCGGTCGATCATCGATGGCGTAGGGGATATCTTCCACTTTAAGAACGGCCTTGCTGGTACACGCATGGGTCTCGAGCGACGGCTGTTGAGACGAAAAATCGTTAGCTATTGGCACCGAATGTAATAACACTCCAGGGCGGTGCAGGCAGGTCGTGACTGCGAGAATAGGCGCTGTCGAGATGGAATGAATCTTCGGGTTGGAAAGAGGGGATTTGGCCCGGACGATGACGCTTCAGAATCGGAGAGCGGCGCTGATGTTTGACGAATTAGGGGGAATTGTGGAGCCGCCGTGATCGGCCGGGAGGTTACGGGGCGGGGTGATTGGCAGCAGACGTTTTAAGATGAGCTTTGATGATACGTGTTTCGGTAATCTCATCGTCACGGTTCGGGGTGTTCCCTTTGCGCCTTTCCGATTCAAGTTTGGAGCGTTTACGGAGACTGCAAGCCCTATCGGATCGCATAAAGCGGTCGGTATTGGAGATCTATCCTACGAGTACATCGTTATCGCCTCCAATGATCAGCAAATGGACACGAAACTCGAACTCACGATGACCAAGATTTTTTCGGCCAGCACTGCTCTTGTCGCACTCATATCCCTCTTCGGGATCGGGACACAAGCCAAATCTTGCCAAAATGCAGCCCAGACCATCGGACAGGTAGCATTCCATGCGTGCGAACAAGCTACAGGCGACTTTAACCTGTTCAAAGTGAGTCGGTCTGTTTGTGAAGACGGCGCAGCTTCTTGATGAATTTTTTTCACTTCAAGGATACGGAGGACGGACCTGGCAGAGAGCCCGATGACAAGCGTGGCGTCGTCGTTGCAATCCATAACACGGTCAACCTGGTCGACTGTGTTGCCTTGTGCAACGAGAGTAACGGTAGTGCAGGTGGGCGTTCGGTGTCGTGTCTCCTTGCTGCCGCCCTCATGTTGAGGAGAGACGTTTCCCAAGGTGACGGCAATTGCAAGGGCGTATCCTGGAAGGCGCAAGATGGTACCGCAGAGCGGGGTGTTTGTACTCATTACGTACCGGCGTGCGCTCAGCCGTGACCGGAGTGACTGGAACCCATCAGGGCGTCGCTACGTCGGGAAAGTGTCCAGAAGATGGGACTTTCAGCGGTAAGCATCAATAGATATCCTACATCTATCGAGAGTAGCTGATATCCCGACATCCCAGATGACGGCGTCGAGTGCTGCGAGATCTGGTTCTAATGAATCACAAGCGCCACGCGCGCTCCAGGCTGACCATCGCCACTAGTGGCTGCGCGAATCTAGTTTCGCTTGTAATGTTTGGAGCTTGAACGCTCTATCAAGGTGTAAAATTAGTCCCTCAACAGTGACAACTGTTCCTTTACCTCCCCGCAGTACGATCCGGGAGCTAGAGTCCGTTGAGGTCGCTCGTTCTGGGAAAGCTCTCGGTGAGGCACCCCATGCCATGCTGTGGATCTGATCAGAAGTGATACGGGATAAATTGATCGTTCAGCTAGCGTCCATCCTGGAAACGCGACGACGTTGAGCAATCTTTGAACCCAAGTTCATGGTGGTCGTTATCATGGTCCGATATCACATGAATCCGTGGACGTTTCTTTGCGTCTTTCACGGGAGAACCCTCTGTCTGTGAACGGCTACGCTTGTAACCGGGGGCGAGTCCATATATATATCTGCGTGCCTATAATCTCAGTGTGCTCTGCGATATTTCCGCCTGAATCGTCAGCTGACACTCGACGGAGACTTTGTCGAAAATATTAGACTGTCGAAGCTATGCATTTGTAAACCCGGGTCCGCTCGTGATGTAGAAGCTTGCAAGCCCCTGTGGATATTACTTCAACCTCGTGTATTATACACTGTCGATACCGTCCAAACGTAAAGGCCACACGTGAACAGACCGAAAACCCGACAATAGGATCTGCTACGTAATACAACGACGCTCATGAACCAGCGTTATCTTGCGTTCTACGCCATCATGGCCACCCAATTGCCGCCAAGCGTTTCCGTACTATTACCGACGAAATCCTCCATGACCCAGTTGAAACCTTCCTCGCTGACGTCCTTCTGATCGTGTTTGCATTTGAGGTCGTCCCCTGATTTGACGGAAATTTCGCTCCATCCACGAATGACGATATCAGGACTCTTAGGCATCGGGCCGTCCGAGAAGTCACAGGGGTATTCGAAAGGAGAGGTGCAGTCTGTCAACACGCAGTGAAAATCCCCGCTCTTGATCGTGGGATCGGCAGTGAGATGCGCGATCCAGTCGATGTCTGCCTCGGTATCCTGCCTGTTCGTAGATAGGCTAATATCGAATCCACCACGGTCGACGTTTCTGCATCTGATCGATGCTCTCCATGCTCCGCCTGGCATGTCCCCGGTTTGCCCTTGCTTGAGCTTCAAGCTACGGAAGAAAACCGCTACCTTGGGTTGCTCGACGAACGGCTTGTCGAACTGGATTCTCTTCGTATACATATTGGCATAGCTAATATGCGTAGTGCCGCATTGTAGACGAGGGTCCTCCTTAGGGATGGCCAACCAAGTCGAACCCATGAAAAAATTTCCGTTGGCGTTATTGTTGTTCATCCCTATCCTACCATCCCCGCCGTACCAGCCCTCCACGGCGATGTCCTGGTTGCGTTCCTATGAGTGTACGTAAGCCAGGCATGTTCGCGTCAGCAGATACTCGTGATCGCTTAGGTCTAACCTGCGGTGTAAATCAGGAGATACTCACGATATGCAACTCGTTCAGGCCGGCCGCCCAATTTTGATCCTTCCACTTCAAATCGACGTAAAAACCGCGGTCACTGTGATATGCCACAGCCTGGCATCTTCCGCCATAGTTTGCGGCAGCGTTGGAAATTGCGGTCTGGATGCGCGTTGACTCGTTTGCCTTGAGGGTAGCAAGGAAGGCGTCCGTCATGATTCAGAATTTGGATGCGACCGTGGTATGCCGAACGTTCAAAGCACGCTCGAGAAAACAGGGGGCTCGACTGATATATAACGTCGTGCATGCACGTACATCGTGCTGACTGCTGTAGAGGGCATCGAGGAACGCAAGCGTCGAGGTCATGTGGCTTGTGAGGCGGGTTCTCAGATGGCTTGGAAGTTTAATTTGCATTCTGATACCGTTTCAGGTACCGGCGATTGTCACGACTAAGGGAAGCACTCGATTTGAGTTTGCGGAAATACATGTACTAGTACAAGCGCGCACACGATCATCGTCCCGAGTCCTCTGTATGGTAGTCTCCTGGCGGTACATATGTGAAACCGGTGATGTCTCCCTGCAAAAACCCGTTGTAGTCGAAACCCGGCGCTGCCATATCACGGGCGACCTTGTTCCTCCTGGCATCGACCGTTTGAAATTTAGTCCGTGAGTTGTAAGTGCGTCGGGTCTGTTGGATATCGAGTTGATCACCGTTGTATAGTTTGCATGAGGATAAAATATACAAGAGGGGATCATGAAATCAAACCAGAATGGTCTGCTATATATATTATTCTGGTAGGTGGCAAGGTGCTGCGGTTTGCGGTTTGCGGTCGCAAGTTGCGGTTTGCGGTCGCAACTTGCGGTTGTGGTCGCAACTTGCGACAGTGGTCGCAGATTGCTAAGCGAGTCGCAGATTGCTAAGCGAGAACAAAAGGAAAGGTGCGAAGAGTGGATGTGCTTTATTGTTCCATGCGGTCTATTGTTCTGGGAGAACAATAGGCGTGCGGGAGAACAATAGGATTCGACACTCCCCCTCACTCAAGCGTCCTTTGCGAAAGAGGTTGGTTTTCCGCTGAGACCCATCCCGGTGACAAGGTGATGGAATTGGTGATGGGCGAGACCTTTGGTGAGAGCATCGGCAAGGTTGTCCTGAGTTGGAACATGGGAGAGTTCAACGGTGTTGTCGAGTACTTTCTCTCTAAGATAGTGGTGTCTCATGTCGATGTGTTTGGTGCGATCATGAGCAACAGGATTCTTGGATAGTTGAATGGCAGCATTGTTGTCGTTGAGAATGGCGAGGGGACCAGAGACCGGGTGACCGAGAGATTCGAGAAGAGTGCGGAGCCAGACTGCCTGTCGGGTAGCATCAGCGGAAGCCATGTATTCAGCTTCCGCAGTAGAGAGAGCTGTGGTTGGTTGTCGTCGGGATTTCCAGGCTACCGGTCCTCCAAAAGCACGGAAGAGGTATCCGGTAGTAGATCGACGAGTGTCCAAGCATCCACCCCAGTCGGCATCGGCATAACCCAGGATGATCCTTTGGCCAGAGGTGGCGTCATAGGTGAGGCAGAGTTCGATGGTACCTTGGAGGTATCGGAGTAGGTGTCGAGCAGCATGGACATGTTGCTTGTTCCACTTGCTGACGGTCCGAGCTAAGACTCCAGCGGCATGAGCGATGTCGGGTCTGGTGATGGTGGCCGCGTACATGATTGATCCGACCATTGCTGGATATTCCTCATGAGCGGCTTCCTGATGTTCAGCATCGGTAGCAGGAAGAGATCGGAAGCCGGAAGGAAGGGGAGTCTTTGCCGGTTTGGAGTCGAGCATGCCAAACCTTTCCAGGACCGCCTGTACGTAGTGTTCTTGAGAGATGTAGAGCTTCCGGTTGGGCCTGTCTCGGAAGACGTTGAATCCAAGAAAGTAAGAGACCGCTCCTCCGTCGGAACACTCAAATCGGTCGTTGAGTTTGGTCTTGAAGTCGTCCAGTTCCTGACGATTGTTGCAGGCGATGAGTTGATCGTCAACGTGGACGGAGAGGATGAGAAGGGTATCCTTGGTCGACCGGATGTAGAGACAGGAGTCGGCCGGAGAAGGAATGAGACCGAGAGATCGAAGGAACTTGTCGAGAGCCTGGTTGAAGCAGCGAGGTGATTGTTTGAGACCGTAAAGTGATTTCTGAAGTCGGAGAACCTTGTTGGCAGGGATATTGCTGCCCTCAGGAGGTTCAAGATGGACGAGTTCCTCTAGTTCTCCGTTGAGGAAGGCGGCCTTGATGTCGACCTGATCACAGTCCATGTCGAGGTAGTTGACCAGAGCGAGGAAGACTCGAATGGTATCCTTATGAGCAACTCCCGCATAGAGTTCGTTGTAGTCAACTCCTTCCTTCTGTAGAAATCCTTTTGCTACCCATCGAGCCTTGTAGGCGGATGGCTTCCCGGTCTCTCCGTCGATCTTCCGGGTGAAGACCCACTTAGCTCGAAGAGGTTTGGATGTAGCTTCTTGCCTATCAATGACGGACCAGACCTTGTACTGATCCATCTTGTCGAGTTCGGCTTTTATAGCCTCCTGCCATTTGTCCCACTCTGGAGATCGGTGGGCTTCCTGAAAAGTTTGAGGGATGGCCGTGGAGATGAGTGCATGGCCACAGATGACGGCGGTAGCGAGGTTTGCATAGTATCCAAATTTGGCAGGTGGTTTGCGGACTCGTCGGGAGCCATCAGGCAGGACTGGGTTTTCCGGTGTCGGTACCGGTGCAATATCCCATCCTTTGCTCCAAATGCCGGATGACTTGTGTTTGGCCTGTGTAGCCTGTGTAGCCTGATCACTTGGGATGGTCGTGTCATCACCAGGCTGATCAGGTGAGTCGAGAGTATCGGTATTGTCTTCAGCCGATTGATCCTCTTCGGTTTCAAAGTCTGAGTCTGATGTTGGTTCAGGTACTATGTCGATGTCGACCTGAGTGGACTGGGTTTTGGTTTCCAGTGATTTGGTGTTGGTGGAAATCTTTGGTTGTTTACCAAAGACCACATCACGAGAGATGGTGACCTTTTCGGTGTGTAGATCCCAAATCCTGTAGTTGTCGGTCCCCTCAACGTAAGAGAGTAGTTGCCCTTCAATGTAGCGAGGGTGAAGTTTGTTGGTGTTGTTATGGTCACGGAACCAGAGCTGACAGCCAAAGGGTTGAAGGTGCCGGGAGTTGACTTCACGTTGCCTCCAGAGATCCTCCGGGATATGCTTGTCAGATCCTGTGGGAGCCCGGTTCCTGGTGTAGATGGCGTAGTTTGCCGCTTCGGCCCAGAACTTGTCATCGAGTCCGCTATCGATCAGGAGCGTCCTTACCTGATTGAGAATGGTAAGGTGCGCCCTTTCAACTCTACCGTTTTGAGCATGAGCGGCAGTTGGAACGAAGTGATGCTCAATGCCCTTGGCTTTGAGGTAGTCACGAAGAGCATGTGACTCGAATTCTCCTCCTTGATCCGATCGGATGGTCTTGACCGTGCAGTCCAATTGATTCTCAACTAGGTTGATATAGTCAATCAAAGCCTGCCGGGTCTCAGACTTCTTCTTGAGAAAGCTGAGGTTGACCTTCCGAGTGTGATCGTCGTAACAGGTAAGGAAGTAGAGGGATCCTCCAATGGAAGGGGTTCGAGCTGGTCCCCAGAGATCGACGTGGATAGACTGGAGTGGTTTGCTGGCTCGGATGTTGGAAGCAGGAGCGGGGAGACGAGATCCTTTTCCCTGTATGCAGGCTGAGCAGTGGAAGCCGTAGATGTCTTTTCCGGCTTTGGCCCAATCCACAGTCTTGTCAAGTCTTCCTTCCTTGCCGAGCTGAACCACCGAGCGAACATTGAGATGGCCAAGTCTGCGGTGCCAGTGGTAGAGAACATTGTCGTCCGTGACAGTATTGGTGGCCGTGATGAGTGCGGCCTTGTGTCGGATAGGAGTGCTTGCCGGATCGAGGACAAACAAACCATCTTGTCGTGTTGCAGTGATGACCGGTTTGCCAGGGCCATCTGCAAAGGTGTTGAGGATCGCTTTGTCTTTTGCAAAGGTCCAAGAGTGTCCGTCGGTGCTCTGTGCGGCACCAACACTCAGAAGGTTCCGTCCCAGTTCGGGTACGTGGAGAACATCGTATAGTGTGATGTTTGGTAGTTTGAGTTGACCGCATTCTCTGGCTGTGATGTTGGCGCCGTTGCCTATGGTGATGTTTGCCTGGATCGGTAGTTGTTTGATTCCAGTGAGTAGGTTCCTGTCATGGACCATGTGATGAGTAGCTCCAGAGTCTACGACAATGTCGAGTGCAGACGAGTGGGCCAGAAGGGCATTGTGATCGATGGTGATGCTTGCCATGAAAGCAGAGCCGGCGTTGATGCCATGATGTTGACTCCTGTTGCTTACGAGTGCGGCGATATTGGCACTGTTGTTTGTGTACCTGTTGGCGTTGTTGCCGGTACTGAAGTTGGCGGGCTTGGTGAAACAGTTTGCTGTTGAGTGTCCATTCTTCTGATGGAACTCGCAGAAGGCATTCTTGTCAAAGGAGGATCGAGGAATGAACTTCTTCTTGTTTCCGGTGCCGCCGATGTTGTTGGTGTTGTTCCGTGCTTGTTGACGGGCAGCGATGAGTGCTGTAGTCTCAATTCCTTCTTCCTGAACAATCCTCCTCCTGTACTCGGCTCGGACAGCGTCGATGACGTCCTGCGAGTGAAAGTCCTCCTTGAGATAATAGGTCTGAACGAGGGTTTCGTAGGAAGAAGGAAGGGACATGAGGATGGCGAACGCAAAGTCCTTGTCGTCCATCCGGGATCGGCCAGAGACGGTAATAGCGGAGTAAGCCGACTTGAGTTTTCCGGTATGGACAGTCGGGTCTTCTCCTTCCGCGAGTTGGGATCGCCAGATGATTGCAAGAAGTTCTGCTCGCCTGGATCCCCTTGCAGCCGAGTAGGTTTCCTGAAGATGTTTAAGTAATCTTTCGGAAGCAGAAGGAAGCGTCGCTCTGTACTCATCGGTGTGAGCAGAGTCCCTTTGGACCAGAGCGTGCCAAGTTGAGAGGTGAGACGGGAGGTTGTGATGAACAAGCTGACTGAGGCTTCCGTCGATGATTCCGAAGGCCTTCTTGTCTTTCTTGATCCATTTCGCAAGTTCCTCGGCTGTAGCTGGAGTAGTGACCGTAGTAGTGGTAGTAGTCGGAGCGTTGTCCGTGCCGGCGGTGGCAGCCAAGGTAGTGATAGGTAGGGTATTAGGTCGAGGAATAGTTCCATCAACAATGTCGTCCAGATCCTTATCGATCAAAGTGTTTTGAATCGAGCGGGACCATTCCGCGTAATTGTCGGGACCCTCAAGGTAGGTACGCTTGGTAACCTTGAGAGTATCGAGGTCGAGACTGTCGGCCATGATGAAACTAGTGTTGGCATAGACTGAACGCGTTCACCGAACGCCTTCCGAACGCGTCGAACGTCATCAAAAAAATACCGAACGCCAACGCGTCATCGAACGTCATCGCTAGACGTTCGGCCGAACGCCAACGTCTTCGGCAAGGCGTTCGAACGCGTTCAGGCCGAACGCCTGTCACGTGATCGGCCTTACAGCAGCGCTGATCGGCCAATAATCGCGGCAGCGGTAGCCTGAATCGAACCGAACACAGGAACGTCTTTGGATCTTAAAAAGAATCCTTACCGACTACGCTACTGGGCGATGTTTGAAGGCGTTCGAACGTCTTCAATATCCGGGGACCAAACGCCAACGCCTAAACGAACGTCTAAGGCGTTCAACGCGTTGGCGTTCGAACGTCATAGGCGTTCGAGACGTCTAAAAATAGACGTTCGGCCGAGGCGTCCAAGACGTTCGGCCGAACGCGTGCCTACACTAGATGAAACTAAGTCGATGTTGAAGAGGGTTGGTTGATGTAAACTAAGGTAATGGCCCGTTGAGCTCCGTTGGTAGAGCAGCCGACTCTTAATCTGTTGGATATCGAGTTGATCACCGTTGTATAGTTTGCATGAGGATAAAATATACAAGAGGGGATCATGAAATCAAACCAGAATGGTCTGCTATATATATTATTCTGGTAGGTGGCAAGGTGCTGCGGTTTGCGGTTTGCGGTCTGCGGTTTGCGGTCGCAAGTTGCGGTTTGCGGTCGCAACTTGCGGTTGTGGTCGCAACTTGCGACAGTGGTCGCAGATTGCTAAGCGAGTCGCAGATTGCTAAGCGAGAACAAAAGGAAAGGTGCGAAGAGTGGATGTGCTTTATTGTTCCATGCGGTCTATTGTTCTGGGAGAACAATAGGCGTGCGGGAGAACAATAGGATTCGACAGGGTCTTGACGACGACCCAGGCACGGTATCTGGCAGCGTCAGAGGTAGTGGGGTCGATCTGACCGCCTTTGTCGGGCGAGGTAGGATCGGAAATCCAGGTAGGCCATCCGTCAGGACCGTCTCCAAAATCTCGCATTACGTGGTCGATATTCGGTAGCAGGGCTCTCTTGGCCGGATTCCAGCCGTCATTCCCGACGTTGTTGCTGTTCGGGTCAAGGGCCTCGTAGAACAATACCGCGCGCTGCCATGCCTTCAACCTCGGACCAGACGTTTGATAATCTGAATGCGAAGAAGGATAGAGCGAGTCCAATAACGACCGCGCAGCATCGGTGTCGTCATACAGGTCGACAACTTCTTCGTAATTGGCGGGCGCGGGAATCCTCGCATTGAGTCGTCTGGCTCTGACCATCTTGTTCAAGGCTGCTTTCATCGTCGCCTGACGGTTGGCATCAGGGCCAGCTGCCGAGAATGCTCGTAGATCGCTCTTGAGCGGGTGGTATTCCGGCTCTGTAGAGCCGTCGGTCCTCGTTGGAAACTCTCGGATCAACTCATGATACTCGGCCGAGTCGATGGTCCCAGCCGCGAGAGGCGTACGTTGGATCCACCGGCGAGGCAAGGTAGGTACAGTCGCATCTGGGACGAAATCCGCCTGGTCAATTTCGGTGTTATCGACGACCGATTCCTGATCCCCAGGATCGACACCGGTAGCGGCTTGGATTCGCGCTCTCCGCCTATCCGCTGCCCTGCGTCTAGCTAGAGCTTGAGCGCTCCGGGCGACACTGGCTCGAGCGGCATCTCGTTTGGCATTAGCGGCTGTCGCCGCTGCGTCCATCCTGATCCTCGGTGGTGAGGTCTGAGAAACTTGATTGGATCTGTAGCTGGTGCTAAAGAGTTCACCCCGGATTGGGTCCTACGGGTCGATGCCCGTGCGATAGGTCATACAGTAAGCGTTTCGGAAGCGCGTGGAATTGGCAATCGTTACGGTACCTACTCCGAGTGAAGATCGATGTCGACTTGTAGAGCAGTCGGGAGGCGATGATAGCGATCACCTCGGGAGAGATGAAAAGCTGGAGGAAATTAATTCGGCTTATCAGTGGGCGTCACGTCCAGCAGCACGTAGTCTCGCGATGCAAACTTACCCCTGATGAAACGCCGAGTTGGATGAAACGCTGGGGTTTCACCTCGAGCGCTTTCGTGTTGAGCCGAGTCGCCGTGGTAAAAGTCGACTGAGGAAGGGTGAGTAGGTGCTGGGAAGATGCTGTACGACTCGGCTCGTTCGGACGTCCAGAAACGTTCTTTTATATGGTATCACAGTCCGATGACCTTCAGAGCAGCGAATAGCCACCACCGATGTGAACAATATAATGTCCCGGACCGCGGCTGTGATGAGCCGGCTTGTGAACCATTCGATGGCGTTTCATGAGAGTTTCGGTGTTCCTCGACAGGGTCGAGATTCTTTGCGCTAGATACATCTGATTCCTCCGGTGTTCCTGTTACAGACCTCAACCCCTGCGGACGTTGTGGTCAACCAGTGTGCCTGCTATCAGATGCGACGATTGTTGAGTTTTATCATCTATTGCGTGTCGTAGAGTTGCGGAAGTAAATCTCGAAGGTATATTTGCTTCCGGCTTTCTTGCTACGCACCACGTAATCCCTTTGGGTCAGGTGGTCGTCGTGATCTATGATCTATATGATCTCATGTACATGGTCGATCTGGTGCAGTGAACCAAATATCAGAGTTCCTGATATGTGACACCGTCATGGATCAGTGTCTCCGCCTTCCTCCGGTTCCTGGCCCGTGGCTTCCCAGCTTTTCGTTTCGCAGGCAAATATGGGATCGTGTAGAGTAAGTCCCAGCCATCGGGGTCTGGCTTGATCACCTTTGTCGGCTGACCACGACGACGACGACTACTTGGTAGCATACCCCCGGTTCATGATCCACACACCTGGATGTCTGTCTGTCTCCAGGCTCTGCGGAATATATGGGTCGTGCCTTCTCGTCTAGCGGACACGAATGATGAAGGCAGGAGAAACGTCAGCTTTGACGAGCGGTCCACACCACGACTTCGTCAGCTATGACGAATCCAAACGCCCTACGCAGTTTTAGGCCACCGTTAGATGCTTCTGGTAAATCTACCGATTTCGTCGCCTCAAAGGTCATCAGCCATCAAGGCAAGATCCTCGGCGTAGCTCTGGACAAGGTCGGACGGTTCTGGTACAACATACTCGACTTGAAGTCTTCGGCGTCCACGTCCGGAGGAACGGGGAACGGACATCGCTACGATTCGCAACGATGGAAAGATGATTGCAGCCCGTTGTACTTTCCCACCGAGCTGGTTCACCTGGACGCCGAGTTGGGAGGACTGTACGCCCTGCCAGTACGTGGAGAGAAGGATGCCGAGGTCGACGCTAGCGTGGTCGATCCGTCTCTGGTGGATGCGTACTATAGTACCACTGCTAGGCTGTCGGGACGTACCGGGGGTGGAATGAGTGACTTTTCACTGGTCTCCGATGGGACCTACATCTACCTGTTCAGGCAGGCCAGACGGGCGGACGATACCGATGTCTCCGTGCACAAGGTGGCAGGGTATCCCGTGGTGGATGGCAACATCTTGATGGACCGGTTCGTCCTCGCAGACGGCGTCCTCGGTAGGAAACTCCACGTCCGGTACCAGAGGTCCCGATCCTCCCGCCCGCTTCACGCCAAAGACACCTTGAGCGCATGGGATATGGACGGCAAGCCCTTCTTTGAACCGACGACTTGCATCGACCTGATCAAGAACGTCAGCCAGGGCAAATTCTGCGTCATGCGCACCCCAACGGATTCGAACGACGCGTACCGATGGAACGTCTTTGTGCTTTCCGACCTGACGAAGCAGATCGAGTATTATAGTTTTGATTCGACTCCCGATGGAGCGATCCGGACGCGAGGACGTATCAGTTACGGATGTCCCGCTCACAAAGATCACTTGAACGAAGAGCCAACGTTCTCCTTGGAACCGGGAGCTTGTCCTGCGATCACCCAAGGTGGATTCCGTTGTAATCGACCCCTGATGCCGGCCGATGTCAACCCCAAGGCCACAGAGTCCCAGAGCGCTCTCTTCCTGGACGGATCATTCACAAAGACTTACCTGGAGACTGATCCGATCGATCTGTCGGACGCCAAGGTCTACGAGGACGGGTTCACGCTCGAAGCGTGGATCTCGCCGCGAAATCCTTGGGCCACGGCTGCCGCGCTTGTTAGGGACGAAACGGTGAGAGCGGTCGAAGATGTCAAGTTCGACTTCGGCGTTGTCAAGAAGAAGACCACTGGAACGTCGACAACGGGTACCGCAGCATCCGGTACGAATACCTCTGGCGGCACCTCATCGAGCGGCTCTGCAAAAGATAGCGAGGTCAAGACGGGTACGGGCACGGGTTCGACGTCGAATTCGGTTGGGGCAAGCACCACGATCAAAGCACCAGATGCCTCCGGGACAACTACTACCACGACGAGACCGTCTGGAGAGGCCAAGCTGAACACGGCGACGATTCCCAGTTCTGCAGTGACGACTTCCACCGAGGCCTTGCCGGACGACGCTCGAGCCGTCTTTTCGATCACCGGAACGGCAGCCGTTACGGTCGCTCTGCTTCCCACAAGGGGTGACGGTACTCGGGTCAGGATCGGCTTGGTCTCCGAAGGGAAAGTCGCCCCGGCGACGTCCCCTATCCCGGCGATCTCGGCCTATTCGCCTTCGACCCCGTCCGACGCCTGGACCCACGTTGCTTTGGTGTACAAGAGGGAGATCAAGACCGCCCGTCTCTTCGTCAATGGACTCGTCGAGGCTACCATGTCGGGCGTAGCGGCGGGTTCGTTCGATGGCGTGGCGAAAGCGATGCTCAAGGACAAGGTGCGGTACTACGCGGGCGCCTTGGACGAGATAAGACTCTGGAGCATGGGCAGGGACGACAAGGATATCGGCCAGACCATGCATACGCGATCGAGCGGGGTGGAACCCTACCTTATCGCGTATTGGGGACTCGATGAGGGTACTGGTAGCCTCTGCCACGATTCGACGGGTACGCGTGCTGTCTTCCGTCCGAGTGTGCTCGACGGGTCCGGGTTGTCGTGCTGACAATACTATTCATTTGCGGTTCGCGATGCCCAGGTCTGTCTCGACCGCTGCAACTCGTGACCGATGACACCTCGTTGACCGTGCACCAGAGCTGGGTCCTGTCGACCGCTAATATCACTTCAAGGGCAGGGATCGTCCGACGTGTGCTGCGGTTGCGGGATGGGCTCGAGGTCACCACGGCTCCTGCTGCAGCGCTATACTGCGAGCAAGAAGATCCGCTGCAAATCGTGGTGGAAGAGGAGGAAGGAAAAGGCGACAGCGTATTGAAAGCGAACAAGACCCGCGCACATGTCGTCTTGGCGTTCGGCGTACGGGACGGCAAGACACCGTCAGAGTCGCCAAGCGGCTCAGAAGATGCGGCACTCGGCTGCCTCGGTCTTTTGGACTTTGACTTGGATGCACAAGGCATCCTGGCCTCGACCACAGGTCTCATCGGACTCGAGTCGAGCATGTTGACCAACGCGCTGCTGGTGAACAATAGCGTCGCTCGTGCAGCTGCCGAAGTGCGCTCAAAGCGCATAGCAGAGATCGACAAGGACGAGGCGGACTTTCACGAAAAAGTCAAGCAGATAAAGAATGGAGGCGAGTGGACTTGGTACGGACCGGCGCTTGGAAAGTTTGTCGAAAGTAGACGGGTGGTGGAAACCGACTGGGATCGGGAAATCAAACGGCTCAAGACGATCGTGATCGGTGATGATGGCAAGCAGATAGAGGACGTGATTCTTCGGTCTGCAGAATGGCGACAGCAATCGCGCGTGGCTGCAGCCGAGATCACACGATTGGATCAGACTTTCCCTGCACGACTCGCAGAACTCGACGCAAAATTCGCAGCCGAGATAGAATGGGTAAAAACCGGACCGAAAAGAACGTGGCTCGCTGCAGCGGGAGATGCGAAGGAGTATGTAAAAGCCAAAGCGCTATTAGCAGACTGGTACAAGCTCGCTCCTTCGGCGACCCCAGAGTGTAATCGCATCAAAATGGAGTGGGAAGATGCTCGGCACAAGCTCGCAATCGATACGTGGAAACAAAAGATGCGTTGGCGACGCCAGATCGAGCTGCTCCGTACGCCGCCAGCTGACGACAAGATCCAGCCGCTACTTTGCAGCATCGACGGAGCTGGCCTTCGGGTTTCGGGAATGATGCTAGATGCGGAGGCCTGCGTACTGACCGGCGCACCCGCACTGTACGAATCTGCAAAGGGAGAAGTTCTGATCTCGGCGAGAGGCGCTGGCGAGCGTTTACAAAGCTTCCAGTACGATGCTGGCACTGCCCGACCGAACGCCATGCTGCGGGGCAACGATACAGGCGAGGGCCCTAACGGCTCTTCTGCCGTCGCCGTGTTGCCACGCAGCAACGCCGTCGAAAAGTTGCACGTCGAGATACGACGGAACGACCCGGACAGCTCGGCCACTGTCGACGTGGTCTTGACTGCAACGCTGGCCGGCGATACACCTCAGTCGGTCCACGAACGATGGTTAGGAGTATCTTCTGACCCTCAACAATTGTCAGCGACGATCAACGGCATGATATCCCGGACGGCTGTCCAAGTGGGTCGCATTGGCAGCGACGACATGCCCACCGCGATCGTCACCCCGAACAGCACACAGAACAAGACGCCAGAGGTCACCAAGCTGCAATTCCCAAAGGGGATTCTGATCAGCCTGCTTCCGGGTTCCGTGTTGACCGCAGGCTCATGGGCCTTTCATGTCTCGCGATCGGCCCTGGTGGGGTCGAAAGAGGTCGAGGTCAAGATACTAGACTTTCCCACAGTCGAGACCGATGACGACGAAGAGGACGATGACGCCCCTATCCCTGGTCCACCCTCAGGGTCGATGTTGACGACGCTTGCGTACGACTACTCCCGCCTCGCCTGGTCGGACAGAGTGAACGCAAATCTCGCCAGCGGGTCGATGGTCGCCTCGTTCGCTCCACTGGATCTGGGCGTCAAGGTGTCCATACAAGAATTAGAAGTACCGGCGGAACACACGAGAACGCCTGGACTAAAGGGTGTGGCTGCAGGGGGTTCGATCACTTTCGATGGCGGTAACAGCGTGTCTGTAGCGACATCGATCGTCGATCCGACAGGCGAAGCTCGACCTGCCGCGGCATTGGGTACCGGTCTATCGGTCGAGTTCTTTTTCAAACCGGCTCTGGGACAGCACCTCGAAAGTTCCGCCCTAGAAGATCGAGCGAATCCTCATCGATCGGTACTCATGGCATACTCGGACTCGGTCAAGGACGCCACAGTTTCGTCTACAGGTTGGGCGCGCGAGTGCGTACTCGCCTTGGAGCGCGACATCGATACCGTGTCACTGGACCACTATCACGTCGTATTGGGATCAAGGGGAGATGGGATATCTTGTCCCGCCTTTCACATCCCATCGATCAAGAGCGAATCGTTCACACTGGAATTTCACGTCTGGTTTGTCGGTGGTATCGAAAGCGCGTCTGGCGTGGGCCTGAGGGTGGAGATCGACGACTTTGTCATCGAGTTGAAGCGGGATGCATGTACCGTCACCTACTTGACAAACGCCGACGGTCAGCCAGACTTGAGCGGCATAGTCCCGACCCCTCTCGGGGATATCGGTCATCGGCTCCAGGGACAATCATGGATACATGTCAGCGTCGTTCATGATGCTGCTCGGCGGTCGGCGGAAGTATACGTGAACGGCGAGAATTTCGCCAGTTTCGCCGTTCCCAAACTACCAGATCAACCGATCCGCAAGCAAGGTCTGGCTGTCAATAACATCTTCTCGGCGCAAGCACGGGTCGCAGATGTCGCCGTGTGGAGCGGCGTTCGCAGTTCGCGTCATAGCAGGCGAGAGCGGCTGCGACAGTTGTCTACTGCTACCGGAGAGGTCCTGCTGTATCTTCAAGGCCAGTCGGACGGGACTGTCAAAGACATGTCGTCGTGAGTCGCGAGACTGTACTGTCCAACGAGCCCGCTACTCATCCAGTTGCATCGTATAGTAATGGCTATGCCGTCCGCGTAGCATCGTCAATCGGCGCTCAGGCAACGCGAAAGTCGTCGCAGGACGTCAACTGGCAGGCCCGCGACGAGTGGGTACTCGTCGCCCAATTGTGCGGCAAACCTTTCAAGCTGCAGACCTCTGCAACAGGTCGTGCAGGTCGAATCTGCTCCGAAGACTGGACGCATGTGGCTGTCACATCGGACATCAGCTATGCGGCGTCTCTCGACAACTTGTATACATCGCAAAAGTCCGACTATTTCCGCTCGTGCTCTTTCATCGAGATCAGCGGTAATGCACCGTTCACAGATGGAACGATGTCTATCGCAGTCTGCATGCCTGACGTTGGTCGAAACACCATGCTGTTTACCTGTGGTAATGCAAGACTGGTCAAAGGCGCGACCGGATGTCCTTCAAACCCGTTGGAAGTCTCGACTTTCGACAGCGGTCGCATCAGACTCGCTTGGGTAGATCAACATGGAACGTGAGTTTGATGACGATTCCGGCCGGCAGAGAAGATCATTGACAATGTTGCTCTCGTCGTATCCCGGCAGCGTGATCCATCGAGAGACAAACTGTCGACTCCGCTCTGGCGTCCCCACGAGAATCACGGTCACCAGAGAATACTATAACTGTTCGGTCGCCTCGGGAGCAAAGCACATCTACATCGCCAGTCTGGCCTTGCTCGAGTGTCCTCGAGGACAAGATCTCGCCAGCTCGGTCCGCGAACAGTGGCCTGAGAAGACGGACACGGCATCGCTAGCGGCTGTGCCTGATGATCTCGCCGTCATGGAGAGTTCTAACACTTGGTTCCTCGGCGGTGCTCCCTGGATCACCAACTCCAATGCCCAAGCGGATAGGCGGAACACGGATGTCGAGATGGACGGTCTAACCGGCCAGATAAGTGAGTTCAGGGTGTATCAAGGAACGGTGGATCCATATCCAGCATCGATGCCGCGCGGCATGAGTGCGGGCCTGGTATCATGGTTGAACTTTGTCGAGGGCGAAGGGCTTCGAGCAGCCGATCATGCTGGCAAAGCGCAAGGCGTATTCTCGGGAAGGCGGCGGCCGACGTGGTCCATCAGCCTCAATCCGCACGAATCGTGCATAACAGCTTATCTCAACGGTAGTCCCGTCGAGCTGAGTCCCATCGGATCGAGATGGGCCGAGAACGTCGTTCCGACCACTTCGACCTTGGTCCTAGGCGGCTATCAATCCGACGGGACTACCTCGGGCGATCGGCTCAGCAATTTCTCTGGTAGTTTAGCCGAGGTCAGGCTCTGGAACTCGTGTCGAACCGAAGAGATGATCAACGACTCGCTGTACTATCCTCTTCCCGAGGTGGATTCGTCACTCTTGGCCTACTACGACATGTCCCCGCCGTCGACGATATTACAAGAGAGCGCCACGGGTCTACTCGACGGCTTTAATCGCCACGAGCATCTCATCGAAGACAGGAGTCTCGCATCCCGACACCTCAAGGCTATCAACAAGCCCAAAGAGCTCGTACCGTCGTGGTACATGCTGTATCAGGATTTCGACTCGCCTGTAGGGAATGCGGCTCCTTGCTACATGAATCCCTTCTCTACCAGCGAACCAAACGCTCTGCAAATAAAGGCGGACGCGAGTTCAGGTGGAATCGCCGAATATGGAGAGGTGGAAGCGGACGGCACCGGAGCATATAAGCGGGTCTACTCTCATATTTCCAAGGATGGAGAATGGCATCTCTGGACGGGTCACAAGGTCGGCGACGTCGTGAGCTCGTATGTGGCTTCGCAGCAGTTGGCAGCGGAAATCAAGGGCTTTATCGAAGGTCCCCCTCCTTTTCCTCTGGAAAATTATTGGTCCAAAGCTCGCGAGCATACCCCACATTCAGTCGTGCGATTCATTGACATGGGCAGGACGGTGTTTACGTACAATACTCGTTCGGAATTCGGGCAAGAGCTGTCGGAAAACTCGGAACATAGTATAGGAGCCAAATGGAAGATGATGGCCGGGTGAGTCTTCTGAGCATTGACAGGTCGACTGAGATATGGGGCTTGACAAACGTCGCCTGCAGTCTAGGAGTGGAGACAGAAGTTGCGGCGGGCAAAGTGTTGGGTCACCTCAAACAATCTGCGGACTTTAACGATTCGACTTACAAGACCGATTCGCTCATCCGCACCGACGTCCGAACGGTCGAGATGAAGAGCGAGCAGACGGGGCAATGGGTCGGCACCGATAACGACTTCAAGTACGACGTCAACAATGATGGACTGGCCCTGGTCGAGAGCCGTACTTGCGACGTCTACGCGCTCCGACTAAAGCTCAAGGGCGGAAGATGGCCATTGATCGCATACGACGTGCGACCGAACCTGCTTATACCCGCCGACGTCAACATTGTGACCTTTCCCCTGAACCCGAGATATGTCAAGCAAGGCTGCCTGGATGGGAACTATGGCGAAGTCGCGGATCCTGATTACGCCGCCGACGGGGAAGAGAGGCGAAGGCTTGGGCTCGGAGTCTCATACTACGATCCAAAGCAGGCCTACCAATTACAAAACGACATACGCAAGCAGAAAGAAACCCGCGAGGCCGAGTACAATGCTTATACGGAAGCTGTTACCTCGGGTCAAGTTATCTTGGGCATAGCGAAGAACGTGATCAACACCGCTGTAGATGTCTTGAGCGGGAAAGGCTTTACCAACCCGCGAGATTATAAGTCCAACATGCCTGGGGCGACGGCTCGATCTATCTGCAATTCGTACGTATGGACGGCGTCCGGCGGATTCTACAGCGAGTCGAACGAGACGATCGACCACATCCAGAACGAATACGGTGGCTCTGCCATAGGCAAAGTGACGGTAGGTCGTGGACTGAGTGGAGAGGCGGCCATTGGAGGGGTGGAGATCGCCTCGCAATGGCACACCGGCGCGAGTTTGCACTTCAACATCAATTCTCACAAAGACAAGGCGACCGAGAGCCATTACCAGGTACACGTAGAGTCGGGTACGGGAATGGATCTCCGAGTGATGAAGAATCAAAAGGACTGGTCCAAGAGGGCGGGAGCAGTTGACGCGTATAGGTGGATGACATTCTTCGAGGAACCGTCGGAGGATCACTGGCATACCCTCTTCAACAAGGTTATCGATCCGATGTGGTTAGCAGGTCAGGGACGGGACGGCGATACCCCCGAAGCGAGCCTCCTCCGCTCGACCAAAAACTCGGGCGCGAAGAGCAAGTGTTGGAGAATCTCGCACCGGGTAACTTTTGTCTCCAGGGTTCTTTCCAAGATCAAACCTCGGCCCAACGAGGACGATGGCGATGCAGCGAGACTGTCTTCCCAATTGCATAGGATGAACTTGGATTCGAACTGGCAACTCATACAGGCGCTCGGTCCTCAGGTCGCTTCGTGCGGTAGCAAGGGCGCGATCGCGACGAGGTTGAGGATGGTTCTACCGCACACGTACCCGTTGTTGATGCAATCGGAGGCGATCATACAGGACGTGGTGGAGTTGCTCGCAGAGTATATGGGACTCGTATAGTTTCTTCGACCAGGATGTACGTACTGTTATTGGTCACTACGAATAACTCCGTTTGCACAGACCGAAAACATGTAACGGCGCGAGAGCATATTTCGGTTATCGTACAGTCTTGTATCCCTGTCTAGGTCATACTTCACGCCGTTCCAACAATTATTTACCTTTCGTCACGTGGTCATCACTTGGAATACGGGGCTGCTCGTCATTAATAATAAGCAAGATTGGCAAGTCATCGTGATGATAGAGGACATCCACGTTATCAACCCTTCTTTGATGGGGGATGACGACGGTGACCCTTTGTCCTCTGACCCCCCAAACCCCGACACTCCTCCAAATGTGACCTCGGAATGAAGGCCGATTCTGACTCGACTGAATCGACATGCCAGGGATGAGATGGCGATGGCAATGCAAGTCATAAAATGCGTTGTGGTTCAATACCCATACCCTTTGCACACCGCAACGCAGGAAGTGACAGATATTTTGCGCCCGAGATGAAACGCGCTGCGCCACGGGGCCATCAGGCCGTGTTCTGTCCAAAATGCTATGGATGCGCCGAAGCTCAAACAAACCTTGATCATTCTTGATTTGGGCGAGCAAAGACTTGGTGAAAATGTCGTTCCTTCTTGAATCGACATCAGGACCTGGCGTGGAAGGATGCAAAGGCCGTTGGAGGACCGGCGGGAAGCGGCGCGATGAGAATGCCGCGTCGAGGAAAGCTGGATGACCTAATCTCGGTACCTACCGTTCGACTTGATCAGATGAAGGATCAGTTAGGATTCGCTTGTCTCTGGAGCATCAGGGTGCATATAGCTTACACACCAGATACCGTTACGTAGAATCGGCGGTACGGATCGATTGGGACTTACTCAAATCGTCTTCCCAGCTACCTCACAAGCCGAGTGATACTATGCACGAAGGTCATCATATCCGTCTCCAGCGTTTTTTGCGCACAAACACACTAATGGTACTTATCTCGATCGCCTCGGTATGCGGTCACTGACCACCATGGCAGCTCTAGCGGGCTTTGTCAGCATGCAAGCTGTGTCGTTCCTTTAGATTGTAGACGGATGGAGGCATACCTGGAAAGTTCGAGGAAATCCATTTGTGATTCCATCTTTATGCAAGCTATACAGTGGCAATTAAATCGATGTGAAACACGGTGCGCTTATTGGAATCGAAGACCACTCGCTCCTGAGCGACCTCGATGCTATAGGTCGGATACGGACGCGTGATTATCCTTGTCGACCAGCTTAAGCACACCTCGTCAGGCCATCTGCATCTGAACGCTGTAGATACGTGAATATATCTATATATATAAACGACTTGCAACTCGGTCGAGCTGAACGCTATGTGCATTCCCTCTCAAATCACGTGACTTTTCCTACCAAACCCCGATTGCCGCCGTGATAGCTGCGAGCTGCGATTCTCGACCTCGCATATCCCATCACACACAACACACAGCAAAACTATCGCCCGCAGCGCTGGCCTGTGTTTGAACTTCAATCAGGTAGCCCCAAAACTCTTTGGCGTGTGCGATCGCAAGCTGCGACTGGGCGTTCGAGCTTCTAATTTCGGATCACGCTCGACAAATTGAAGAGCATGCCCCGAGGCTCGAGCAGACCGATACACAGCACGATCATGGATACAAGCATAGCCAAAGAATCCATTGCGGGTATCTCGCAGTTACCCTGCCCTCGCATTCGCCTTTCCAGGCTACAACATATAATGCCTGTCTGAAGATGGACGTTTGGGTCGACCCACGTCCCCCATTAACCCTCGCCACACGCGCAATCCACTTTCGCGATCGCAAAGACCACCACCTACACGATGCTCTACCGACTCCCCGCTGTCCTGTCCGTTCTCAGCCTCTGGGTAGCCTCGACCTCTGCTCATCCGGGCGAGGTTCACCCACCCATGACCGAGCTCGAGGTCGCACAACACAACAAGCGTGTGTTGCAGTCCCGCAACTGTCACGCCATGATCAGGCGAGACCTTGCCTACAAGCGCAACGTTGCGCAGACCCACCCCAGCTTGGCGGGCAGAGCGTCGGCCTGTGTTACCGAACCCGAGTCCGTCGAGGGACCTTACTATATCCGGTAAGTTGTGCTCGAAGGAGGCGCGGAAGACGGGTGAACGAAGGCTGACTGTCGACCGGAAACACGATCCAGCGACGAGTTGGTCCGTAACGACCTCCGCGAGCAGCAGGTCGGGGTCGACCTCGAGCTCAACTTGCAGGTCATTGATTTGGCCACGTGCGAACCCTTGGCGGGCGCCTTTGTAGAGCTCTGGCACGCCAATAATCTCGGGTACGCTGATCGCCTCGCCGTGTCATCCTGTCGCATACTACCTGACTCGCCCGAATCACAGCTACTACTCTGGTTTCATCGAGGCCAGCAGCGTGGATGCCAGCTCTTCCAGCAACTCGACTTCTAGTGGCAACTCGACCAGCATCGACCAGTCGTCTTTCGGCAACTCGACCGACATAAGCGCCATGCCATCAGGAAGCATTACCATGTCGGGCGCTCCCACCGCACCCAGTGGTAGTTCCAGCGTCGGCAACGGGACCGACGGTTTGGGCATCAATGGGACCGACTCGAGCAGCACTGGAGGCGGCGATAGTGGTAGCGGCGGAGGTGGCTTGATGACTGACGACAACTCGTTCTTGCGAGGCGGAAACGTTACCGATAGTAACGGTAACATTACCCTCTGGACCAAGATACCCAGTTACTAGTAAGCCCCAGCTTCGACCCGTGACACCTCTAAGGAACAAGTTCACTGACCATTGTCCTCTTCGCTCACACAGCACCGGCCGAGCCGCCCACATTCACTTGCACGTATTTGAGAACGCCACCGCCAACGAGAACGGTACCTTGTCTTCGATGTCGGGAAGCCTCCTCCACACTGGACAGGTGAGAGGCGATGTCGCTGTGTTTTGTCTCGACATTGCAAGCTGACCACAACCGGGCTTCTCGCAGTTGTTCTTTGAGCAAGACCTTGTCAACGCGACCATGGCTTTGGACGCCTATCAGAACAGCCAGCAGTACACTGCGAACGTCGATGTGAATTGTCGTGCATAGACCGGAATTCTTGTCTGTTCGAACGCTAACCCCTTGGGTCGACTGTAGGACTCGATCTTCAGCGCCTTGATCGACGCCGATTACAACCCTTACATCTGGACCGAGTACATCGGATCGACCCTCGAGGACGGTGTCCGAGGTTATATGGCCATCGTTGTCTACACCACCGCCAGTCAAACCATCAGCGACCCCTAGTATGTGCCTTGAAAGCCAAACCCCTCCACGCACTGCAGCTGACCGACGCCTCTTTGTCGACAGCTGGGCAACGACCTTCCTGTCCGCCGCGACCGCTTCCGCCGACTCTACCTCGGTTACCGCTTCCGCCAACTCTACTTCGGTTACCGCTTCTGATCACTCTACCTCGAGCGTCGCCTACTCGGCCGCCTCGTCGACCGTCAGATCGAGCGGATCCGTCACTACCAGTAGTCTCGTCGACGCCACCGAGAGCGCTGTCTCGCTTTTATCCAACGAGGGCGTACCCAGCACCACGTTATGGGGAGCCGCGCTTTCTCTCCTCGCCTTGCCCCTGATGCTGATCTAATGTGGCTAAATTCCGAGCGTTCGCCCAGCCTCCGGGAAGACGTGCGCTTCCCCCGAAGATGCCCTGTAACCTGCTCGAACTCTGGCAGGAACGCTTGTATTGTTATGCCATGCTACTATACCCATCATTTTCCTCTGCGTACACATTCCGGCGCGTCATTGTGGCGCCGTCGATCCAAAGCGTGATTCCTGACCCTTTGCGAAACGTTTCGTTCTTCCTTCGAGAGCGTGGGGAGGCGGTCCGCCCTGTTATCGAGTTCATCTTTGTGACTAGCGTGTACCGAAGTATAGACATACAGGCTCACCCCCGGAAGCGTCACTCGTCGTGCTCCAGCCATGAAACGCCGTCTGGCCTGTTCTGAGACAAACCATCTGATGCTCAGGATTGTGCTCGAATCCTGGTATGGTCTAATAGTAAGCCCTCAATCCCCGCTAAAGCGATGCACCAGTCGATTGCAAGGTCTGCGTCGGATCCGTGTAGACCCTAACGTTATCAGCTCGTCTCCGGCCAGGCTGCCAAGAAGATATCATTCTTGCTTATTGCACAACTTCTGCGTTAGTCAAATAACCACCACTCGACAAGTCGTTCCGTCCTGTTGTGTCCCAAGCCCTCTCTATAGCTAAATCTCCCGACTAACATCTAGGTTGCAGAACGGCTGAACTACATAGATCTTCAGTCTCACTATCCCTCCAATATGTTCGTGATGCCTCGCCACTTTTCTTCCAACAAACACATAGCCTTTGAACCCAACTCAAGTCTCCACTGCTAAAGAGGCTGGCCGAAGCAACGGGGAGCAGAGCCTTGATAGCGACAAGGTATGGGTTGGTCTGGTCTTCACCAAAGGCTTGTCTTCCAAGTTGGTCGAGGTGGGTCTTGTTGGACAAGAGCGGATCCGTAAACAATTTGAGAGCCCCATAGACGTCTCTGATGCTGCATGGGTCCGTTGTAACAGCATTGGAGAGAATTTAGGGGTTAGGGGTTATAGGGGGTTCTGACCCCGGGGTATGAAACACACTTTTGGGAACCGCTCATCCAGCGCTCCCAGGGTTGCACCAATGGCTAGAGGCTCCTTTGGACAGTAGAAATGAACTATCCAATCTGTTGTTGGGCCCTTAGGGGTTATAGGGGGTTCCCCAATCTGGGTTGTCTGAACCGCAACAGCTACCTGTACCAAACTTATACACATGATAGACCTTAGGGGTTAGGGGTTATAGGGGGTTCCGACCCCGGGGTATGAAACACACTTTTGAGAACCAGCCATCCCAGCGCTTCCAGGGTTGTACCAATGGATAGAGGCACCTTTGGACAGTAGAAATGAACTATCCAATCTGTTGTTGGACCCTTGTTGTGACTGCTACGGGTCAAAAACACGTCAAAATGACCTCGAAAGTCAAAAAAAAAAGTTCAAGTTCCCAAAAAATGAAATTGTCTGAAAGTTCCAGAACACTATCCCGCTTGGTTGGACCATTTTGAAGGTGAAATGACTTAGAAATCACGCTGGGCAGATTCTGGGTGAGGTTGTTGACGTGACTTGAGCATATCCATAGGAGGTCTGTCCCGCGCGCTGGTGGCCACGTCATCAGGCTGTCTCGCGCGGGGGGGGGGAACAAAAAGTAAACAAACAGCCTGTCACTCCGCGTGTGCAAGGCCCTCCTCGTACATCAACCTATTCCCACCACTGAGATCATCTGTTCCTTATCCAGCTGTCATGTATATGCTATTCAGTCAACAAGTTCATTCTAATCATTACATGTGTATCCCCCAAACAGCAGAGTTATTTGCCCAAGTGGTTGTCTGTCACGTCACGCGCGGGGCATCTGATAGACAAAGTAAACAAAATGAGCTCAGCAGTCACCGCAGACACCGCAGACACCGCAGAGACCACCACCCCGTCACTCACCAGACCTGAGTGATCTGATCACCAGGATACAGGTTCTCATAGTGGTTGTGACTGAGGTATAGCCAGAAGTACCTGGAATGCTCTTGCTGACCATGATGTCTCCAGAACAGACCCCCGTCCACCCGTCTCTTCAAGACTGAGATCCTGACCTTGTAACACGCGCAGATGGCCTTGATCTCTGGCTCATCACCCCACTCACCCGACTGACTCATCCTCTGCATGTACTCCCTGAAAGCTGCTGCCTGTCCTTCTTGTCCATATTCTATGAAGGGGAGGTAGTCCTCATAGTGCACATGTATCCACTCAACAGCCTCCTCCCTGACCTTGGCTGCGGTGTAGGCATGCCCGAGACTGAAGGCCACAGCTTGGAACATGCAGTTCCCGTCCTTTGCTGTCTGACTTGTACAGTATGCCGGGGGGCTGGAACCAGTGACCAGCCTGACCTCATTTTGATAATTGGCTGTGTGAGGAGGCTGGGGCGGTGGTAGAGGTGGTGCCCGGAGTGACTTCCTGAAGGCCAGGACTTTGGCCTTTTTGGCGAGATGACTCGCGCGCGCGGACTCCAAGTATTAGGCTTGCCTGCAAGCCTGGAATAGTATCACACGGGACTAGAAGGTAAGGGTAAGGTAATGGATGTAATAACGGATGTAGTACAACTGGTACTACATTACAGTAACACATAGGGGGTGTTCTAGATATACTCCGTACGGAACTCCCATCGGAGGTCCCTGTAAAACTACCCGACGCGGGTGTTCGGTACGCGTACCGCGGATGCCATAACAGGATCCCCCCCCTAGGCCGAGATTCCAGATCGGCCAGCGCCGCTCGTGTTTCACGTAGGCGCCTTTGTTCTCTCCTTTCGTTCCTCCCACCGGTAAGCGTTCGTCGCTTACACACGTCTACCTGTTTCACAGGGGTACCCGAATTTCGGGCCCGATGGGGCGCGTCTCGCTGTTGTTCTTTTCTTTGTCCTTGCGCGGACATCCGTATGGGCGCATGTCCGACTCGTTGTTCGGGAGGTGTAAACAAAGGAGACCGTCGTTGATGTTGACGTCTGTACCGCTGTTGTTGTACGATACCCTCTCTCCATATGCCCATATCCATAGCAATAGTATTGTTCTAGTTGCTCTCTTTGCTAGTATCGCAATTCTTCTTTTGTTTGGGCCGCCGCAGCAGCAAGGATGTAGGGTATAAAGGGGTTCGCGTTCGCGTTCGCGAGGTGGGGAGTAAGTCGTAGGTGTCCTTCGCTACTACTCACTTTACCCCTCCTACGCTATCTACCCCCCGTCTACCTTTACGCCCTCCTCGATATGCCTGTCACTCCCAAGACTACCAAGAACCACGGCGACAAGCCGTACCAACCTTCGCCTTCGCGGTCGACCGCGAAGCTCGAGCAAGACCGGCGTCGGGGTTTTGTTTACCCCAAAACTCAGTCCGCCGACGAGAGTGAGTGGTGTTTGTTTCGCTGAGTCCGTCGGGGGTAACATATCGGGCTATCTTCTAGAGGAACAAATCCACCAAGAGGAGTTGGGGCGTACCCACTTCAAGGCCGGTAACGCCTTCATCGAGCCTCTTGCGAAGGCGTGGCGGGAAGGGAACGTGGCCTCGTTCGATGGTATGATGGTATGTTCTTTTTCTCTTTTCTATTCCCTCCATCGGGAACACGGTTTACTGACTCCGATTGTGCGTACGCAGGCCAACTTCCGTGGTGGTTGGAAGTGGTGTTGTCTTAACTGCTTCGGTTATGAGGACCGCTTCCACCTCTCCGCCGAACACGACGTCCCCGGGTACACCGACAAGGACGGTAAGGGGTGGTACAACGTCATGGAGTTCAACGGCATGTTCGTCTGCCGCCACCCCGTCCCGGAGGCCGGGAAATCTACCAGCGGCGGGAGCTCCTGCTACTGTTGCCGCGGGACCAAGTTCAAGTGCGCCCCTTTGCCGTCCGCCTACATGACGGTTTTCGACAAGGACCACGGGGTCGTTACCCGGTACGAGGCAGCGTGCGAGGTCCTGACCATCCCCAACGTCCCTCACGAGGTCGCCATCGCCGTCGGGGACGAGTTGCAGCGGCTCATGAATCGCATGGTAAGTTGTTGTTCCGGTTTGGATCCCCGACGCAGGTACTTCTCGGAACTGATGTTTGTACCTTGCGTAGGTCCTCCCCTTACTCTCCAACAAGACCGATTGCTTGGTGGAGAACCGGTTCATCCCCGCCTGGCAAACGTACCGGGACGCGGAGATCCGGAAGCACAACGAGGAGTGGGCCAAGAGCCACCCCGACGCCGCCCGCAACCCCGATGGGAGCGTCACCATCCCCGAGGCCGACGAGTGGCCTCAAAAGGAACCTTACCGACAGTTCCTCTTCCAGGGCCACGGCGAGGACATCGGGGAGCCCATCCCTGCGGCGCCCACGGAAGGTCCGGCGGGCGCTGCGTACGACGACGACGTTCTCCGAACCCCCACCCCCTCTCCCCCTCCTTCCCCGACTCCCAATCCCGCTTCCGATAAGAAGCAGAAGAAGAAGAAGAAGGAGAAGAAGGTTGTGGATGTCTCGGACGACGACGAGTGAGGGGTTTCCGGGTCTTTTGGAGTTTTGTCGTGTTTGTATTCTCCGGATTGTTTTTACGTCGGGATCTCTTTTTCTCTTGTATTTCTGATATACCATAATAGAGTCCCGACTTCATCTCCTTCTCTCTATGTGCGTTTACTCCTCGCGAGGGACTTGTGCGTTTTGCTCCTCGCCAGGGACTTGTGCGTTTGCTCCTCGCCAGGGACTTGTGCGTTTACTCCTCGCGAGGGACTTGTTTCAGGTTGTGTTCTTCAGTAGTATGCGTTTACTCCTCGCGAGGGACACGTTTCGTATTGTACTTCTTGTACAGTTACCTTTTGATGGCGTATACTTTGGTGAGTGTATTTCTCGTAGTAACTGTGAAGTCGAGTGTTTGAAAAAGTGAATGGTGATAAAACATCCCCGCCGGGCCTGCCGTGGGGGTACAACAAATGATGAGCCAATAACAACACAACCGTACGTCTAATCAGTCGGGGTCCAGAGCAAAGGCTGCTCTCCGTTCTGCCTCGCAAGCTCGGCTTCCCAACCTCCCTCCGGGACGGTCTCGACGGGTTGCACCCGGGCACCAGAGACGTTCATCCGACCGTTGTTCCTACCCTTGAACCAAGCAGGGGCAGGGACCCTCTGGTTGGGGCAGTTGACGGCTACATG